AGTGAGGCATGCTGTAGATACAATGTATTTCCTCATTTGTAGAACGCAAAAAAATTAGAAAGTTTTTGATGACATATGGCGAAAAAGACTTCGTTTGTGAGATACAGGGTGTTGAAGTTGAAAATATGAATAACATTTTCTTATGTCCACCCTGAATGATTCGTTGAAATGTTTTTGTAAAGCTTCTTACAATATTATAATTGGTTATTCCTTGCTCCCGTCGATTTTTTTTTATTCATCAAAAGTAGGCGGGTGTCATCTATTGTATGACAGACATACACAGTTTAAAGAATATTATATCAGTAAATTCGTCAGTGAATCTAATAAAACTCATTTTCACTTTTGAAGACTACCAAATCAAAAGCAATTCGACAAAAATATAATACATGGTTAGAAAGAAAAAAAACCGTTTTAAATCGAGACATGAATTTTATCAACGTCACTGTATTATGAAAAATAAAGTGTTTCAAGAATGTGAAAATTTTGTTCAAAGTCCTAACTACAATGAACCACGATATTCACATGTGTTAGGAAGTCAACAAATTGAATTTTCGTTCCTTCCATTTCTTAGTTATCGATTTGCCCTATACAAACATCGAAATTTAGCCACCCTGTACTGGTAATGGTAATACAAAGTTGAAGACACGACGTTCGATCTGGCGTTGCCTTGAACTTTTCAAACGGTTCTTTTGGTGTATAAATCGCAAGAGAACAGCAGCTGATATAATATGCGAACATCGAACTAGAGCTATTTCGAAGTCAACCTTATTTCTTGTTGCCGGGAAAAGGCTAATCACGATCGTTCATAAAGAAGCTTCTTCATTGTTATTTAAAAATCCGGATAAATTCGAGGTACATAGAAATAGAAATCATAGAATAAAGTATAATTCGAACACACGAAATCACAACATTGATTATAATATTCCACAACACATACTATCTTCCACAGAGAAGTCTCCAGAGTATACAGGGTGTTTCATAATTTAATGTCTCGAGGAGGCGATTCTTGGGCCCATTCTAAAAAGAAAGTTTTATATGAACGTATGACCTAAACTTTTGAGATACAGGGTGGTTACGTTCTCAAAAATTAATATAGCCTACTACATTGAGAAGTTATAATTCCAAAATACCAAATGCAAATACGGAGTTCAATAACTATGAAATGTATTTCTGAAATTTGATCTAAAAAAGAAAATCTTTTTCTCTGCATTGTGATCGGGTCGATTCTGTTTGCAAATAGTAATATGGTTGTAGGGAAGATATTGCTATCATAGCAAGATTCGAAAAAGTGGAATTCTAATCATCAATTTTTGGCAATATGATCTGTCAATTTCAACGACATCTGGTCACCTTTCTTGCTATCTCGGCAACATCAATTTTGTGCTTGCTATCTTTTAACACTGTTTGTTTTTGCACTACGAATTCTTCCAACTGTATGACAATTCAGAAAATAGTGGATTAAAAAGATATGAGAGTTCAGTTGTGTCACTGACTACTCGAAAAGCTTTCCTCAAAGTTTCAATTCGTAGAAGAATTATTGAAAAACTAAGAATAGTGATTACAAACATATAGGATAGGTTCACTACTGTGACCAACTACTTGAAATCCTTTTCTTGAAGTTCCAATTTGTAGAGAAAATATGAGACTACAATTTCGGCATATCAGAGAAATTTCAGTTGCCTGATGGATAGTTTATCAAGCTATTTTGCTAGAATATTATAAAAAAATCACGATTACTTTCATTCGGCTTTTAGTTGTTTTCCCATTTCGGGGACACGATTGTTTACTTGCACCAGTCGCACAACGACGACCAGATTCAGCAAATACAAAATCTTTCGATTTGAACAATATAATTTTGAAAAATGTCAGTGCAGGACTGACTAATTTGAGGTTAGATAATCATGAACTCTTCTTCTTCATGAAATAATGCCAAAATCGATACCTAACACTTAAACAATGAGTTGAAAACAGTGTTGTCAGCTCGAAAATTCTCATTTTTCAACAATAATGCTATCACTTGAACTTATAACCAGTCTTGCAGTTACTCTGCAAACAGAATACAGAACTTCATAGCAATATTGTTATATGTTATGATCATAGCAATATTATTATCTTAGCAATGTTATAACAAGATCCGAACAGAATCGACCCGATGTCATATTAACGATATTGCTATTATCATGTAGTGAAAAGCTTTTTCTTTTTTTAGCGAAAACCGTGCATCAGATTGAAAAAATTGTGATGATCAAATTTGCTTAGAAATGATGATGATAATTTCAGGAATGATTTCAATTTCGAGATTAATCAGTGGCGTACCATCAATGTCTGCCAAAATAGGTACGTGAAATTCCATACGAATGCCACTGGTGGTAACCATGAAAAATATGGTACACTAACTGATGCCTCTTGATACATAGTACATGTATGCCAAATTTCATCAGAATATCTGAAGTGGTATTACAGATACATATTAATAAAAAACTCTTCATTTTGAAGATCTTCACTACCCTGTATCTCAAAAGTTAATACGTTTAGGTCATACGTTCATTTCATTTATTTTGCATTGGACATACATATATGTATAGAAATCGTCAAAATTTTACATATACAGTGTGTCCCACTTACCATGCTCACCATGGGTATCTTTTTAACGGTGAGAGATACGAGGTCGGTTAAATGACACCAAATGTGGAGTGTGTCAAGGACAACTATAATGTGAAAAAATATTTTGATAAAATCTATTCGTTTTTGTTTTATACGCAAAAAACAGATTTTGATCATTTTCATGTCTCCTCCGTAACTTCTTTATTTATGAAAATATTCAAATAGGAATTTCACATTCTCATGGCATTTTTTCAAAGTGATTTGGAAAAAAATACGAAATTTATACCAACTCTTCTAGAATTTGAGATATCAGCACCAACTTTAGTTTTTCAAATGTAGGTCATAGCTCAATAATGTATTGTCACCGAAATTATGAACACCTGCCAAATTTCAAGTTAATCGGAGTTATGGAATTTTTGTTGAAATTAAAAAAAAATGGCTGCTCCAAGATGGCGGACAAGATTTGGTCCGATTCCATTCAAAATTGGTAAGTGGGGGTTTTTGAGGTCGGATCATGATTTTTTTGTTAAAATTTATAAATTAAAGATGGTGGCTTCCAAATAATTTTTTGTTTTTGTATAAATGACGATAACTCCTTTGTTATCAACACAAAACTATTACTGCGACATACCATCTGTAAGAGAAAAAAAAGTTATTTGTAACTGAGTCATATTGAGCTATGACCTATACATTTGAAAAACTAAAGTTGGTGCTGATATCTCAAATTCTAGAAGAATTGGTATAAATTTCATATTTTTTTCGAAATCACTCCGAAAAACTGCCATGAGAATGTGAAATTCCTATTTGAATATTTTCATAAATAGAGAAGTTACGGAGGAGACATGAAAATGATCAAAATCTGTTTTTTGCGTATTATAAAACAAAAACGAATAGATGTTATAAAAATTTTTTTTTCACATTATAGTTGGCCTTGACAAACTCCACATTTGGTGTCATTTAACCGACCTCGTATCTCTCACCGTTGAAAAGATACCCATGGTGAGCATGGTAAGTGGGACACACTGTACACACCTACCTAAACACACCTAACAAAAATATATCATATGAGATGTTCTTTTTCAATTTGGAAACACCCTGTATACAACGGTCGAAATTTGCAGCTGGCTTCTGGACTATATTGACAACATGTTTTTCCGAGTGTTTTCCTTTTAATATAGAAGATATTTCCAGCCAGTAGCTCCTTTACGATACGCGAGTAGTTCAAGTAGGTAGTTCAAATAATATAATTCGATAATAACTGTCCATGCTTATGAATACAAACAGAAAATTGATGACTCGGCATCGGTACGTCTTATTGTTAACGAGTTGAATTGACTATCAATCAACATTGATTGATAGCGATGGTATTGAACGTCCTCAAATATGTTGATGTCCCCCATAGTTAAATTTATCATCTCTTGATGATTCCTTAGTAATTACCGTCGCCGTTATAATTGCCAATTGATAAAATAGGATTGATATGAGTTTGGAATGTAATGAATTGAAAGGTTTTCAGAATAGGCGAGTGGGACTAATTTTTTTTTATTTCTCAAATAAAATCATTACTCAAATACCTTTCAATTTCATATTTTTTAGAATACATTTGTGTAAATAATAATTATATCGATTCACACTAGAGGGCATTTGAATCGGTGAACGTGACAACCACGGCGCACGACTTGTGGGCGTGGTCTTGTCAGTTCTCAGCATTCAGCACAATGTTGTCAAGTCTCCAACATTCACATGATATTTTGTTATGGAGAATAAGAAATATTTGGACATGCTAGTTGCTCGAAAAAGTGAAGAAAGAACTAAAACATCATGAGTTCCTCCTATTATGTTTTATTCAACGACAGGACTCTAACATCTTCTTGATAACTTGAATATAATTGGGGACTTGACAACCTTGCTTTATGGATGGAAATGGAAGATTATCTGACCAATAACGAAACAGCATAAAAACTGACGTCACCATTTATTCGACGTATTGCCAAATGGCGGCCATGAAAATTCGTTTGAAATGAGTTCGGGAATTCAACAATTTCGAACAACGCATACTATAGACTGATTATTTACATAATAAAATTGTGAAAAGTGTTTCAAAAATTAATTCAGGTTCCTAACGACACAGTGGATTAATTGAATGCCAATAATTCATTGTCAGTCCACTTGCCATTCTAGCTTTTCGAAAATGAAAAAAAAATTAAACTCGTTTCGGCTACTGGTCATCCTCAGACTGGAAATATAAGTGTAATAATGTTTCTGAAATATGAGCTCAAAGGTATGGACTTTATATTTTGTGTCTGAGGATGACTTGTGGTAGAAACTGGGTGGACACTCCTTCTCTTTATTTTCTTGTATAAATATGTTCTATAATTAATTTATTTGATGTACAGGAGCAACCAGAGATATCGGTACTGCATTGACGAGGATATGTTTGAGGCATAAGGCAGTGGAAGCTAGAATGAAGAATTTCACAAGGTATGTTTGCAATTTGCTGAATCATCATAAACAGCTCATCTGTTGTGTTACACAATGAGGAGCACCAACATGGTATTTTCATGGATTGATAAAAAAAATGTTTCTACATAAAATACTCGGATATTAAATTTTTCACTGCAAAATATTTTGAAATTTTTCACTCCCAAAATATTTTTATATTTTTCACTCCAAAATATTTCATTGCATGACCAACTATGATTGATGAAATGAAAACAGTTCCGTTGGCCCTTATAATCTTTTTTTTATCGCTTGGAGCGCACGAAAGGGAATCCCTATATTGTTCAAAGAATGAAATCATCGCAAAAACCTTAACTCCTTCAGTAGCATCATCATATTATAGGTATTCTCAAAAACCTGCTTCCACATTTCCTCAGAATATGATAATAAGCAGAAATTAAATATGATCACTCGAGAGGTATCCAAACATCGTAAAATCAGTTCTTCTTCTTCATTTTTTCAAATCGATCAACTAATGAGATAATACAAGGGTGGTGCTTCTCAAAGTGGGACAGACTGTATATACAGTTTCTATATCCCATTTCATTAATTTTCTCAGCAGGTTATTTTTATTTTCAGTGTTATAATGGAATGCCTAATATTGCCACTGCAGGATAAGTTAGAAGAATGGAAAAAGACTGTAGTAAATTTGGACAAAGATCATGCAAAAGGTAATTTGGCCCTAACCGCCTAAACCCTTCAAATAATTTTGGCAGAGTTGATTTGAATTCATACACTATGGACAAAATGAACAATATTCCTTCGTGAAGTTAAAAAAATTATTGTATCAGAATTCTGAATTTTGAACCACCCTGTATTCGTTTCAATTAAATGTCAGTAGCAAAAGTCAAGATGGGGACATGAAAACCGTTTTGGCCAATAATGTTTCGAAACAAAAAATTCCCAAAGTTGAAAAAAAGTCAAAATTGTTCACACCATATACTCTGGAATCATTTTAGCTAGACCTCAACTGTGATAGATCGATGAAATCAGCTCTTTAGGGAGAATCTAAAAATGCAATGAATACAGGGTGTTGCATTTAAAAATTTATACATCTTGCCCATAACTTTATTTGAGATGTTCAATTGTTTTTCTATTAACATATTCAAAATCTACAGGAAAAATTATAAAAGACTGTTCTTTGGAAAAAACTTCGATAATGAATAAAATAGTTAAGGGGGAGAGTTCAAAATACAGTCTGTCCAAGATAAGGTTGAACAGCATGGGGATCTCGGAAACGGTAGGAGATACGAAGTCGCTTAAATGGGGAAAAAGTTGCGCATTCGGAGGCTCATATCAAGAGCCTTCGAAAATTTTTAAAATTATTTTTAGTTTTTGAGTTATATCGAAAAAAGTGAATTTTTGGAATTTCTATTATATTTTTTTTCTCCGTTATTATTAGAGATACAGAAAAACTGAAAATACTTTTACATAGCAACTTCTGATGACGTTTAACGTGGTGATACCGATTTTTTTATGCGACGTTCCGTATTCGTGGAACCATCATCAACTTTTGTTTTTTAAATACGGTCCTGATAATTTTTTCACAGATTCTGAAAGGTTTTTTTATTCTGAATTCAACCATGTACTATACAAGGTGGTTCGAATGTGTTTCGACCTATTTCTATCCATCATCAATGTTTTTTCGAACTTCCAAAGGAAAAAAGCCATCAGTTCCACTTATTTCTGATCATTTAGTGTCAAACTTGATTAGTTATTCAATACTGAAAAGCGAATAAAAAATATTTCACTACATCATTCGATCAATGCAGCGTTTAAAAGTGTTGATGAATTCTTACACGAATTACTTTAACAACTTAACTTTGACAATACCTACAGAGACATTCATAACAAATGTTCAAAATAATAACCATTATTACAGTTGCTTCTAAGACATTGCTAAGCATTTCTGGGGTTATTCTATTGAATGCTTCGAAGACACTGTCCCTTAGTTCTTCTTCATCCTCAGAGTTATTTGCGTGTACAAAGTTCGATATATCCCCTAAGAAAAAATCCAGCTGTGTCAAATCAGGCGACCGCGCCGGCCAAGGGATAAAAACGCACGGACTTCTCTGGAATTATGTACCGGAGCGCCATCGTGTTGCAACCAACAGTTCTGAACTTCCGCAATCGTTAAATCATCCAGAGATCCTCAAGATGATTCTCAAGCGAATTTTTATAATGTTCGGAAGTCTGTGTTTCATGGTAAATAGAAGGAACAATAATTCGTGTACCAAATATTGCAACCCACATATTAAAGCCGAAACGGTGTTGGTGTCTCGCTGTAATGTATAAATGTTCATTTTCTCGTGAACAATAATGTGTATTTTTTCTATCGAAGCTACCATGATTAGTGACCATGCTTTCATCAGTCCAGATGATTGTTCGAAAGAAATCTGCAAAATTTTAACATTTCCTGGTATACCACTCACAGAATGTCTTGCGCCTTTCGTCATCGCCTGGTTTTAGCGCTTGACATATTCTGAATTTGTATGGATGGAATTTTTGTTTCCGCAAAATGAAATGGTTTGTTGATTGAAACCAGTTGATGAGGTATTAGTGTGTTGACTAATTTTCCTTCAAAATAAGTGGAACTGATGGCATTTTTCCTTTGGAGTTTCGAAAAAACATTGATGATGGATGGAAATAGGTCGAAACACAAATGAACCACCTTGTATAATAAATGGTTGAATTCAGAATAAAAAAACCTTTTAGAATCTGTGAAAAAATTATCAGGACCGTATTTATAAAACAAAAGTTGATGATGGTTCCACGAATACGAAACGTCGCATGAAAAAATCGGTATCACCACGTTGACCGTCATCAAAAGTTGCTATGAAAAAGTATTCTCAGTTTTGCTGTATCTCTAATAATAACGGAGAAAAAAAATAAAATAGAAATTCCAAAAATTCACTTTTTTCGATATAACTCAAAAACTAAAAATAATTTTCAAAATTTTCGAAGGCTCTTGATATGAGCCTCCTAATGCGCAACTTTTTCCCCATTTAACCGATTTCGTATCTCTCACCGTTTTCGAGATCCCCATGCTGTTCAACCTTATCTTGGACAGACTGTATACGTGAAGACCGTGTACATTATTACGTTATCTCAACACAGAGGGTTTCGGACATAACATATTTACAAAATACCATAATCTCGGGCCCTCAGATCGTCAATCAGTACGCTAAATGCCATTCCAGGTATGTGAGTAGAAAAATAAAATGATGTATATAGCAAAACAACGTTTGCGGGGTCATCTAGTGATACAAAAAAAATTAAGGAGACAATATTTGAGAGCGGAAATCTTCATTCCGTTGCTTTTTTCTTGTTTCTACTTAGATTACAAGCGTGCCAGGACCGAACTGAAGAAACGCTCGACGGACACGCTGCGGCTGCAAAAGAAGATGCGCAAGGGCGCAGGCGGCGATCTGCAGAAGCGCTTCGAGTGCGGTCTGCAGGACGTCACCGAGCGACGGCAGCTGCTGGAAGAGACGGCCAAGCAGGCGGTGCGGGCGGCGCTGGTCGAAGAAAGGGGGCGGTTCTGCTCGTTCGTGGGGTTTTTGAAGCCCGTCGTGGTGAGTGGGGCATAGATTAGTAATGGGGAAGTTTCCTTCAGACGAATTTTCATAAAATGGGCTTGGGACTCTCCAGTTTTATGTCCACGCTGTACAGAATGGCGACCGATAGAGTCCAAGTCGTTTTCATTTTCAAATTAAAGCAATTTCTAATTTTCGAGGCTGCAAACTGTGACGTACATTCTGAATCTAGTCTGAAAATAGCTGATGGTGAAGAATATAGCTAGCGAGAAGCTAACGAATGGAAAAAATAGAAGAAGAAGTAAAACTAGTAAACAAAAACATACATAACCACAAATGCACTCGAAGCAGGAATAGGTCGCGTGCAAGAACTGTCAGATGACCGACCCTGGAGGCAAAACATATTTGTTTACAAGTGATCGAAATAGTTTTCCACAATTATTTTGGCATATGAATCGTATTTTTCCGCTATTCATCAATTTGCTAATGCCATCACATTGTGCTGTTGTAAAATGCACAAAAACTGCAGCAGAAGATGAAGAAATCCAGATGGTACATTATGATTCAGAAGTAAGTACCTACTATAGTCACTCACATAGTTTTCATTTTTGAAATTTGGTTATTTCTCTGATTTCTCATCGGAATTCCTTCTGCAATAGGATCAGCTAATAGAAATATACCTGAAATTTCTAGAATAATGCAAGAAGATTGGATTCATGCAATCAATCGGTAGGACTGGTCTGACATGCTGACGATCGTGTGTGTTGTAGACATTTTCAATCTATTAGCAGCATTAGCTTGTATTGCAGAAGTGGCAGAAGGCAGAAGGAATTTTAATAAGGAATGACAACATTTCATAATGCTAACTATGTGAGATTACTATTTACCTGAAAAATCATATTCCCTAGTCTCTTGCTGCATTTTTTGTGCATTGTACAACAGCATAATGCGAAGGCATGCTTGAATTAATGAATAACGCAAGAAACACGATTCCTATGCCAAAATATTGTGAAAAACTATTTCAACCTTTTGATTCCTCTGTAACCAAATAAAAAAGTGAGGTTGTGTTTCAATAATTCACAGAAGAATGAGGTTGTGTTTCAATATTTTGCCTCCAGGGTCGGTCTTCGTGCACGCGACCTATAGGTCGCGTGCATGAACTGTCAGATGACCGACCCTGGAGGCAAAACATATTTGTTTACAAGTGATCGAAATAGTTTTCCACAATTATTTTGGCATATGAATCGTATTTTTCCGCTATTCATCAATTCGCTAATGCCATCACATTGTGCTGTTGTAAAATGCACAAAAACTGCAGCGGAAGATGAAGAAATCCGGATGGTACATTATGATTTAAAAGTAAGTACCTACTATAGTCACTCACATATAGTTTTCATTTTTGAAATTTGGTTATTTCTCTGATTTCTCATCGGAATTCCTTCTGCAATAGGATCAGCTAATAGAAATATACCTGAAATTTCTAGAATAATGCAAGAAGATTGGATTCATGCAATCAATCGGTAGGACTGGTCTGACATGCTGACGATCGTGTGTGTTGTAGACATTTTCAATCTATTAGCAGCATTAGCTTGTATTGCAGAAGTGGCAGAAGGCAGAAGGAATTTTAATAAGGAATGACAACATTTCATAATGCTAACTATGTGAGATTACTATTTACCTGAAAAATCATATTCCCTAGTCTCTTGCTGCATTTTTTGTGCATTGTACAACAGCACAATGCGAAGGCATGCTTGAATTAATGAATAACGCAAGAGACACGATTCGTATGCCAAAATATTGTGAAAAACTATTTCAACCTTTTGATTCCTCTGTGAACAAATAAAAAAGTGAGGTTGTGTTTCAATAATTCACAGAAGAATGAGGTTGTGTTTCAATATTTTGCCTCCAGGGTCGGTCTTCGTGCACGCGACCTATGCAGAGGGTAGATGGCTTTATTCTGACAGGTTATGGTTTTGTTATTTACGCAATGAAATATCTCGAATAGAACTTAATCCTAAACGAAAATATTGACTCAATACATCACTATCGACTACATTCAATGATACTATCCTTCCTAATTTACTACCATCGGTCAGAACAGAATGAAGCCGACACCCATGGCTCCTTCCTCTTGTTGTGCCTGTCAGTATTTTGAGTGGTGTGGACGGACTCGAAGTATTAGGAGCTGTTGCAAGATATAATCTGCAACTTTCCTAGAAAATACATCCGTTTTATTAAGGAACGAATTCATTAGCAAAATAATGACTGAAAAGTGATGAATAACATATTGTAATATAAAACTATAGTGAAAAATTATATATACTATCGCAAAATATCATAATTTATCTTTATTAGTAATCAATGTCATTCAGCCAATGAGAGATTTATGGGAATTATTCATAATACTTGACAAAGTAGGATTGAAGAACCTATTATATCCCATTGCTGTTATGATTTAGTTATTATGCATTCAAAGAACAATTTCCGGAAATCTAGACATATTGATGATGTCGGCTGCGTCGTACTCACCCAGGGAATCGTATTTTAAGTCTGTGTGAATGTGGATGTTCAGAAAGTACGTCAAAGGAATGGTGGAGGAGCAAAGTTCCTCTTTTATTTATTTTTTTCCGAAGTGGAATTTGATCTTACGAAAATAAGAAAAAATACGTATATATTGATTTTGTACAAACTTCACAGTGAGATAAAAACCTCGATATAGGAAACTTCCCCATTGTTGTGCTAAAATTGTTCTATCCGTCATTCGGTTGCCCCCTTACGAGCAACCCTCAGAAGTCTTCGAAAGTCTTGTGCGAGCAAGGAATGACGGGGGCCTTACCTTTTAACGTGTGATCCCAAACACTTTCTTAGGCCATCAGAAAAAGTCTGCGTTCGTGGGACTCGAACCCACGATCGATACCTCGACGTGAATCGATATTGAAGCATCGAAGCACTGAGGTACGCCGGCCTTTACACAAAAAGACTTGTTTACATTCCAATGCAATCATACAATGCAGTTGATTCTGTTAGGATCTTGCTATGACATTGCTGAATTAACAATTATAACGAGAATAGCAATATAACAATCGATTCTGTATTCTTTTTTTTATGTTCTGGTTCCCACAAAAAGGGATATCCTGTAATGTTCAGAGAACATCGTGAGAGCCAAGGGAAATAAGGTAGGAATTGGTGTTCCTCTTGAATTTCTGGAGGTTATATGCCTCGGGGAACACCTCCCGTTGGAATGTGTTCCAGAGTCTCGCTGTTCGTTGGATGAACGAGTCTTTCGAAGGAGATGTTCTGCAGGTCTCCAAAGTGACCACGAAGGGGTGCGAAGCCTCAACTCGACGGGTTAATCTCGCGGAGACTGCCAAGGGGGGAACAATTGTTGATGTTTCAGAAGAGCATCGTCTATGAAAATGTGCCTTATAGATCATATGCAGCTGACTGGAAGTGAAATAGCTCCTGGCCCGAAACAGAAAACCAAGTTTTTGGGATGCACTTTTAGCAATTGATTTCACGTGATTTTCCCAAGAAAGGTTATTGCTGATAGTAATACCAAGCATCGAAATGGATGTCTTCAAAGGTATAGTTACCTGACAAGCTTATGTTGGGCACAGTGAGATCGGATTTTCTAGAGAAAAGACATGCTTGTGTTTTGTTTGCATTGAAATCTACCAAGTTATTGGATCCCCATTCGAAAATTGTTGCCAAGTCCATATTTATGTTTTCAACATTTCTCCCTCGTTAGTTTCTGATTTGCCGGGCTGGTATTGAAGCCCAGGAAGAGAAGGCGGTATGGAATGTACTATCATTCGCGAAACTGTGTACTCTACATGAAGTTGCTTCCAATAAATCGTTGATATGGAGTAGAAATAGTGTTGGTGGCTAGAATTGATCCTTGCGGAACACCAGCATTTATGATAAGAGAGGCAGATGAAACTCCGTCGACCAGTACATGGAGAGACCTGTTTGAGAGAAAACTAGGTAGCAAAAAACATAGCTGGGGAGTCAAGCCATAAGATGGAGGCTTGGCGAGGAGTCCGTGTTGCCAGACTCTATCGAATGCCTTGGAAATATCAAGTGCCACGGCTAAGGTTTCACCATATTTTTCAATAGATTGCTGCCATATATGTGAGACGTAAGCGAGCAGGTCACCAGTTGATCTCTGATGACGGAAGCCATATTGCCTATCGTTGATAATACCTGAATGTTCCAGGTATTTTATGAGCTCGAAGTTGATAGCTTTCTCCATGATCTTTGAAACAATAGGTAGCAGTGCGATCGGTCTGTAGTTGCTAGGTAGGGTCATTTTGCCTTTTTTAGGAACTGGTTGTACTCTTGCATTTTCCAGTTGGACGGGAATATCCCCAATTTGTAAGAGTAGTTGAACAACTTACAGAGAACAGGTGTTAGTTCGGGAGCACATTTCTTGAGAACAATCGGTGGGATTCCGTCGGTGCCACAAGCTTTGTTGGTGTTGACACCCAATGAAATCTTCCTTATTGTACGTTGGCGAAAGGTAATCTCGGGCATATGACTGTCAATTGGCGTCATGTTTGGAGGTTGTTTTCCCGATGAATTCAGAGTGGAATTTCCAGCAAATGAATGCGCAAAATGTTGCCTTTCTCCTGGGCAGTTGTGGCTAGTGTTACATCTTCCTTGGTTAGAGGACAAAACGAGCTGGAAGTGAAGTTTCTTCACACAGCTTTGGCGAAGGACATCGATTTGGCAGCGGTTCCACAGGTTGCACTCTTCACAAAATAAATTACTCTTTTTAACTAGTAACTTCGAGGTTTCTACGATTCGATCTCTCCCTCCTCAGGACGAAGAAGTGGCGATGCTCACCGAAATCGGCCACCTCCAAGAAGCCGTCCAACAGCTAACGAAACACTCCTCGGACCCCGCCCACCTGCCCCCCGCCTCCGAGCAAGTGATCGCCGACCTGAAGGGCAGCGAGGGCGGCTGGTCGTTCCGCACGCCGCCCTCCTCGCCTTCCAGCTTGGGCTCGAGGAAGAGCTCGATGTGCTCGATCAGCTCGATCAACAGCTCGAGCTCGAGCGGCTCCAAAAGTCACCACCATTCGCCCAGTCATCCGTGGCAGCGGTCCTTGTCGCAGGTAGGTTATGAAACTGTCATAAAACCTTCATGAAATGCTTATAAAAGTCATAAAACTTATAAAACTGTTATAAAACTATTATAAAACTGTTATAAAACTTCTATGAAACTCATAAAACTCGTATAATATCTTATAAAACTCGTATAAAACTCTTATAATTTTTTTATTAAACTCTCATAAAACACTTATAAAACTCTTATGAAACTATTATAAAAGTGTTATGAGACTGTTTCAAAACTGCCCTCCCTGCCCTCGAGCTTGAGCTCGATGTGCTCGATCAATATATCGAGCTCGAGTGGCTCCAAAAGTCACCAACATTCGCCCAATCAGCCATGGCAGATGTCCTTGTCGCAGGTAGGTTATAAAACTGTTATAAATCTTCCATGAAACTTTTTAAACTCATAAACCTTATAAAACGGCTGGTGGTTTTGCACCCTGCCATCCCTGCCCTCGACCTTGAGCTCGTTGTGCTCGATCAATATATCGAGCTCGAGCTCCTATGGAAATGTTATGAAACTCTTATAAAACTGCTGTAAAACTTTTATAAAACTTCGATGAAATTTCCTAAAATATTTATAAAACCTCTTATTGAATGGTAAAAGTTTCGAACGAACAATAAAATTTGAACTTGACTTGTTTAAAACTTGTTCTAAACTTTGAATTGTGTTGTAAACTCCTATGAAACTTATTGAAAACTCATGTCTAATGTTGGAATCTAATTTAGAACTCTCGCATATGAAACAATTATTGTTATGTAAATATTTTGTAACCTTTTGAGTGGATTCCATGCCTTAGAGTGTAGATAAACTTTATTATTTTGCAAGACAGAGATGACTGGTGAAAACTGGGAAACTATTTTTTGGTTTCTCATAAAATGTCATTCTTGGAAGAATAGAAGGAAAAATTGCAGACACTTGACGCATTATTTGTGATGGAAAGTCAAGAAAACAAAATTACTGTGACTAAAAAAAAATTGACTATGAAAATTGATAGTCCGTTTTTCATTTCTACTTCTTTTTTTTCAATTCAGTAATATACCGAAATACAATATAATATTCCGCAAAAATGTAAACTATTTGTCTCAAAACGATATTTTTTGAAATTATGCCATAGTTTTTCTTCTATCTCCTACTGTGTTATTTTTCATTTTTAGTATTTTAAGCATGGTGGATTTGTTTGTTTCTGTTTGATTTTATTTTTGTTTCTGTTTTTTTTATGTTTGGTAAACAGCCAGTAGGTCGTAGTGGTACAATGCGTGTTAGATCTGTGTCCAGCCAAGATTCTGGCTTCACTTCCCAAGACACTTTATATCCAAGACCACCTTCTTCTTTTAGCTCAGCACAGGTAAGAAAAAAGTGAAAAAAAAATCAGACAAAGTGGTTCAGTTATTAGAATATCAGTATTATTTCAACTGCTTCAGCTATGTAAATGTACTTTTAGGCAATCAGAATGGTTATTATAGATAGAGCTAGTCGAATACTTGTGAAAACTAGTACAAATTAAGTGTTGAATTATGTCAGTGGTAGTATTCAAATATTTGGTGCCTGGTGGATATTCAGATATAGATTTCTCAAATATTGCATCAACAATGAAGCATTTGTACTTTGTTTGGGAATTTTTCTGGTCAGCTCTATAAATACTACTTTTGAAAACGTTAACAATTATTTTGTCTCAATAATTATTCATTTATTCAAATGCATTGTTAGGCATCTACAGTTGAAATCTGAATAGTGCTGATGAATATCTTGTGAAATCCAGAAAATTTGATAATATAGTATGTTTATTGGGGTTCTCACTCAAATGTTCGATGATTAATAAATGTGGGAAAATTCCAGGTGTCGAACATGTCAGAGCACAGCAACAACAGCAGCAGTTCCAACACACCCTGTACACCGTTTCCAGTCAGCGTGGCACCAACCACTACAGCCACGTGGCCGAACTTGCAAGAAACCATGCAGTTCGAAAGAGCAGCTTCTGCTATAATCAGTGACAGGCCACATACAATATCATCAGGTAAGGGATAATCAGATTTTGGAGCTCCAAGCTTTTCTTCTAGAAAGTCTTATTTCCATCAATTCAATTATCTCCGTGCGAAAAGCTACTTTACACCTCAACAGCTTCTCATGATCTACAAAGCGCAGATACGGCCTGTTCTAGAATACTGTTCTCACATATGGGGTTCAGCACCAAAACATACGCTGATGCTCTTAGATTCCATCCAGACAAGAGCCATCCGCCTGGTGGGTGACGCCACACTCACTCAATCTTTGACATCATTGGAACACCGTAGAAAGGTCGGCGACCTTTCACTTTTCTATCGATACTACCACGGGAAATGTTCTTCGGAAATCTCTGCTATCATCCCTTCACTAGCAATACCAGTCAGACGAACTAGACAAGCCCAGTCAGCACATCCTTTCGTTGTCAACCTCGAAAGTCCAACAGCACTTTATAAAAACTCCTTCATCCATAGAACGGCTAGGCTCTGGAATTCATTGCCTGAGGAAGTCTTCCCAACAACATATAATCTCCAGAAGTTCAAAAAAAATTCCAATACCTACCTCCTGTCCCTATCCTCCCTAGGAACGCACGATGTACTTTGAACATTATAGGGATTTCTTTTTGTGCGCTCCAAGCGATAAAAAAAATATAGGTATATCCAGAGAAGTTTATTTGTAATAGTTTCGTTTCATTTTATTCAATACTGTACTGATATTCCCCTCGGAGGGGCTTTAGAAACATCAGCAGGAAGGCAGGAGTACAGCGATCATCCTGTATCACGCATCCCCGATTGCTCTCCAACCTCTCAATGATTCCTACATACACCAGCATATTTCCGAACACTCAATATATGCCGCAGTGACAAATAACGTCACAGAAGATTCTGGAATGTTCTGGAAACAATCGATGGAACAATTAGAGAGAGAGGTTTTGTTCTAAGAAGCTTCTAGAACAAAAAGAAGGAGACGGAAGATCATTCGAGAACGTTCTCGAGCCAAAGCCTGCCATGTGTTCTCATATATAAGACGTCCGAACAACTGAGTCAGTCAGTCGAGCAGCGAGTGTCAGAGAGACAGTTATATACCGCGTGATATAAATCATTTTACATAAATAGTAGTTATAAGTTCGATATAAATTAGTGTTTCTTTAGTTCAAATAAATCCGTTCGAAAATAAATAGTGTCGTGTTCGCTTCTGCACCCGAATAACGTAACAATACTCTAAACTTGATAACCTAAAGCAAACCATGATAGAATTTGCTACAGGCCCTGCGCTGGCTTAATCCGGCACCGATTATATCTGAGAATATTCCTTTTCAAGATAAAACAATTTGTTCTGAATTTTTTCGATTTTGTTTCGTGTTTCCAGCGTACGAAAAAGGCCACCAGAGACCGCCGTTGACGGTGTATACATTCCAAGCACCCGAGCAGAGTATCTCCCAGCCCGCCAGTCCTGTCACCTCGACCACGCCCACAGATTCCAGTTGCGGCAACGTGCCGCCCAAAAGTCCGGCCGCCTCCATCAAGTCCATCACGAAACCGCCATTGCCAACGGTAAGAAATAAATATCAAATATCGGAGGTTCTATATGGATTTTTGTCAATCTTTGTCCTCAGAATAATATGTACTTAGCGTTTTCTATTTTCAATGGGTTACCGAACTGTTATTGAATTTATCATTATTACACATTCACACTGTGTTCAATACCATTTAAATGTGTTTTTCTTGAGAATTATGAGGCAATGCGCTATCCCAGAACATGGCCAAATTGTGGCCATGACGGCATGTTTTAAATGAGCTCTGAAATCAAACAACTCATAGACACATTATTTTCATAAAAAACGCGTGCTCCAAAAATTGATTTAGGTCCCTTACGACACAGTGGAATAATTGAATGTCAATTAATAACTATTCTCTATCACTCCAATAGCCTATTGTCTTCATACAGTTTCATAACAACAAAAAAAACTGAAAATCAATTGGAACACCAAAGTCCTAAAATGGTAACAAACACAGCACATCAACACTGTAATATCGGATTTTGACTAATGTGAATGACTAAGAAAATTATGCGTAACCCGTAGTAAACACGCGAATACAGCGTTGCCATACTTATTTCCATAATACATTAAGATAACATTATGTAATGATGAAATTAGGATAATTTTAATTGTTTCAATGGCAGAATTCACATATTTCAATTGAGGAACAAACATACAGAATGAATATTCATATAAAATGTATATTCAGTATACAGGGTTACTGGTAATTCGATACATTCCTTTGGAGATGTGATAGGGAGTGGATTAAACCCTAATAATAATAGTTTTTGAGATATTGAAATTTGTTTTCTCCAAAAAGGCGACATTAATGGTTTAAGAGTTAGTTTCCCGGAAATCTGCTCAACATTTTTTCAACCTTTCAACTAGAATACATGATCAACACTATGGTCTTATGTTCCAAATGAAAAAAATCCAGTAATAGCTTAGATCATAGATAAATTGTAAATACAAAGTCGTTGTACGCCACAACGGTATTCAATAGCTCAAATGTGGTACAAGAAAAATGAATTGCTTCTAACCAAAGGCGCAAATTAACTTTGGACTTGTGGTATGGTAAAGCGAGGAGTCAAAACAGCTTCCCATAGACGATCAGCCGTATCTTCTCTAGGATGATCCAAAAAAAGCTGGAATTGTCGCTTCTCGTTAGCTCCCTGGATGCCGGTGATCTTCAAGTGTAGCACTGTTCTTAAAGCGTAGAAAAAAGAGCAGCAATGTTATAGCTCATGCAGAGCTCACTGTTGCACTTTGGCGAATTAGCGATATAAGCGGAAATAGTGACAATCATGTCTCTTTTGTTAAAGGGTTATGCTTTGCAACAATCACTATGAATCAGCATACGTATAAACAACGCCCTCTTCTCATCGTAGATGATCTTTGTGCTGATGTTATCGTGGGTCATGATTTACTAAAGGACCACTCAAGTCTTCAATTCAAATTTGGTGGTCCGAAAAAGCCCTTGGAAATATGCAGTGTGACAGAAGCTACAGTCCCGCCAGCGATTTTACTAAATATACTGCACGCTAGCACAAACCACGCCCACCATAATACGTCATATCTCCAAACATTACCGATATACTCGGAGTCAGCACATCGCACTAAATATACTGTGCTCCAACGCAAGAATACACTTTTTATGATTTTGACACGAATTCGACTGAAGCTCTCTCGTTGTCAATCTCTTGTACGCAGTAAATTCATACACCCAAATGGTCTACTGGTTAGCGCTGTCGACTTTAAGTCGGAAGGTCCATGGTTCGAATCGCTGTGAACTTGAACTTTTTTTTTTCACCAATGTTTTTTTACTTCATTCTGGTTTTCCTTTTTCATAAAATATTTGAAGTCAAATAGGTTAGTGCGTTTAGGATAAACAGTCTCATTTAATTCAATTTTGTTGAAGAACTCAACTTTTGAAATATATTATTAATCAATGTGTTTCTACCCTCCATTCGGTTTTCCTTCCTCAAAAATATTGCAATCAGGGATAGGTTAGTTCGTTGAGGATAAATAGTCTCTGAGTTTTGCCTAAGTAAAGTACTTTGAAGATGAGATATAACGGTGGGCGTGGTATGTGCTAGCGTACAGTATATTTAGTAAAATCGCGTCCCGCCAGCCTCAATTTTCACTAATCTCTCGCCTGACATCAAACCGATCGCTGTCAAGAGCAGACGCTATAGTAATGATGACGAGAACTTCATTGCTTTAGAGATAGAGATAAATTACTAGAAGACAAAGTGATCGAACCCAGCGTCTCACCTTGGCGAGCACAAGTCCTAGTGGCTGGTAGGGGTTCTCACCGAAAACGTCTTGTGATTAAGGGATATCCTGTAATGTTGTTGTTGTTCTTTATTACCCCAATAAACTCCCCATTTCACGAGCTTCCCTTTCCAGAGATGCTCGTCCCTGGAACGCCATCCCGCTGGCCCAGCCGTCCCTGCCAAATCGACCGTCTCGGCCGTGGCGCAAGGGGTGCGGGTATTGCCGCCCGGGGCGGAGCTAGCGCTGAAGAAGCCCTCCCCGCTGCCCGCCCACCTGGCGAAGGCCGCCCAGCAGCAGCAGCAGCCCACCTACGTCAACATGCACGAGCTGGCCAGCATGGCGGCCAATAAGGTGGGCGGGGGGCGTGGTCGGGGGACAGGAGAGGGGCGGGTTTCCCCCGCCTCCTGCCGAGTTCGTCAGTCCTCCTGAGAAGGTAAGTGGGGGTAGAGTTTCTGTAATATCAATCAATCAATAGAGCAATGTCTGCTGACGTCACAACATGGCGCACTTGTCGTTTTCACCAGCTGATCGGCGGACAAACAAAGCTGTGTGTGAATTTTGATTTTATTATTTCTGACCCATTGGTGATTCTGTTGAACTTGTAGATATTAAAATGAGTATCTACTGAGGTATATTACGAGGTATATAAGGTATATTAGAGCTGAACTCAAGTGACAAATAAACCAATTTGAAATCTTCTTTGGACTCATTTACTTCTCTCACAGGGTTCATGATGCATGAATTAACAAATATGTCAATTAATAAATGATCCAGGTATTGTATTTTAGTGGTAAATGTGCAAGAAAGTTACATGTGCACTTATGGAAAATGTGTATGCTTGTCCCCCCATCAGGTGTTCAATGGCCGACATATGACGTCACTGACAATGCTCTATTCATTCAATTATTCAGATACATATTCTTTTATATAGTGAATGTTACATATCATATAAAGTATCTAATTATATTAAATTCAAAAAAGAAATTATTAATGAGGAAATAAGTGGTGGTGGTCAGTTTTTGGGAGATGCCAAAGCAGAGATTGTGTTGCGTATTTCCCAGATATTTTCCCTTGTAGAAAAAGAGTTTTATTAATATCTTGCTCGCTTGAGCCGATTTGAATGAAATTCTCATGGTTTATTCACACAATTATCAGACATTTACTGGACCAATTCGATTTAATCCAGGATTTCCAGGGACCTACCCATCGAGCAAGTCGGCATTTTTTTCTAAATAGAAAAAAAGTCATCCGTGTTTTTTTCCGGGCTCCTCAAATATTCAGATGAATTCACTGAAAATACATAATTTCTGTCTCTTGCTATTTCTTCGTATATTGCTCCGTTTTTAAACAAAAACGGACAATACCATACCAAGCCAAGGCCGTGAAATCATCATAATCGAAATATGCTATAACGTCGATGGAATCCAAATGGATAAATTGGAATAGAATAAAAGCAAATTGTTGTTTTTTTTTCAGGTGAATGAAGGCGAAAAAGAAAGCAGCACTAGCGAGAGCTCTTTAGAATCCTCTAGCGGATATGGAAGTCAGACAACATTTACCGTTGAAGATGCCCAACATCTAGAAGGTAAGATTACTGTGAAATGTGACACTGTTTTTCCGTGCATGACGTTTTTTGTGTTTTATCCATGTTGTTTCATTCATAACCAAAATCGATGGATTTCTATCAGAACCTTTGAGAAATAAACTGCATTTTCACAGAATCTGGACTGTACTAACACTTCATTAATAGCATTTTCAGAAATTGAAAAAATATACCAGCTGTCCCAGATCTTTTCATACAAAAGCAATATTTCAGTTTTGCTGTTTCGAAAAGAAATTACACTTGTCAAACCCATATGACTTTGAAGCCGTTGTGACAAAGTCATCTTCTGGCAAACTACTCCTGAAATGCCACCCCAACTTCAATTCTTCAAATATCACCCTGTACATTTTTTGTTGATTTGTGAATTGCAACCAATTTTCACATCAACGATGTATCATACTTGATATTTGAACAAACGTTATGCTACCAAAATTACGGAATTCGAAGACAATATCAGGTGTATGTCATTTCTTTTGTTGTGCTTTTTTTGACAATTGTTTGTTCACTTCTCCTTCAGTCAGTCTTTTGACAGTTGTTTGTGTTCGCATCTTCAAGTCAGTTTTTAGGACATTCAACTAAGACGTTTGCTTCAAATGAGTATTCTGTCAATTGGACATCAGTCAAATTTGACAGAAGTTGACCTTGACACAACGGCTTTAAAGTTCAAAGGCATACGGGTTTGGCAAAAGTGTGATTATTAAATTTTTTTCCATGCAGCATAACTGATATATTGGCTCAATGAAAAGATCTAGGAGACCAGTTTTTTGAAAAAGCATGTTTTTGGATTCTCTCCAAACATATTCATAGAGATACTGATAAGTTGACGTATTATTTTCAGTAAATTTTGTTGTTATAAAATAAGTTGCTCTGGAGATTTTGATATTCAGTCAATTTTCGCACTTCTTAAAATTATCCTAGCATAAATCAAATCTTTAGCCATCTATATAAAAAAATCTAATATAAGAAAAAGTTTATTTTAATCCATCAGTTAATTTTAGCCCTCCCTCCAGTTGGGCTACAATGTTTTCCCTGGATTTATAATCACCTATTACTGTAAAATTTAATACATAATTGCTCACAATGACCCTTGGAATGGAATGCGTTGATTATCAGTTACCCTCTTTAGACCTTTTATATGTAATATAATTATTCTACATAATATAGCAGGAAGCTGAATGAAATCCGATATAATGAAGTGAAAATTACTCTTTGATAACTTACGCAAAATTCATTATACTTAGGATATGTTCCGTTAATCAAGCGAGGTTACCGATGCTTCCAGGGCCGGTACTTAGCAGGTACCAACAATTTCGAGTGGTTCTCTACTGGTGACTACGGTTGTGGTTTATTTACGGAATGCCAGTCATTTGTCAAATTATTGCCTTGCTCGTTTTTTTAAACATTCATCTTGCTCTGCCAGTATTTGATTTTCAATTATGGCACCCAAAAGTCCCTAATCCTTGTGCAAAGTAAGCACAAGCAAAGGATGTAGTGTCCAAATAGAAAAAAACGTCATCAAACTGAAAATATATCGAATATTATTAATTTACCTCTGTAAACGAATCCATCGGAACTTAACGCAATAATTAAAATGGGAATATTGTTTTTTGTTGTAATTTGTAAGTCGAATAATCAAATCGAAAACTAAAACACGTCAACGTCAACTCTCTCACCGAACTTACCAGTCAAAATCAACAATCGTTCTGGTGACAGTGAATCTACCGTTTTTTCAGCAACCGAGTTCCGTAAATAACCTCTTTTCACTAACCAACCGAACATTTCATGTTCACGGAACTCAAAACTACTAACCATAATAACCAAGTTGATTTACGGAACATATCCTTGTTGAATTGCACTGGGAAAATATATTTAGAAATTAATTCGGTGTGTTGTATCAGAATTTCATTTGGCTTTTCGAACCTGACCTTTAGCAAATTTTTGAGCATGCGTGTGATCACCGGTGTGTTATTAGATGTGAATGGTACTACAAGCAAGTATTGCACGCTTCCAAGGAACACTGATTTATCGAATGCAGTCAGAAGGAGACCGGTTTCAATGACAGGTAAATTAGGAGTTTTTAATCGTAGATAATTCATGGTGAATATGTAAACCTTGATTTTTTTCTGACTCATGATCTTCAAATGGTTCTCTACTCAACCTGAGTAACAATCAAGAATCATCAAAAGTTGAGTGTTTTTTAGTATTTGAAATATATACAGTGCTTCCCTTTAATGTTCTCCCCTTTATTTTTTCTTGTGATACATTCTTTTGAAGCTCCTGACAAATACTTCACAACCCCTTCACCTACTACACAATGGCGGAACAGTTAATAATTGCTTGAATTCATCGACGTTTACTTCATAATTTGAGGAAATAAACTGAGTTCAGTTCAGAAGATGCTCGAAATGGTTGCCTTGAACTTCTCGACATATAGAAATATAGTATAGATGAAATTGTTGATCAACTAGCTACTTCAGGATGGATATCTTTAGGTATTTCTTCACCTCGCGTATTGGCAACACTGTTCATTGAATGTCAATATTTGTTATTTGCTTCAAATAGTTCAGTCAGAGATGTTCTGGCACTTGCCTGTTCTGTTAGTATCGACATTTCAATTTCTTGTAAGATTACTTTCATGTTGATTTTTGTTTGCAAAAAAAATCGTGATTTCTTTATGGAGAAGATGAAAAGTCCGAGTTTCGATGATTTTTTTCAATGTCCGTTGCTTTTCGTTTAGTGATGGGTGGAGGCACCATGCGTAACACGCTGCTCAGAAGGGGATCCATGCAGACTCAGAAACCTCCGCCGCCGATCAGACGAACGTCTTCCATTACGAACACGTCATCTTCCATGGGCAGTCTGGAACATCTGCCACCGCCTCCTGCCTTTTTGCTGGAACCCACTTTGCAGCATCAGCAGCCCCAAGCAAAACCCACAACAGGTATTTCAATTCAATTTCAGAATGCTTCAATCAATCGTACAGTTATATCGAAGGCTGGAACCTTTGGCACGATAATATCCTACACTGTTCTACCACTAAGATTAAAACTGAATGAATCGTACAGTTGTATTAACCCATTAACGCCTACCGTCCTTTTAAAAGGACTTCAAAAAACGAAACCTGTATCTTTCTGATTCAGCTGACGGTTGGAAGTTGTCGACAGTGTCACATTATATTTAGTTGACATATTAAACGAGGTCAATCGCGATCTTTAGGATTTTGTTAGGTTTTGGATCGATAGTGACGGTCGAAAAACTCTGTGTTTCTAGTAATTCTGCAATGAATGACTCAAGGTGAGACACATGTTGAGACTAGTTTATTTGTCAGTTGTTGTTTTGATTATTTTCAATGGATACCATACTTCACTCACTTTTCTTTATATTCGTGGTTATATTTCACACTTCTCGATTAATCCAGGGGCGTTCAATTGAAGAAGGCTGTAGGATTATATGCTACTATGCAAAGAATGACTCTACGCCGGACATTCCTACAGGCATTAAAATTTTTGAACCCGAAATGCCAACAAAAACTGCGATACCGATGAAGATTCTGAGGCTGAAGACGATGTAGTTACCCGGAGTGCATGATTATAAACTCCGTATCATCGTATCAAAATCATATTCAACTTCAATTTTTTATTCATGATATTATAATATGAAATTTTAAAAGTTTAAAAATAAAAGTATGCATTTTCAGTCATTTCACTGAAAATAAGGAAAAGCACTCGAATCTTACTTTCAATATCAATTCTGATACCCATGAGCATCACACCAGACAAAGTGTCAGCTGCAATGTCACGAATAAAACGTAACAAACCAAATGTATCACTACTGTCACTAATCGATTGTATTTTGCAGGTATAAACGTCGCGGAAACAGTGAAGGCCCTCACCGAGCTGAAACACACTCCAGCCAGCCCGAACTCCATCCGGCGCATGTCCTCGTCCTCGCAGAACCTCTACCAGGCGTCGCAGGGCGTGGCCCCCACTGCGCCCCTCTCCCAGCCGTCCGGCCCCGCCTTCAGCACCTTCCACCAATCGAAGGTGGCGTACGTGTCGCAGAGCGGGGGCGTGGTCTACGCGCAGCCCGCGCAAGTGGGCGCGGGCAGCAGTCCGAACGTGGTGAGGCGGATCGCGAGTTTCAGGTCGCAGAGTGCGGATAGAAAAAGTGAAGGTGCATACAAATTCTGTTGTTTTTTTCATCCACATACTCAACAAATCTATATACTATGCAAGTAGAGGGGCTATGGGGTTACCAGCTCAAGCCAATCAGAGGCCAGCATTCAGTTTCAGGGTCACGGAAGTGCCACCGAAGTGTCACGGAAGTCGGAAACGTCACGGAAGTCGGAAACGTCACGGAAGTGTCACTGAAGTGACCCTCAAACTGAATGCTGGCCTCTGATTGGATTGAGCCGGTAACCCCATAGCCCCTCTACTTATGCATATTAGTCGGGGCTTGTTTTGCGAAAAGCCAAATCCTAGAAGCATTTCATGTAACGATTGGATAAATGACGTTTACTCCCTATTTCGACCCTGCTGAATCCAAAAATACCGTTTATCAAGTCGAAATTCCAACCGGAAGTGAGATATTCAAGATGGCGTCCAAAATCCCCTGAAAATCAAATTATTTTCTACTTTTGGTCAGGTTAGGTGCCGATGTCTATGTTTTCGGGGGTGAAGAACACGATGAGACACTCAAAAAATGATTAGGAGCATTAAAAGTTAATCAAATGGTCAAATTTATTTCAGACTATATCTCAAAGAGATGCCAACTATTTTATGGAAGCCACACTGTAGGAGAATAAATTTATCTGCACACAGTGCCGGTTCTACTAGGGGTCCTTTGCATGCTATAGCACCAAGCGGCAAAATCTCTGTGGTGGCTATGGATTTATGGATTTTGGCAAGATTTTGAAACAACTGCACGTCTTTCATCATCAGTAGCTAAATATTTCGATTTATTACGCGAGCATTAGGAAAGTCATTGACAGGAACTGAAAATTATGTTCAGAAGCGAATCATCATGAAGAAATAGCAATTAGGAGAAAACAATACAGTGAAAAGTTCAAACCAAAGAGAACAATTGCGGACATAATAATTTATTTCAATAAAACAGGCCCAATGTTTGTTTTGAATCAAAATACTTTGTGATCAAGTTGATGTTAGATGAGGATGAAAATGAATTGATCAAATTGTCAACCTGACTTCAGAAAAAGTATGTTGAGGATCTGGACATAGATTTCTTCAGACGAGCGTATTCACCTGAAGAAACGATTAATTCCTCTTTCAGAGATTTCAACTGCTGTCCATGAAAGCCTACTTTACGCCCCGAAGAATGAAAGTGTTCTTCAACAATCACAATTAACCAACAACGCCACTGAATCGTGGCATAGGGGATTTTTATCCCTTATTGACGCACAAAAATCATCTCTCTGGAATTTACTGGACAAAATGAATAAGGAACAATGCTCCAAAGAGAATAATCAAACATGGGTTCAGTTCTAGTTCTTCTGTTCATTTTTCCGACCCATGTGTTTTCGAAATAATGAATAAATTCTTCATTTACTTCCGTGGACAGATGTTCTCTCACTATAAAGTCGAAGCCTCTGAAGATTGAAGCAACTGGTACAAAAGCTAACGCTTTCAGCATCTTGATTTGCAAATTAAAATGATAGAATAATGCTCTTAAGTATAGTTTTTTTTTTGTTCAGATAAGTTAGCTAGGTAGGTAGATTGTTGAGAAAATAACAGTTTTTTGCAATAAAGATATAAACGTTTTCGAGAAAACGAATCTTCAAAATGAATGATCTCGAAAATACAACCTTTTGAAAAGTTGTTTGTAGAAAAAAGTAACTTTCGAAAGAAAGGATCTTCGAAATATTAATTTTCGAAAAAATAGTTTTCGAAAACGTTGTTATCGAAAAAACTTCTGCGACCCCTCTGGAATTCGTTCCGAGTCTGTCAGGAAATTTCCAAACGTATTCACGGCTGTCAAACGCCCTCGATCCGCTATCATTGCACACTGGACCGATCTCTTCAGGTTTACATACATAGGTCGACAAAAAAAAAAAAGGAAAATTGATGCATCAACTTTACTGAACCTATTTTTCCGCTTCTTCGTTCCAGGTCCAGGAGGAGTGGGCTCCAACTTCATAGCCTCGCTCAGCGCCAAACTGGCGCCCCAGCTGAGCCCGAGGACGTCACGCAAGTTGTCCGACGATCGCACGCCCACAAACTCGCCCATGGGTACCAAATACCACCACCAGCAGCAGCACCACCAGCAGCAGCAGCAGCAGCCGAAGATGGGCCCAGGGCAGTGCTTCCTCGAATCGCTCAACGCGAAGCTGTCGCAGCAGCACCTGTCGAACGTGCCGCAGCCGCAGGTCAAGGCTAACAAGATCAGGCAGATGATCAACAGTCGAGCGCAGGTGAGACGGAGTTCGAATGTTTTTGATTGTTGACTGGAAACTTGTGATTTTTATAGACCTCTAATCGCAGATTTGTGATAGAGTCTCAATTCAGAATTTCTTTTCACGCCCTGTATGATGAATGTCAATTTATCATACACCCAAAAGCAAAAAATAGTGGATGATACTGTGGACACATTTCTGGTATAAGCGAGATTTCGATTTCTAAGGGGGAATTCTGCCGCGGAGAGTGTTATTGAACCTCAAACGGAAGGCAAGCTGCACACGAACGATTGAGGGGGGGGTACTACAACGAAAACACGTTCTTGAACACACCACTTCATTATAGGGAAGAGCAACTACGAAATAGCGACAATGCTCAAAGTGGAATGAGATAAATAAATACAAGGAAGCTCAAAGTTATCTCCCTAAATATTCATTAACTCAACAACGAGAGTAAGAGAGAAATTCATCTATTAAGGACTTACCACCCACCCCTATAACATCATTATCTGACCGATTTTGAAAACCTTTTTTTTTATAGGTATTTGAAATGTCTATTCAACAAGAGAGTGATTGTATTCTTGGACTGTTAACATAGCCAACTTGGACCAACTTTATTGACCCATATTTCAGAAAGTACTATTAGGAATTTTTTTGTCACAAAAAATAATCATGGATTCTCAATCACGATCACTTGAAACATACCTGTACTGATTTTCATCATCATAAAAAACAGGGTGTCCGAGAAAACGAATTATTTGTTTATATATTTTTTTTTTGATAGGTGATCAGAAAATTTAGTTCTTTGGTATTTTTTGGAAGAACTAATAACCCATTATTATTGGAGATTACTTCAAACATATCAGTACCAATTTTCAGCATAAGAATAATCCAATATGCCTGAGAAAAAAAAATAAAAATTATGAGTGAGCAATATTTTGTTTTTGTGATAATACTTCACTTAATGAATTGTGAATCAGGATCACTTGCAATAAACCTATATCGATTTTCATCATTATTAAACACAGGATGATCTAAAAAAAACGAATTATTATGATTTTTTTGATATTTGATCAGAAAATGTATTGTACTTCTTGTTTTTGGAAAGAATTAATGACAATTTATTATTCAGTACTACTTTGAACATATCTGTACCGATTTTTATCATTCAATTATACAATGTGTATGAGAAAAAGGAATAAAAAAGAATAAAATTGGCAATATTTTATTATCAATTCAAAAAAATAATAAATTATTTTTTTTTACACCTTGTGATCATTGATGATGAAAATCGGTACAGGTATGTTTCAAGTGATCCTGATTCATCATTATTTTTTGAGTGAAGAATTATCATGATGAAAAATATTGCTTGCTTATCCTTTTTATTTTTTTCTCAGAGACATTGTATATTCGAATGATGAAAATTACAACAGATATATTGTAATCCTCGATGATAATTTGTCATTAGTTCTTCCGAAAAATACAGCTCTACATTTTCTGATCACCTATTAGAAAAAAAACGTTTTTCGGACACCCTGAGTTTTATGATGATGAAAATAGGTGCAGGTATGTTTCCAGTGATCCTGATACAAAATCAATGATAATTATTTTCCGTGAAAAAAAATCCAAGGATGAAAACACTCTCCCCTTGGATGGACATCTGGAAAACCTGTCCAATAAAAAAAGTATTTTGAAATCGATCAGATAACAACAATTTTACAGAGGTGGTAAGTCCTTGAGGTGGACACACTGTATGTTGTCACTGTCGATCAGTCGCTCCTTAATTGGAAATGTGACTCTGATAATTCCTGTAGTCCATGCATATTGTACCAAAACTTTAGAAGAAAAAAAAGTTAAACAAAATGAAATTATTTTATATCTCATCATCTTTATTTTTTCATATTCTGTGTAATTTGATACTTGGGTGAATTCACTCCACTGTCCCTCTTCTTTTTTCGAACTCACATATTTTTTAGACGAAAATGTACTAATCATCTAGAGAACAACAACCCATGAAAACAACACAAATAATGAGATTCTTTGGAAAGGGATTGTTTGGAAACATATTTGACATGAATTGTCCTTTGTGTTATCAAGTTTTCCTTGTCCTTCCCTATTTTTGACTTGTTTTAATGTTTACAGAATTTGAGCTATGATGAAATGTTTTGATATCTAATTGAGGTGAGATTTGTGTGAAAAGCTGCTGGTATTTTGGCAAAAAAATAAATAAATGCTGCGTTTTTATTTCATCAGCGTTGTTCCTTCACTAATTTTCTAATCTGCTTTTGAATAGTTTTTATTTTTCACCTAACACTTACTGCTATAATATCTCAAAAAATAGTAGCAGAAGTATTTTTTTCTTTCAAAAATTTCTTTGTGAATTGTGGATTCAAATTTTTGGTTATTTTTCAGCCTGACCCGAAAGTATGCCACGAGTCATTGATGGATCAGATCAAGAGGGGAGCAACACTGAAACGAGCCAAAATGACGAATGACAGGTCAGCTCCAAAGATTTACTAATTCTCGAAGAATATCACATATTTATTGAATAAATGTATTTTACCCCTAATCGTTATACAGGCCGTAATTTTTCATGTCCTACCACTATTGAAAGTCAAATTTTCAAAAATCGGATAAAACTTGCGGATTTAGATTGCTGCCTTTTTTGTAAGACAAACTGTATACCTACACATTTCCTTATTCCTCAAAATGGAAAAGCCGGGATTCTTACAATTCTTAGATATAATTTTTTTGACACCTGAAATATAGTGCTAGAGATTCACCAAGAAATTGTATAACAGTTTTCTTTACACTTGCATCGGATTTTGGAATTTTATTTCCACTATGTGCAAGAAAATGCAATTTTCTTTGATTTTTGAGGGTCTAGCACACCCAGTAATAGTGAATTTTTCTTTGATTCATCATCTTCCAGATGCGAAAAATAGTGATATGACTTGAAACTTGAGGGCATATTTCATATTTATCGAACTGTTCAAAGAATAGAATAGATCCTTACTCATATTTTGTTTTTGATGACATATTCACTAAAACAGCTAATATGATGGATATGGTTATCGTTTATTCATCACATAGAATTCCATGGTTTCACAAGGGCAGTAAATAAATGAAGTCGTAGAAAAACTTGAGGCCATCTCCACAAGTTTTTCATGGTGAAAATTATGGGCGATTTTATATGGATAGTATTTAAAAATCACTACCTACAATGAAGTTTTTATTTGTTGCGCCCTGTCTGTAGATGGACCAATTCAGGTAGTATTGAATTCGTGCATTTTGGTTGCGCAGAAGACTAAAACGTCAATGTCATTCGTGGTCAAGTCACTGAATAGCAGACAATCTTAAGGGTATCATGGTAATGAATTTGCGCCTTCGAAGTGCACACCTGATGTTAGGTTAGATATTTGTCGTTTTTATCTCATCATCAGCGAAGTGTATATAAAATTATGGAGAGGGAAACATATATGATGATATAGTGAGGGTTTAAATTGAACTGAATGAACATTGTTGATGTAGGAGTAAACCCCAATTTTTTAAGGAAGGATTCAATTTTTCAAACAGAATTCGAATTTAATTATTATGTTATAATGTGATTGTGTCTTTTCCATAACTAAATATGCACTTTACTAATGTACAGTAGAGGCTTGAAATACGTCCGTATAAAATTGCCTAAGATTAGTTTTTCTACAAATTCATGAATATCTGTTTGACATAGTTTAATACATAATGTTTAGTATTCAGAAAACTGATGAGTTACATACTATTTAACATCAATCAATTCATTTGAGTAAATTGAAAATGTTTACTTCCATATGATAGAATTAAAACAAAATCCTCGATAACATGACTTGTTTTGCTGACCCAGTAGCTTTGCAGGTATTTTTGATTCTTTGGGCCCGTAAGTATAAATATATATATATATAGAGTGTTCTTGAAAATGAGGCATTTGTTTACAGGATGTAGAACTTATCAAAACAGACAAATTCACGAAAAATTGTCCATATAAAACAAACGAACCTCAAAGACACCAAATTTAACAAACATCTGCGGTCTTGGGTAATTTTTTAACGGGAATCTTTCGCTGTACAAACGAAATGCTGCTGCTTCACTTTGGCGACACTCACCATGTGTCAGAAGCATGTAAACAAGTTCAATATTTTCGTTTTCAAGGCTTTTGTGTAAATCGTTTCGTGAAGTGTTTACATTCACTAAGGATTTTCATGAAGTAAAGGCCGATCCAATGTGAAACTATGATTCTGTTGATGAAACCTGAATTTCAGTTAAATAAAAATCGAAGATCAATTATGATTGAATTATGCTGTATGAGTAGCGTCCATTTTTGTAGGTACATGACTGAAATATTTTTGTATTAACATAGTATTACTTATAGGACTGATGTTGTATGTATTTGTATATTACTGTTGTGATTTTGCGGTTATATTTGCAATGAGAAAAATTTGAGAAATTGAAAATGAATCAACCTGCCGCCTACCCATCTGGTATTGCACATTATTCAATATTTTGTTGGTAATGCTGAAAAAACAGTGTTAAATTTCCATTTTGAATTTTCGCAAAACCGGTTCACGATGTTTTCATTAGTATGAAAGGTGTAGAACGATGTATAGGGTGTCCTTAAAGTACCGATAAAATTTCAGGGAAACATTGCTGAATGGACATGATCAAATTAATTCCATCAGTAATTAATTTATATAAAACAATTGAATTGACGAAGTCCATTTTTTTATCATAACGACTCATTGTTTATTGAAGAAAAAGTGTTTTGATGTTTCCTACCACTCCTGAGAGTTTGCTGTCATGTTTTCAAGACACCCTACCCCGTATATCTAAATGTCGCGGATATACTAGGAATCGAGTTTTTTTGCCTGGTGGTTATTTTGAAATTCCATGAGTACTCTATCCTCCATTATTTTGTTTTTTTAGTGTTGAAAATTTCTGCAGGTGTTTTGAAAGAAATATTGGTCCGTTTTCGAATCAAATCGAATAATGCATGTACGAAAAATTCGTTATCTCATATCTCTCTGAAACTAAAAAAGAAAAAAAAAACAGTGAACAAAATTTGGAAAGAGGTTATTCTTAAGGGGCATTAAGTAAGTTACATTTTATATCTGAAAATTTTGTGTAACGACATGCACAATTCATAAGATTTCTGCAAAAAAATCATGGAAAAAACTGGTGCTGGTTGCTGGTTACATTTTGTCAAGAGGAAATTTATGAAAAGCTCAAATTTTTCTTGTCTACCATCATTCTTGTTATTTTTTTTATTGAAACAGTATGTTATTACAAATCAATGTAAATAGATGTAGTAGGATCAAAAGAAATGTTAATATATTCAAACAAATAATCCACAGAGTGTTTATTTGATAACAGTCTGCTTATGAAAGCTTTTGAGGTTAGATTGTTTTCGAATAAACATTATAATGTATGGTAAGTATTAAGTAGAGGACCATTCTTATTTTTCTGTATCATCATGAAGTACAATCCGTTGTTTTGCTTTTACTTGAATATTTTATTTTTTGGTTTTCTAGTTAGGTATTTTATTTCCTCCTAGAACGGGATGGTTTTTTTATTGGTCCAGAGGTCACTGGGATGCAGTTATTTTTGGTTTTGTGTAAATATATTATTTTTTTAAGGGTTTCAAGTAAAAACATTGAGTGTCAGTGGTTTTGGCATCGATAGAGTATTATTTTTTCCAAACTAAAATGTATTAAATATCTTGTATTACTAATAGAAGTCCTACTAGTTGAGTTAGGTTAATGTTCAATGTATCTTAACTGTATATAAAACTAGATATTATCTTTATGGTTTCATATACGAACTTTCTCACATCCATGTTCAAAGGTGATAAATATAATATCATTTTCTTGTAACAAACGAAATTTATGTTTTGAGCCTTTTGCTTGATTTGTGTTGTGTCTGATTAATAAAAATAAAGTGGAACAAATTCAGTGTTTTTTTTATGTGTGATCCTAACATATCTCTAAATGTCCTATATTTCGCCTGTCAGAATCACTAAATCAAATTGATTTTCAGTCCATTTTCAATGGCTTCTGAGATAATTTGAAAAAATAGTTTATAAAAGTAAAGGGGTAAAATTTCATTTTTTTGAAGTTTGTTTGATCTAGTGAGTAGATCTATTTATTTCCAAAGATTTCAATACTGCAACACTTGAAATGTCTCAATATACCATGTGGGAGACAAAAGTAGCAGAAACTCAGAAGCGCGACGAGACATGGCAACACTGCTTGCAAAAGCTAGATAAATACATTAAATCGTTGACTCATGACGGGAATTTTTAGAAAAATATTCACCTTCCGCAAGAGTTTAAGAATCCAGTTTGCAATCAGCGCAGTATTGATCTCGAAATATCTTGCGCAATGTATGGAAAAACACCCGGTATTGATATTTTCAAGAGGTCCCATCTACCACTTTTTTTTGTAGAAGACTATAGGTGGAGGTGTAAATTAATAATAATCTATTTATTCATTCCAATTAATGGAAAATTAAATCATCTTGGACGCCACTGGTATTTCCAACCTGCTGCTCACGCGTCATCAAATCATCGCTTCGAGTCAACTTTCAAGTCACTTTTACTGCTGCGCAACTGTTGATAGCACGTGATTGTAAACATTGGCTTAGTCTCAGCCCACTTTGATTGAATTGCAACATGCAAAACCCGAGGTAAAAATACTAATTGTAGGTTAGTCTACCAAACATTCCAGCAAGTGATAAGTGCAAAATGTAATCTGTTTTCGAGCCAAAGTGCCATGTCAACATTTCCCGTGTTATAGAAAATACCTATACAGGATGAGCTACTGCAGTCCTGCCAGCAGTAGTTTCTTGAACTACATCGACGAGAGTCAATTGTTTTCAGCAATAGGTGGTATCACCTTCATTACTTTAACAATTTTCTGGTATATTTTGAGATCCTACACTTTCTTTGATAAACACCACATTACTGCAAGAGCGGTAAGACCGAAAGCGCCCTTTGGAAACATAAAGGAAGTAATTAATCAAAATACGTCCCTGTACATTTACCTATGGAAGTATTACAACAAATTCAAGAGGCAAGGCAACAAGTTTGGAGGATTCTTCTTGTTTTTGAAACCTGGTATATTGTTAGTTCATCCGGCATTGACCTACAAAATTCTCACCGATAAAAAATTGTTCGAAGATGTGTCTAGGAAAAATCAGTTAGAGCTAGAGGATTCCAAAAAAATCTCCAAAATGTTTGACAAACATGCTCTCGAAAATTTAATTCTCAAATTCGAAAATCTCAAGAGCCAATTTATACAGAACATTGGGAGTGATAATGATCCATCTTGGTGTATTTATAATTTCCTGGTTGAAACCAGTTGTACTGCCTTCGGTTTCAAGTTTGAAAAAAATTTGAAGAGTATAGTAGACAGAATGGTTGAAGAAAAAACGAGTTCGAATTTGAGTCACTATTTTCATCTAGTTTACCCTTATTTTGTGAGAAAGCAGACCTATAAAGAACTGAAAATTTATGTTCAGGCAGTCATAGATTCTAGAAAGAAAAATGATACAAGAGAATATGACGTGATACAAAATTACATCGATTTTTTGAATGAAGATGTACCTCCCGATGCAGAAAAATTAATTATTGAAGAAATACTGGATATTTTCATTGATAATATTCACCAAACATATTCAGCAGTATCATTCTGTCTGTATGAACTAGCATCTAATTGTGAAATTCAACTGGATTTGATTGGAGAAATTAGAAGATTCAACAAAGCTAATATCCCCATCAATTTGAGTAATTCACACCAGCTAATTTATTTAGAAGCAATTGTAAAAGGTAAGCTAATTCTTAAAATACCTCTTTGAAATGTTTAGCATTAGATTTGGATGATGCAATACTAAAAGTAAGATACGGCTCTGCACAAAAATGGGAGTCTTGAAGAATATGAAGATGTTTTCTGAATACTCACAAAACGGTCTACGATGAAATATTGAAATTTCGTACAATGACAATAAAAATTAAAAATCTTCTAACGGGAAAATTGAAGAGAATTGTATTGATTCCACATTCCACTATTTCACATTTTACGAAACAAAAAAAACTTCGTTAGACGTGGAATTATACAGGGTGTTTCCGAAATTGGGGCAATAAATTAAATGAGCTGTTCTGAATAAGACATAATATAATGACAAGATAAATCACGAAAGAAATCTTTTGAATTTCAATCAATGTGCGCTTCCACCATACTACACTTTTTATTAACTAGCTATTATTGAACGTCCAGCAACATTGCAAAAATGACAAAAGTCTTGACACTTATTCCGGTGCTTGTGATCTCGCCCAAAAGCAAACGCTCAGGTGAACCAGTTCCAGGCAAACTTTGAAGCTCAATTTCTCCATAAATATATTTTTTACAAACGTCAAAAAATGACAAGATTCATTGATAACAATTTGCGAAGTAATACTTTTTTTCAGGGTCCTACTTTACCTCTACACTATCTACGAAGCAGTGCGCGAAGTAAAACGATGCGAGAAGTACATATTTCGCGCATTGTAATGTTATATTTATTATATTTTTGTATTTGAACTTTATGTTTCTCAGTCGAGCAAACATCCAAGAAATCATCTATTTCTGAATGTTTAACGATAATTATTCCTTTATCTCTTGGAGCGCACGAAAGGAAATTCCTATAGAATGTTCGTGGAATATCATGATATAGGGAGATGCCTTTCTAACACTATTTTTTATATCAAGCTATTATTACTACTTTGGAACTATATTTTTTTTACGTTTGTAGAAAAAATGATACTTGATACAAAAATAACCATTTTTCGACAAAAATGTATTTTTTCATTTCATTTTGTTTTTTCGTCTTCTATCATCCATTTTATTCATTGCCCCAATTTCGGTAACACCCTGAAGAAATACCCTATCATGAAAAAATACAGAAACGAAGCTTAGCCATATTGTGACGATTATCTATTTAAAAAAAAATTGCAAAATATACATCTATCTATTCTCTTATATAACAAGGGGAAGCTTTCGTGACTGTTCTATAATAATATTCGTGGAAATATTAGTGGGATGCAGTCTGGACCAATGAATTAATTAAATTTCTTCGTTTTTTGTCGAGCTTTCGAAAATTTTTATTTTCTTTATCAAGACTAACTGAAAACATCGAACGGAACAATATATAAATGTAAGTATACCAATTTCAATTGATGTACATTTATATATTGTTCCATTCGATGTTTTCAGTTAGTCTTGATAAAGAAAATAAAAATTTTCGAAAGCTCGACAAAAAACGAAGAAATTCAATTAATTCATTGGTCCAGACTGCATCCCACTAATATTTCCAAGAATATTCTCTTATACCAAGTACAAATTAACACAAATATCCGTTTTGTGATATTTTTTGCTGATAATTTTCTTTTATCAAACTAACTGTATATGAAAATTATTGAAAATTATGCTTAACATCCCCAGTATTAAGAAATGAATAGATTCAAAACTTTTCTGAAGAGCCATATCTCACTTGAAAATAGTCATTTTTCGACCTGTTTTTTCCAATATTTTCGGTCGTAGAATAAATCGCTGGTGGAATATTGCATGATGATTCCTAAACACCCTGTATAAGGCGAGAAACTTACTCACTATATTACAAAACTTGTTTCAGAAACACTGAGAAAATACCCACCGATTCCACTAGTTACAAAAAGACCGAAAAGGGACTATATTAATGCCGAATTCGATCTGAAATTACCAAAAAGTTGTCTAGTTTTCACATCGATATTTGGGATACATCACGACCCCAGTAGTTACTTGGATCCAGAGTCGTTTGATCCCGATCGATTTTTTGAGGACAATGTCAAGTTTTTGAAGCCCAATACTTATATTCCTTTTGGGGTGGATTACAGGAAGAATATAGGTTAGTGGAAATCTCCAGCTTGAAAACACTAATCAAACATTTTTTTTTTCATTGATTGTTTTTTGTAATGGGAAAAATGAATTGTTTTACTAAGTACATTTCATGAAGTTGAAAAAAATTAGAAGTTCCAAATATATAGTAATGAGAATTGAGAGGTATAATTCTGAGAATTCATTAGGAATAATGAAAAACTATTAAGTAGGTATGAAGGACTGGAATGCTAAATGAAATTACAAATTAATTAAATAGTAAATACTGTCTGTAGGCGTTGATTGATATATTACGCTTACCCAGCGTAAGCGTAATATCAATCAACGCTGTAGATTAATCGAGGAGGTTGTGGTACATTCATTTCACTTGATTTTTTGGGATTTTCTCTCCTCGTTTCTATAAAATAAAAATATGCGTATTATGTCAAAATATTTGTAGTGGGACAAATCAGATGATTTGCCCAGAAATGTCACTGCGTTTAACACATTTTTCTATCAGGGAGCCTAAAAGAAAAATCCTATAGCTTATCAGCGACACTTTGTTTGGAAACAAATTTGAAGAGAAGAAATATATATTGAAAAAATATCGAATTTTTACTTATCTTCGGACGTTTTGGGAACGAATCTGTGGACATGTTCGAAAAACCTTTATTTTCGGAAATTACGCACAATATCTACATTAAAATACGGTGTACAGGATTAACTTCAACAGTTCAAACTCAATTTGTTGATTTCTAATGATTCTAAATGATTGAGTTTTATTCCTTCATTTTCTACGTGTAGAATATCGAAATTATCATCCAAACTATGGTTTTCTCCTGATATATGGTTGGCGTATGTTGAATTTGTTTTCTTCTTCAAAAAATTCATCTTATGTTTATGAATGCGCTGATTAAACGTACAATGTGTCTGACTGATATATACCTTAGGATACGATCCACAGTTGATTTTGTATATACCCATGGTTTTTCGAATTCAGAAGTTTTGTCTACATTATTTTTGATAAACCTTCCCATCGTGTTATTTGTTCTACATGCTACTTTTTAGTCCTGTTTTTTGTAGAAATGAAGCTAATTTTTCAGTTGATGATCCGAAATAGGTTATAGTTCTTTAATTTTGATTATCATTTTTAATGGTAGGATAGCTTCATTATGTAGTTTTTTAGAAAGAATACTGTCTATCAAATTAACGTTAATCTGTTGTTGACTGCAATCTGTTCTATGATATTGAGTTCTGTATTGAAATTTACTTCCGAAAGAGGGACATTCCCTGTGATGATTGAAAAATCATGTTCTTCATTAATTTCACTTATTGTCAAATATAAGAAATTGATTGCCTCGTTTTTTTCTATTTCCATTGTGAATTTCATGTTTGGATGAATAGTATTTATACATATATTGGTGAAAAGTGTCCAATTTTCTATTGGTTGCTTTAAAGCAAACGATAACGTCATCTATACGTATCTATACCAATACAAACATTGTTGTATCAATGAATGTTTATGTATTATTCGCTCCAAGTTATCCATCCATCCATACATACATATTTTGTTGTCAAATTGAAACTAATTTGGTTTGTACGAAGGCCTGGAAGGGACACATAAAATAAAAAAAATAAAAACTTCAAAATTCCGAGTTATAACTCGGAATTTCAAAATTCCGAGTTATAACTCATAATTTTGAAGAGTTTTTATTTTTTTTATTTCATGTGTCCCTTCCAGGCCTTCTTAGGTTTGAGACATATCGACAGAAGGTCTAAAATCTCTTGTTTATTTAATAACTCCTCAACTAAAATTATAGTATCTCCGGGCACTTGGAAATAGGTTTTGTACATCAAATGAAATGAATTTTGGGTTGTCAGGTAGAGTGAGATTTTGAATTCCAGTTATCAAATCATAGGAATTCCTCAAGCTGAATTTTGATTAAAAATTACAAAATAGTTTTTTATTAACGTTATTAATTTTTCCGATAGTTTAAGTCCACTCGCCCAATGTATTAAAATAATATATTGCAGGTAATAACTTGAAAATATCAAGTTCTATGTATTTTTGTTCGGTTCATAGATGAGTAATGATTCATTTTGTTCTAGGTTTTTCGATGACCCTGTTACATATCAAATTATGTATATTCACCATCTTGTCTTCATTCAAAGTTAGCCTTACTGACGAGAGGAAAACAGTGAAATTTGACACTAAGAAGTTGACAACATTTCCAAAGGAACCATTACCTCTGAAATTCGAAGAAATAAAATGAACATTCATGCTTCCGTTTTTGTAACAATAACATTAAAAAGTAATTACTGAACATGTTTAGAATTTTTCTCATATTGTCAAATTGAAAAATTTTCTTTGATTTTTTTCGATTCAAATAGGCATTTCACGCAATAAAAACAAGGGTGTTATTACTCATTGAAACAATTTTATTATACCTTGGAACATTCATTTTCTTCATTATCGCACGCATCATAATCCAAAGTTTTCAATGATTTTTCTGAAGACCCACGTTCAGGGGTGGGTCTCTTCATTTGTGGCACCATAAGTTTCTGCAAGGCCGATATTGGCATTTCAAACATGAGGCACATCACAGTACCCACCAGATAAGACAAAACAATGTCTCCAAGAGTAGTCATCAACTGAAAAACACAATGACTGAAGCTTACCAAATACACTCAGTTCCAAAAAAAGGGACGCACTTATGATATTTGACCTATCTTCTTAAAAAAACAAAACGAAAAATAGTAGGCCGATTTGTATTTTTTTTATTTGTTGGTAGGTTATGCATTTGTCTTTAAAAAAAAATAAAGAGGTGAAAATTTTTTCAAAGCCTCCTTGATGGAATAACTCGAACCATGATTTATTCTTGATTTTTGACTCACCCTGTGTGTTAATTGAGTAATGGCATAGAAAGTGCTTACACCCTATACGAAAGAGGCTTCTTTTGCGAGCATTTTGTTTTTTTTATTCATTGATTTATCTCTAAAATTTTCCAAATTACCTACAGCTTTTTTTGCTGAATCCTTGCAGATTACCAACTTTCTGAATTTATCGAGAAACTATTTTCTAATGAAATAAACTGATACCAATAATTTTGAAAAACATTTTCATTAAACACAAAATTATAAATTGGGATGACTGATTAATACCGTGTATTGCCTCCTCTAGCAACTCTAAGAACTTCTAATCTACGAGGCATACTGGAAATTGAGTTGCTTATCGTTTCCATTGGTATACGATCCCATTCTTCCACTAATGCATCTGCCATTTCTGCGAGACTTCCCGGAGACCTCTCGCGAGAACGTACCCTTCTCCCTAATTCATCCCACAAATGTTCTATAGGATTCATATCGGGGCTTCTCGCAGGCCATTGTAATGTGGTAATACCAGTAGATTCTAAGAAGTTTCGCACTATTGCTGCGGTGTGTGGTCGGACATTATTCTGCATTAATATAAAATTATTGCCCACTAACTCTGCATAAGGTAAGATATACTGCTCTAAAATGTCAATGTAAATTTGGGCATTCATCGACTGCCTCACCGGAAAAACATGAAGGGGTGTCTTTCCATTCATTGAAATCCCTACCCACACCATAACGGATCCACCATTAAATCTTTCGCATTCTGTTATTAAATTTTGATTAAACCGTTCACCAGTTCTTCTCCATGCACACTCTTTTTCTTCCATCCACCATGTTATGGCAAAACTTTGACTCATTCCTTAAACAAGACATTCGACCATTCAGGAATATTCCATTGTCCATAATTTTCAACAAAATTTCTTCTAGCAGCACGATGTTCGGGCAATAATTTGGGACCTTTTGCAGGTCTCCTAGCTTTTATATTAACTTCTTTTAGACGTCTACATACCGTCTGCTCACTTACTGCAACATCACGAATTTGGCGAAGATCTTGCTGAACATTTACCGTAGTATTTGATCGATTCCGTAAAATCCGCAATCTCAAGAAGCGATCATCTCTTGGAGAAGTTTTTCGGGGGCGACCCTCCAAGCGGTGCTTGCTGTTTGTTCGTACTTGCGGATTGCTCTACGAGCAGTTGCTTCATGAACTCCCACTGCACGAGCAGCGTAACGTTTACTACGTCCATCGTTTACTTACTAATCTTGCTACTTGTTCAGGATTCATTTGAGGAATTTTATGTAATTTTAGTCAATAAAACAAGACACTTAATTAATGACACAACGACAAATGGTCAAATATGGAAGCATACAACAAATTAGTTGCTATGGCAACGGCATTTGTTTTCTTAAGGACAATGTGATCCTACCAAAGTACAACCCAATCAATTTCGAGTACCCTGATTCTTCAATGAATTTAATTTGTGGGATAAGCGTAAGGTATCTGCAAAAAAGCTGTAATTCGGAAAATTTTAGAGATAAATCAATGAATAAATATACAAAATGCTCGCAAAAGAAGTCTCTTCCGTATAGGGTGTAAGCACTTTGTATACCATTACTCAATTAACACACAGGGTGAGTCAAAAATTGAGAATAAATCATGGTTCGAGTTATTCCACCACCATCAAGGAGGTTTTGAAAACATTTTCACCTCTTTATTTTTTTTAAGACAAATGCATTATCTACCAACAAATAAAAGAAAAATAAAAATCGGCCTTCTATTCTTTAAGATAGGTCAAATATCAAGTGCGTCACTTTTTTTGGAACTGAGTGTAATAAAAAAGGACGTGGAAATGTTTCTCACCAATAAGTAATCATTGACATACGTAGGAGATCTCATTAGGCCGCCTCTTATTCTTATCACAGCTGTATGAACAATATAAGTGCTGTATGTTAGCCTTCCTAAGACGCTTACTGCTTTCCACTCAGTAACCGATCTAGCAAACCCTGAAATAGTAATTTTCTTAACTTATGCGGAAACGGAAAGTGAAGCGGAATTTGGGAAGCAGTCGAGTGCGGGAAAAACACTTTCCGCATGAGTTAGGAACAATATTTTTCTGCATTCGTACTTAAATTAAGAAATTTTGTAGCATACAGTAGAGGAAATATTAGAAAATGTTTCATTTCTAAAGATCTGTCCAGTTCAACTCATCTTGCGTACTAATTCATAAATCAACACACTCCAGCCTCGCTGTTCAGGTCCTCATAAAATGTTGAAAATAATGCAAAAATGTTTCATTATCGATGTTAATTGTCTGAATAAAACTATTTCAGTCGATCGTTTCAGATCAGCATTTTTTTACAACCACTGCGTGAATTTAGACGATGATTCCTCACACATTCCGCAAATTCTTTTCTTGATATAAATCCCAAGAAGATCGAAAGAGGTTTCTTGGAATAACAATGTTCATTTTTTCACTTGACTGATGATTGTTATTGTTTTCATGTGAATTATATTTTATTTTAAGGAGTTTATCATAGTGATGTAATAGCAGATATCTTTACCATGCTGATATAATAAACATTGTAATTTGAGATTACCTGAAAGGACATCTTTGGCATTATTTATATATCCTGATAATCATCTACACTCCTATAAATCAAAACTAATAGAAATTTGCTAGCTTCTGATTATATGAATGGTGTACACTCGTTTTCAGTGAACATGTCGCTGTTGGACGGTGATTAAGAGAGCTGACACCGTCCTTGTGCGACATCTTCACTGAAGACAACTGTACCCCAGCCACAAGGGTCAGCGCTTTGACCAGTACTTCATGAGATTCTCATCAATGACTAAAATTTCCTGTCCAATGTCAACGAAATTGAAAAAATAGGTGCTGTATGTCGGTCTTCCTAAGACGCTAACTGCTTTCTACTCAGTAACCGATCTAGGAAAAGACATGCTTCAATCACTTTAGCAAAAAATTGTGTGGATATCAGCAACGACATACTGCCTGAGTCCTTCATCATCTCAATTACAAGTAAACTCATAATTCGCTAGCTTTTGATTATACAGTGTGTCCCACTTACCATGCTCACCATAGGTATCTTTTTAACGGTGAGAGATACGAGGTCGGTTAAATGACACCAAATGTGGAGTTTGTCAAGGCCAACTATAATGTGAAAAAATATTTCGATAAAATCTATTCGTTTTTATTTTATACGCAAAAAACAGATTTTGATCCTTTTCATGTCTCCTCCGTAACTTCTTTATTTATGAAAATATTCAAATAGGAATTTCACATTCTCATGGCAGTTTTTCAAAGTGATTTCGAAAAAAATATGAAATTTATATCAACTTTTCTAGAATTTGAGATATCAGCACCAACTTTAGTTTTTCAAATGTAGGTCATAGCTCACTATGACTTAGTTACAAATAACTTTTTTTTCTCTTACAGACGATGTGTCGCAGTAATAGTTTTGTGCTGTTAACAACGGAGTCATCGTCATTTATACAAAAACAAAAACTTATTTGGAAGCCGCCATCTTGGATTTATAAATTTTAACAAAAAAATCATGATCTCCGACCTCAAAAACCCCCACTTACCAATTTCGAATGAAATCGGACCAAATCTTGTCCGCCATCTTGGAGTAGCCATTTTCTTCAATTTCAACAAAAATTCCATAATGTATTGTCACTTCTGGTCGTCCGATTAACTTGAAATTTGGCAGGTGTATTGGCATAATTTCGGTGACAATACATTATGGAATTTTTGTTGAAATTAAAAAAAATGGCTGCCCCAAGTTGACGGACAAGATTTGGTACGATTCCATTCAAAATTGGTAAGTGGGGGTTTTTGAGGTCGGAGATCATGATATTTTTGTTAAAATTTATAAATTCAAGATGGCGGCTTCCAAATGACTTTTTGTTTTTGTGTAAATGACGATAACTCCGTTGTTATCAACACAAAACTATTACTGCGACACATCATCTGTAAGAGAAAAAAAAGTTATTTGTAACTAAGTCATAGTGAGCTATGACCTACATTTGAAAAACTAAAGTTGGTGCTGATATCTCAAATTCTAGAAAAGTTGGTATAAATTTCATATTTTTTTCGGAATCACTTTGAAAAACTGCCATGAGAATGTGAAATTCCTATTTGAATATTTTCATAAATTAAGAAGTTACGGAGGAGACATGAATAAATGATCAAAATCTGTTTTTTGCCTATAAAACAAAAACGAATAGATTTTATCTTAAAAATTTTTCACATTATAGTTGGCCTTGACAAACTCCACATTTGGTGTCATTTAACCGACCTCGTATCTCTCACCGTTAAAAAGATACCCAATTACCCATGGTGAGCATGGTAAGTGGGACACACTGTATGAATGGTGTACCCCAAGAGTCAGTGCTGGGACCAGTACTTCACATTATTTATAATACCCCTATTGATGACTGAACGTTTTTTGTTCAATTCCATTTAAATTAAAAATGATAGATCGTTCTCAGACTTTTATGCAAATATTAGTTGAAGTTGATGCTTACATCCAATTTTTTGTGAAAATCCGAATATGGCGATGGCTATTCCGAGTGCGAAAACATTCTTGCCGAAGGCCCAGTATAGAGCTGATTCCAATCGTGAACTCCTGAAAGCTGGATCGTACATCCTAGCTGCTATCAATACTATAAAATTGCACATTCCAAAGGTCAGGATCCACCATAATATAACATGCATCTGAAAATGAAAACTAGATTTTTTCTCTGCATAGGGTAAACTGATGAAGAGAAGAGTGACTGGTATTCATGATGATTATTTCGTGAATCAATCTTCGACATAGGAGAATCATATAACTTACTTTTGATAATTGCAATACTTTGTTCTTGTATTTGTAGAATATGTATCCGAAAGTGAGTCCGATTGCATAGCCAGTGATGTTTGAATAACCCGATGTATACAAGTGGTGCCAAGCATCAATTTGCAATCCTCTCAAATCATAAAGTACCCTGTAATAAATAATCTAATACTGAAAATATGGTTCAACTTATGGCAAATACTTACTCGGGATATTGATGTATGACTATATCGTAATTGTTCATGAACGATATTGCACCTGGTATTATCAGGCCAATTGTAAGAATACTGCCTAGTATTATATTTATTTTGTCCTGATTCTTCCAGATTATCATTAAAAGTAACAGAGATAGCAGGTAGAGTTGTGTATCTGAAGCTATATACCAAGTTTGGTGTAAACACTAAACAATAATATAATAACAATAATAATTATGAATTGAACTATTTCAGTCTCAATACTTGCCATATTATTTTTTTCGACGTAATTGTTTATATACAAAAGGTTGGTCCACCAATTTTGTCTACAATTTCGATATTCTCTTCCAACTAGAATGTCCCAGTATGGTCCTTTTCCCAAATGTATCAACAAAGTTGCTTCGAAAGCTATCATGATTGCCAATGTAGGTGTCAGTCTAAAATATACTGTTTGAGAAGCGATATTGAAAAAATCCCCCTTTTTTTTCTAGCTACCTATATTTATGAAATTTGTAACATCTAACAGGGGCGTCGTTTCAGTGAATACTTTTGTAATGTGGAAAATGCGCTGCAGACGAAATAGTTGGGATTCAAGGTCAAATGAATTGAAATCGAAAATTGAATTTCTTTCAGTCTGACAACAACTCCATCACATTAATATACTATAAATTATTCAGTTACATGTTCTCAGATTGTTGCAATTAATATAAAATGATCTGAAAATAGAAACAATAATAAACGCATGGAAAAAGTATTTTGGATACTGTCTGTAGGTTACCCAAGTAGGTATGGATGTTTCTGAAATATTTTGGGAGCAACGGACTTACTGACTAATTTTTTTTAATTTTAGCAAAATGATTCAGAGATTCCCTGATTCACTTAAAATTTTTGATCGTATCCGAATCAACAACTACCACTCATAACATACAATTTTCATCCTCCTTCTAGTATATTTTATGTATTGTGATGATATTCCCCTTAAAGGGGCTCTAGATTATCATCAGGAAGGCATGAGTACAACGATGTTCCCCAACATCACAATGATTCTTATATGTACCAGCGTATTTCCGAACACCCAATATGTGTCACGGCAACACGACATAACCTGAAAGAAGAATCTGGAATCATCTCGAAACAATCGATGGAACAATTAGAGAGAGATATTGTTCTAGAAGCTTCTAGAACGAGAGAACGGAAGATCATTCGAGAACGTTCGAGAAGCAGAGCCTGCCAAGGGATCTGATATATAAGGACGGCAGGACAACTGCCGTCAGTCAGTCAAGCAGCGAGTGTCAGAGAGACAGTCATATGCCGCGTGATATAAATCGTTTTACATAAAAAGAGTATTTTTTATAAGTTCGATATGAACTAGTGTTACTTTATTCAAAATAAATCAGTTCGAAAATGAATAGTGTTGTGTTCGCTTCTGCACCCGAATAACGTAACAGTATGATATTGATAGCTATACTATTTAATTCATTTTATCTTCCAGTTTTCCTGGAAATCACAACTTTCGATTTTCGAACAGGACACGCTGTATTTTATTCCATAATCGGTTAAGAATTATTATAACGAATTCAGCGATACCGGGTTTGATAATATGATTGGGAAGAAATATAATATCTGAACTTCTTTATCGTTGAATTCGTTATAATAATCCCCAACTGATTAGGGAATAAAATACAGGGTGTTCCATTTGAATATCGAAAGTTGATGTCATCTCGATGTTCCAAATTTCAGAAATATAGCTGGAAAAAACAAAGGAGAAAAGCAGGGTGTGCCGTATAAAGATTTTGGCTAATTTACAGGGAATGCCCAGGCAATTTTTGTTTGGTCTACATGTTAACTCACCTTATATATCTATTCATGAAAGCAACTAGGAGAAATCTTAGACTCAAGTGTTTTCGACCTTCCAGCATTTGGAAAAAGTGATAGGACAATAGCCATCCAGAAATGACGAAAAACGTCTGCACTGCATAGTTTCCGTTGGCCAAAAACATGTTCAGTGGTTCATTAGTCATCTGAAATGAAAATTAGGATATGAAAGACAGTAGAAAATTGGTCACAATGTTTCATTGTAAATTCCATAATAATACATGCGAGTGGTAGTTTTATGTATAGCGAAAAACCCATCAAGTAATGGTCCCACTATACAGAGTGTTCCTTAATGACATGCTGATATTCAAGGGAGCGATTCTTGGATCATTAAAACTCCTAACTTTTGAGATACAGGGTATCAAAGTTGAACATATAAATTTTTTTGTCCACCCTGTATTGCTTTTCCTGATGAAAAAATGTATGCTGCTATGTTACTGAAACGGTGCAAAGATTTCAAAATGTAACATACTGTGGTTATCCAGTTATGGATGTCCTAAATGGAGTACTCAAGCTTAGCATTTACATCAAAATTTGAAGTTTGATCTCGTTTTTTCGTTTTTTTTTTCGAAAACGGAGCTTCCTATCGGGTATCAACAAGAGGATCTTTTTTGTACAAAATTGAATGACTTTTTATAGCATTTCATCAAATTTGGAAATATTCCTTTGTTGCTCACTTTCAAGTATAATATTATCAATCATATCCCCCTTGCGGCGCCACTGGTTGAGAAAAGGAAAATTTGCATGCATCAAAAAATGTACCTTGATGCATAGAAGATATGTATCAAATTATATGAAGATGTCTACAATATTATCCCAGATATTATTCAAAAACTGATTTTTATTCACCCTGTATCTTAAAAGTTAAGACTTTTAGGACATATGTTAGTCGAAAGTTTTTTTCTTGGAATGAGTTGAAGAATCACCCCAATCACGAGGAAATTGTCAACCCACGTTTTACGTACATAATTATACAGGGTAATCTAATAAGAATGGGAAATCTCTGAACTTCAGATATTAATCACGAAAATATGAAGATTCGACCTTTTATGCTTCAACGAAATGTTGCAGATACAGGGTGCCTAAAGAAAAATATTATTTTCAAAATTTCCTCAACTTCGGTCGAACATTAAATTTGTTTCAAAACTCTGATTGTTGTTGGAGGTGTTAATGATTGTCATCATTGATTACTGTCTTTTTTTCCACTGTCACATCGCTAACTTTATAATTTGAAATTATTAAAATGTTGTAAGTGGAACATAAACCTCTTCTAGAGCGAATAAGCCGAAAATCGTTAGAGCTAGACAATTTGAAAAATAGTACATTTTTCATGTAAAATTGAACGAGCTCTCAGATTTTTCACTCATTTTGATCATCATTAAATGGCCAAAAAAGATATGATGTAATTTACCGATGTAACAGACTAGCCGTTACCAATCACAAAATAAGTTGCAGTTTCGTATTCCTCATGTCAGGAAACCGGAAACTACAAGATTTCATGTTCTTGCTGTTGAAACTTACAAAGTTATTGAGACATTTCAAAACAAAATCTCCCCCTATCGAACACCCTGTATCTCCTAAACCAGCAACATTCTTATCAGGCATGTTAGGTTAAATCTTAATATTTTATTGTTTACTAACTGTAGTTTAGAGATTTCCCATTCTTAATGAATCACCCTGTATGAATTTTGGACGCCATTTTCTGGGATATTATTTGTTATCTCAAGACTCACATTCTCAGTATATTTTGGATTGGCCACTGGTACAGCGAAAGTTATCATGACTGTGTGACACAAAATGACACAAATCATGTTGTAAAACCGCATGCCTTGTATTGATCTGAGTTTCTCAGCATCCTGATTGGAATTAATAGATTTCAGCCTGTTCCAGTTCTTTGGAATCGAAAAAGCTGTGATGAGTTGACCAGCTGAAATTAAAAAAGAATAATTACAACAAATTACACAGGTATGTACAGGGTTATCCATCAAGTAGGCCTATACCCATAATTACGTTATTTTTTATCGAGAAAAAACGAAAGAAAGAAAACATTCAACATAGCACCAATATCGCAGAATGTTCACATTGATTCATTGGCTCAATATCTAGAATTAATATTTCCCCAACATTCACTCTTTATTGGTTCAATATTCAACTGATATGGGTGTTCTACCTGGGTTTCCACAGCCCTCATCAGAAGTATTACAGGGTGATTCCTAAAAGCGCGATAAACCACAAATACGACACTTAATTAAAAGGAACGCTCTGTTTCTCACATTTTTTTATGAATCTGTGATTTTTTGTGATCACAAAAGTGTATACATACATAATAACGTGAATATCGGGGTGGGTCTTCTTGATGGATAATGCTGTTCACCTGGCATAAGCATAAGCAAAATTAAGGACATATTTTCCTCACCTATAGTACCAGTTATTTCATCATAAACTTCTTTTTCCTGATACCTTGCGATGCCTTCATAAATAGAAGCGAATATTACGAAAATCGAATAAAATAAGAAACATGTTCTGCAAAAAAAGAAGTTAATATCAAGTTACGAAACGTAGGAAGGAAAGCATTCAATATTTTGTCCTTTCCAGTTATAACCGCGAGAATAAAACATTTCAGAATTATTATCACAGACAGTTTTTTTCACACCAAACATTTTTTTCGATCAATTTATAGCCTGTATTTCGTATCGTTACCACAGCAACTAAACACATTTCAGGGAAATGTTTTCCTTCCCCTTGGTGGACGGAGCATGAAATTACACTGGAAATTTCTTGACGTTTATAGGTTACATGACATTTATTATTCTTTTGAGTTGACATACAAAGCCTACTATTGAAATGTCAAATCAAAACCATCAAAAATCGTCATTATCCAAGTAATTTTTCAATAATATTTCAGTGTGAAATTTTCTTACTGAATACCACTTTAGCTTGAATTAATATCCGGGAATATTTTGGAGAACACGAACATTTTGAAAATTCTCATGAGTCGAAGACGGAAATAATTGAAGCTCTCGTGATGTTATAAGTGAAAATCTTGAATATGTCAGTATATTGTTGATAGGTATAGTCTTCAGATTGTATACATACACTAAGGCATATTCGGTATGTATTTATAGCATTATGTCAAAATCGTTAGAACTTTATTTCAGTACGTCATGCACTGATCATTTTCTGTTTGTTTCACAAGATATTTGATAAAATTAAATTTGAAACAACTCAAAGGTTTGATTGGAATTATTGAATTCATAAAGGAAATCTAGAGACACCCTGTACTAATTTCGAATCACAATTCGTACCTAATTCAGTTTCCATACATTTGAATTATTCCTACTCCGTAGGGAACTGTAGAAAATCTAGTAAATAACTAAGTATTCCAAAACAATATATAGGAGAAAGATGTTAACTTCAATCCAAAATTATAGGGATGTAGAATTCTACACTTTGTCCTACCCTGTATACTCACATGAATATTATATCGTATATATCAAAAGGGTATTTGCTTTGCACACTATCGCATTTCAAATTTGAAATGTTACCCTTCAATCCAAGGGATTTGTATTTGTTGTTATAGCATTCTTCTACTACATCTTTGACTGAAAATTCTTCAAAGTCTTCGTCAAAATTTGGACAGAATGTGGAAACACAAATACCATGTCTCAAGTGGTCATGCCTATAGTTCCTTGGATCAGAACTGACATTCTGAAAATAATCAAAATTATGGATACAGTAATTAGATGTCTTTATCAATTTCATTCTACTATTTGGGAGAAAAAAATGTGTATTCTTCAATTATATATTTTTCATATTCCACATCACAAAAAATCGAGTAATAGACATGGGCGTCATTTAGGGGGGAAAGGGGGGAGCAGGGAATCGCCCCCTGATTTTTTACGAAAAATTTAATCCACTTTGATTTCTCCTTCAACCATATAATATACACATCACCAGTATTCTATCATTACTTAAAATGAATAAAAATAGTTATTTAACCAACTAGTTTATTAATCGCATTTTAATATACAAGTTGGTTACACAATTTTTCCGTCGACTATATTTCTCATTTCTCCTGCAATGAAGAAAACTTGGTTCGCGAATTCATCATACATCCGGAAACTGCTAGGAATCACCCAGTAGGCTTGTTACTGACATTATGGTGACATTTGACATTTGTCGAAATGATCAACATAGAAAATAAATGCCTTGTGTTAGAAAACAGGGATTAAAATCGTGTCAGAAACTTGGAAAGGCGAACCCGATAACGAAAAATCTTCGATGAAATCCATATTTTCGATTTAAATGCAGATTCCGTAAGTTATAGCATAAACAATGAATGCACGCGGTGTATGTTTGGTTGCCTATAAAACAATCGTGCATTAATAGACAGATCGTTCATTAATAGGGGTCATTAATGAACGATTTCATATACGAGGTCGACGGAAAAATATATAATTTCCAAATTATTGAAACATCATTCAGTATAATAGTAAGTATCATACATAAAATAGGCTTGAATAATAGGAAGCAAATTTTCCTAAAATGTGAAAATAACAATGATCTAATGAATAACTTATTTCCTGTTATGAGTGATTGTTGTTGATTCGGATATGATGAAAAAATTGAAGTGAATCTGGAAATATTTTGCGAAATTGAAAGAATGATGGGGTTGTCATTCTGAAAGAAATTATATTTTCAATTTTAAGGAATTAGAGCCCAAATCCCGAAACAATTTTTGCCTGCGGCACATTTTCACTGTACACAATTTTGTTCGAGTTTTTTGACCCCCTTCCTGGTGAACACTGAAATTGAGTTGTCTGCACTCAGAAAGTATAATCTAATTTTCAATATGAAGGCATTTGACCCTGAACCCCAAAAACAAATTGGCCTGCAGTGCATTCTTCACATGTCACAAATTTTGTCTTCTCAACTTTCTTGACGCCCCTTGTAGTAGATCAAAAAATTCCAACGAATTCCTCGTTTTTTCTTACCTTAATGATATTCCAGAGATTATTCGTCTCGTTTTCCACGAGAGGTTGTAATTCGAAATTCAGTGTACAGAAAACGGCTTGTTTCCCCAATGCCAAACACTTTTCATAATTATCCAAAAAAAATAGATCTGGCATAGAAGCATATTCTACATCTGGAAATCAGAAATATTAACAAAATCGCAGAACGTTTTTTTCACACCTTCACTCGTGTGATAATTTCCAGAATATTTTGACTTGCCTGAGATTTCACGATATTCTCCGTAACATTCACGAAAAATGTATATCACTAAAACCAAAACAACACTCCTTAACTTGACAGTCATTTTCATCACTGTGGTTTTATCTAGTCCATATTTTTCAAGCGTTCTTCAATGAATGTCATCAGTAACTAGGACAGGATCAAGAATCTAGAATGATTGGAGTAGGTACATACATACCTCACCTCACCATACCATTCTTAGTCATTTCAATATCACAATAATCGGACAAGATATCTCGGCATTTTAATTTTCAGAAGATAAAAGTCCCAATTCTGTTTCAGAGTCTACTTTTCCCTCATGTTTTTCACAATTTTATTTTGATCGAAAACACATAATAAGTATAATAATAATAATAATGAAGGACTTCATTACTTCGGAAGATGAAAAATAGTATACTCACTACAAATGAAGACCACAGGGGCAAAAGGGGGAATGTCACAAAAAGTAAGTTTCGAGAAAAACGCATTTCGCAGTTTAAAACCTCCTTACTTTTTGGAAGTTGAAGGAAACTGATATCAAAAACCACCTGAATTCATTTGATGGAGTATAATGAGCAATAAAGTTGAACACCTAGAAATAAAAATCATATTTGAATGGAAAAATCATCGAAAACAAAAAATAAGTCCAAAGATTCAAAGGAAAAATGAGGAATTTCCAAATAAATTGTCAAAAAACTGGATTGTATACTCGCAATTATCTGGTCTGGTACATTTCCCCATTCTTGCCTGACTATATATGAGTAGGAATCATCATGTAGCAATCTCATTTTTTTATTCCCATACTCGACAAGACCAGTCAACACACCTTTTCGTCGTCAACCTCGAAATATGTCGAACAACTCTTTACCAAAACTCGTTTATACATAGAACGGCAAAGCTTTGGAAGTTTTTACCTATAACGAAGTATTCCCAAGAACTCATAGTCTCCAAAAGTTGAAAAAAATCCCAATACCTATTTTACCTCCTCTCCCCATTCTCCCTAGGTATATATTATAGGGATTCCTTTTGGTACGCTCTAAGAGATGAAAAAACGGTTGCCGTATCTCTTTTTTTTCTCATATTTTGTTTGCCTGAGAGTTCACTTTGACCTTTTGACAGTGTGAAAACAATCTATTAAATTCACAATGGAATCTGTTTTCAAGCAAGCACTAAGCTTTTTCCCCTGTGGTGTTCAAATATTAATAATGTAGGGCGAAAGTCTATTCATTCTGAGATCAAGATATAATCCAGAATAATCCAAAATGTCTCTCTTCCATATTGTTTGTACCACTGATATTATGTAGAATAGTTCGTATAGAATCTATACAGGGTGTTTCATAATTAAATGCTGATCCTGAAGGGCGATAATCCTTGGATGATTTTAAGAAAAATTCTTCATGTGAACATAGGTCATTAACAGCTTCGTTTCTGAGATACAGGATGTTGAAATTTAACAAAAAAATCAGTTATTCCCCAATATCTCTGAAACCGCTCTGGCTTTTTTCTTCAATTTTGGTGCATGCCAAGTATGAATAGAAATACATTTTTCCATAATGGAGGATTTCTCAATTTCCATCAGTGGCGTCCCTGTTAACATACCCTGTCATATTTTTCATCAAAATAATGATACGCCACTGTCTTTTTTCCAAATAAATATTATTTTTGTAATTATCCACTATCTTCTCATAAAAATGGTCTCTTGTCTTTTTTTCGTCCAGCGAACGGTTTTTGAGTTAGAAAATAAAATGCATTCATTTGCTTGTCCCTATTCGATTTTTACTCTTCGTCATAATTTCACAAATGTGGTTACCAAAAGATCTAAGCAATATTTTTATAATTTTATGGTATTTATTTTTAAGTTTTTGTAATGAAGAAAAAAGCCAGAGCGGTTTCAGAGATATTGGGGAATAACTGATTTTTTTGTTGAATTTCAACATCCTTGTATCTCAGAAACGAAGCTGTTACGGACCTATGTTCACATGAAGAATTTTTCTTAAAATCATCCAAGGATTATCGCCCTTTAGGATCAGCATTCAATTATGAAACACCCTGTACTATAGATCAATGTTTTGGGAAAAATCGAACCCTTCGTAATTCGAAAAACGCACAGCACTGTCCAAATTAATAGCTGGGATCGTAAGGCGATACTGTGGAATTACAAAAGGTTTTTTCTAAAAAATATTTGAACACATACCTACTACCTTTATTTCAATCCAGACTTTGCCGCAAATTCTTTACAAAACATTCCAAATTCCTCATAAGACTTTCTTTTATAGAGGTGTTCAATCTGCTGGATACTCAGAATAACCTACAATGAGGAATGATTATTCTTATTATTATTGGAACGAGCATGAATAATTTGGGGAAATCGCATCAACTTCCGAATATTTATGGGTTGGCCCAAGTCATACAATGAATTTTTTATAGCCAATTTCTGTGCTATTACTACTAAGCTACTGTTGTAATTATTGTGTTTATTTAGTATGCTGGACAAGTTTACAGACTAGAACAGATGTTGTAATGGTTTTATATACGTGTTCTTAAGATTTAGTTAGAGGTAAGCAGGTTTTCAGTATGACAGATAAGATCTAGTTCCATACTCAACAATACTTTCTTGGAAAAAGGTTATTTCAGCAGGTGGGTGCATTTTAATCTAATTTTCGATAAGCTAATGAGTAGTTTGCAGAAAAACATACTTTTATATAGCCTCCATCGCCACAGTATCTTCTAAATCGATATTCGAACAAGTCACTTTTGACTTCTACCAGAAAAAAAAACGAAAATACGTTCAACATTTAACATTAATAACCTTATTTTCTTGAACACGACATAACATAAAAGACAAGTTGACGACACTTGATAATTTGAATCTATTCTTTCTTCTTTGGCACAGCCCTCTTTGATTTGAACATCATGTTAGCCAATTCGTTAGATGGCATTTCGAAAAACAGAGTTAGCCATAATCCCAAAATGAAGCCTGCGAAAATATCTGCTAGACAATAAACCACCTGAAAAGAAAATTAAAACGATGTAGTTCATTCAGATATCAGTGACGATATATTCAACTTCTCAGGCTTTACTTTCTATTTATATAGTTCGTTATTTTGTATTCCTGAGAAATTGATAGGAGAACTATATACTCTTAGTCAAAACTTTTGTACTTACAAAAGTGAAATAATCAAAGTGCACAGGTGACCACAATAGTCCCACCCTGATATGTTGGAATACAGTATGGCCAATATAGACAGTGAACGACAGCTTTGCCAGAATACTCAGTGGACCCCATTCAAAAATCCACTTATAAAAACCTGCAAATATGTTATAGGTAATCAATCAGTTTTTACTTCATTCGGTCTTATTCAGGTCTGAAGTTGGAATTCTCAGATAGGTTGCTTACCTCCTATACCTTGAGAAAAGCCTATGATCAGTAGACCCATAGCTGAGGCAAAGCATGGCCTTGAAAGTGCTACCCATACAGCAGAACTAACCTCAGTTGCATCTATATTATAAAGAAATGGTGAGAAGAAAACGAACCCCATGAGAATAGAAATTGAAATCCACCATAAAAGGACAGTTACCTGGAAATTAAAGAAATAGGGAGAAACTGAAAAGCTGATTATTCCTGACTATTTCACAAATCACATAATCTGACCAATCACTAGCCAGAGACAATTCTGATTGGTCTATCAGCGTTGATGTTTTCAACGATGTAACCATGGATAGCGAAGCAAAATCTGTCAGTTTGGCATAAAATAATTATGGCTGTACTTCAGAATGAATCACTCATTTATAATAAATGCTTTTTATGCTTCGTGAACGTGAAATAGGCTAGCAAAATATCACTCTGTTCTGAATATTTTCTCATGATTCTGTCTTTCATTGTTAATTATTATTATCATCTCCAATATTCAGAATATCGTGATATTACTTATGACTAGTAGGGTCCCTGTATGTATTTGACAGTTTTGGTGTAATAAGAGTACGGACACTATGACAATCAGTGACAAAAGGCAAAACCCCAAATTCTCAAAATGACTTTGAAGGTTTGGTTGAACCAAGACATGGATATGCTTTTCCATGCACTTCGAATCTCCTTTCCTCTACTGTCGCGGTGAAGGGTACATCCATTTATCTTTCCCTGTCTTTCATTTCATAAAGAAGTGGTGTCTCATCTGACTGGCCAAAAGGGGTCATAGTTTGTAATTTAATTTATTGATAGGATTTATCGATATACTTATTAAAGGGTATATGTCGAGTCGATTTATTTAATTCAACCAATTAACAAACTTATATTTGCTTTCTTAAAATACTAAGACACTTTATAGTGGATGATCAATCAGAAAATGATTATATAGTTCAAGAATAGGATCCTATGATCAAAATATAAAATTTTAAGTTATGGTGGGTACCTAAAGTTTTTGCTCAATTATAAGAATTTTAAAAAGAATATCTTCGGTAATCTTTCTGATGATAGAATGAAGGCTCCTCATTTTCTTTCAATTCAATGGTATGTTCCACTATCAAATCTTTACTTTTGAAGTGCACCTATTATGTTGAAATTGAAATTAGAAATGATATTATTCCTTCAAATATGCATCATATTCAAATATTGAGTACTTACTTCGCAAATTTTGCTAGCTGAACTCAATGGGCGTGTACACCTTAGTAGAAATTTTAACTCAAACCATGTTTATAATGATCCTTTTATACGTAAATAATGACTGACGACATAATTCGATCGATAAATTAATTGAAATGTTTCATTTTGGGACATAAATAATAGTACCTTCTGAAAACGGACCCTCTTATGACGTAGAAACCTCATCTCGCCATAGTTAAAAGAAAATACCAAACGCCCGACGGAGACTGAGGCAACTGATATATTAATTCTCTCAACTGTGATCCCGCGCTAATTCACTCTATCAGAAATCATGTATCAATCATCTCTGTCTGGAATAGTCTTGTTTCAGTATTAGGGGTTTGACGTCACATCATCGCCTCGTTTTCAGAGGTCCGAAAAATCGGGGATTTCAATAATTTTTTATAAAACGTAGGGAGCTCACAGCAAGAAACGGTTTGCGGTGGTGAGCTAGTTTGGGTGAGTTCTATCGAATTATGAAATAAAAATTTCTTGTGATATAAGCCCATTTCCACAATGGCCGCTTCATATTTTGTTTCCAATTCTGTAGCTGTTGTTTTTCATGGGGGAAATGGAATAAATGAAATGATTTTCTTCTATACTCGCAGTTTTCAACTACATAATTAGCCATTTTATTTTTTGAAAAACTGAATTTTCAAATAATTCAATGTCATGTACGTTCATGAACTGTCAGGGCCCGCCGAATTGGTATGTCATTTAGAATTTTTTAGGGTTAGGTATGCCATCTGTCACTGCTTGTCATAGTGTCCGTACTCTCATTACAGCAAAGCTGTCAAATACATACAGGGACTCCACTTATGACAAGCAGAACTATTCGTTTTTACGTACTTTTTTTCCGAATAACAGCTGATTTTTGTACTTATAGTAGAAGTAGCCAAAACCCAAACCTATGATGGAACCTGCTGCATTGGCATGATAACTAGCAAAATGGTCGTGCCATTGTGGTTTTTTATTGAACACAACTCGATAAGTTTCCCTGTAAATTTCAAACAATTTATCATTCCGTTTTTGAAATTCTCAACCCTGAGAATCATAATCATAAGATAGCAGATCAAGTGAAAACGGAAAAAAACAAACAAATTATCATAACATCATCAAACATATTCTTACTCTGGTTTTCCTGATAATGTCGATGGGTATCCATGTCGATAATGATCCAAAAATGCAAAGACAATATTCACCATCAACATGATACCAATCACAACTGGTATTTTGTTTCTGAACTTCACCATAGCCATTATGAAGAAGAGCGAAATTATATAATACTGCATTTCTACTGCCAAAAACCAGCTCACTATATGGCACTAAAACAAACATAATTCAGAATTTATTTTGTTCAGTGTGGGTATTCTAATGTTCAAATTGAAAAAATTTTCTTGTTATCCTTTACTGACGTGTTTTTTTCGGGTACGTTGCGTTCGGCCCAAATTTCGATCCACCCAAATTTCCACCTAATATAAGGAACAAAAATATTCTTTTTTGCGTAAGGAAGCAGACTAGCGTCTCCAAACTACCTAACCTAACTTGGCCTGAATGAACGTTCCTCATAGAAAGTATATTTTTGCAAAATTACTTGAGAGAAAAAATGAGACTGCTTTTTTAAAACAATCTAACTTCACTCGGCCTAAAGAATCTTTCTAAAAAGTATATTTATCAAAAAACTACTTGAAAGAACCGAGGGGAATAATTCTTCAAATAATCTATTATAACTCGGTCCAAATAAACCCTCATCCCAGAATGTACATTTTTTAACAATCAAAATGTGTGCGAATCGAAATTTAGGCGATTCCAAATTTGAATGAATCGAAATTTGAGTGAATATAGAAATTTGGGTGAATCGAAAATTGGGCGAATCGAAATTTGGGCAAATCGAAATTTCGGCGAAACGGAATGTTGGCCCAACAACATATTTGAATGTGATAAAATGATTGTTGATAATTCCCGTTTCTTTGAATCCGAGGAAATATGTCAGTAGTGGGTAAATCGAAAAATTGGGTGAGTCGAAAATTGGGCGAATGAAAATTTGGGTGAATAGAAATTTGGGTCAAACTTTTCCCTTTTCTTCTAGATAAACACTGTTTCTCACCATGTTGTAGCGATCGACATGGTTTTGAACGAACAAAATATTGGCCCACCAGTTTTTCCTACATCTGTTCACTTCTTCGCACATTCCTTCCCAAAATGGACCAAAAGGAATGTGTCTAGCCCATGTGGCATAAAACCCTACTATCACTATAATCGAAGGTAAAAATCTAGAAAAAGAAGAACATAATCATAGCTACTGCTCAACTTGGATGAAAATTATTCACATAGTTATATACCTTACCTCACATATCTTTTGATGACTGTTTTGACTATGAAACCAAGTGTGATTTCTTCATTTCTGTCAGCCTTAGCCAACATAGAGATCATCAACATCCAAGAAGACATCATAAAATGGAACGACAGGAGGTAGATACCTCTTTTCGGGATCTCAGTAGTGAAATCTGGATTATCGTTACTCTGAAAGGAAAACAATTATCATTATAACCTTTGGAACCTCTGTCACTCAACAAGAACTCAAATAGCACATTATTGAGGAATTTTCTCCAAAATGAACACCACCATATTGATTGGTGGATCTTGATGTTGGCTTCCTTCATAAGGCGTTTTCGGAAACTTACTCTGGGTTGTTGACTCGATCTGAACGGGTCACGTGATGGATCAGTCGGATCACTTATCCTAATACTATTGTTTACGAACTTATCAGGTTACTATTTCATTGAGTTAGCTTTATACCTCTTCGAATAGAACTTCTTGATTTCTTACAGCTGTATGCAATTTTTTCAGTTTGCTATACGATATCAATATTTTCGGATCAATTTCTCCATATCTTTGAAAACATACCACTAAACTCTTAAAAGATACACGTTGTTATTGTTCTAGAAATGATGGTAAGTGTATGATCTAAGATAGTAACTCTTGCTGACCCTGCTTTGGAGCAGGGTTGCGAAACATGAACCCGAGTTAGTGAGCGAGTGAGTAACACCGAAGTTTCCGAACATGGGTATGTTACTCGGGTTAGGTAAACGAACGTGCAGGTTAGGGATCGAGTCAACCCGAGTAGGTTTCCGAAAACGCCTTGTTATTTCCAACTCACCTGTTCGAAAAATCTTGGATTGATCAAAGGGACTCCGACGAAAGTTATGCTAGTGTGTACCATTATAACCAAAACAGTCATGTAGACCCTGATGCCTTGGACAGACTTCAATTTATCGAAATCCTCTCCGGTTGGTACACTTTTCAGCTTGTTCCAGTTGGTGGGTATCGAGAAAGCGGTAACAAATTTTTCAACTAGAAAGACATTATGCTGCTTTGTTCAATATAACCCTGTACAAGCGAGAAGTTTGAGTATACTCACAAGGTGGCTTGGTATTTTTTGTACTTTCTGCAGGATCGCTTTTTCTGGTGTAGTCGTATGCTGAGGCCAACAGGACAAGAGCAATATAAATTGTGAAGATTGCCCTGAAAAATATTTGCTGTTATCGTAACCTCAACATTTCGAATATTTTCTGAAATTTTTCTCATACTTTAATTTTCCAATTGAAATCTACGGCTCTGAATTGTCAACGTGGAAAAATAATATTTCTGAAGACTAGGAGAAAAAAGTTTCGTTTTGGGATACCGTATATTGCCATCTTCGTCCAATCATTCAATCATTTTCTTTTTTTGGGAGCTCCAAGCTCATCATCATCAGAATTCATACAAGTATACTTCTCCTATACATTTGAATTTTCATTTCAATACTGAACATATTGGTGTAAGTTATATTTTCATATCATAATACATCATATTTTTCATGCTCTCTTTTTGGATGTTCAACAGATATAATTCAATGTTCGACGTGGCAAATAGCCTGAAAAGTAGTTGTTTTCTGTTGAATGTTCAGAATGATATTATGGGAATATCTTTATATGAAGGAGAATGCAAATTCTCTAGTTCAGAAGATTTTGTTTTCAAATTCTTATCGTGTGTGTTCAATAGATATAATTCAATGTTCGTCGTGGCATATAGCCAGGAAACTAGTTGTTTTCTTTTGAATAATCCGAGAAAGAATTAATATATTTTCATCACATGAAGAATGCGAATTCTCAATGTATTTCTTTATATATATATTTCCATTCTTTTGTGTTCATAATTATATCTTAGAATATTCCTTTTCAATACTTCCTTCCACCCAATCAAGGGGTTCAAACTTGAACCAGGGAAACTTGTTATTATAGACCTCAATCGCAGATTCGTGATTAGGTTTTCTCAAATCATAATTTCTTTCTACGTCCTGTATGATGAATATCAATTTATCATACATCCAAAAACCCAATTCAAATTTGTCAGTCTGAATAGAAGAGAAAACATAACAGTGATTGTTCTACACATCAACAATATTCGATATTCGTAGGAAACAACAAAATCTTGATTTGCAGAAGAATATTCGAATTCAGAGGAAAATGTCTTGATTCACCGGAGATTGTTAAAATTGAAAAGTAAAGAATACAGATGTGGTTAATCTGAATGTGGATGTTTCCCTATTCTTGCTTACCCTGCGATATAGTCCATGTTGTCAATGTCATACAGCGGCTTATTACTTCTACATCGTACCTCTAATACATTCCCTCGCAAATCCATTGTTCTGTATTTCCGATTATAGCATTCTGTGAGTTGTGAGTGAAAATCTGGATGGGTTTCATTGTAAATTCTGACATTTGGACACCTTTGCGGAATACATGCCATTAGGTGTAGCTTATCATGCCTGTAATGGAGTTCTGAGGCACTAGCTTCCTGAAAAACAAAAAAACATTGTTTCTACAAGCGTGCGCAAAGTAGTACTTTTCCGCACTCATTTGCGTGCGCAAAGTAATACTTTTCCGCACTCAGTGCGGATATGGGTGTTATCCGCACGGCGTGCACTATGAGAAGCCGTTATCCCTTTTACTTTTCAACCGTTCTTCCCGATATTTGTATTTCACCTCAATATAAATATACGGAACAAATGATTTAATTTTCTATCATTATATTTTATTGATATGTGATTGTTTGTTGTTCAGCTATTTCTATTATTATTATCAAATAAATTGTAATTTAAGTTGAAATTTTTTTGTTTTCGATGTTATTTGATATGAAGCTCGTAGGAAAAATGTGATTTTCTATTATTATATTTCATTGTTATAGGTATGTGATTGTTGTATAGTTACATTTTTCAATAAGTTATAATTTTTTTAAGTTTTCCTTTTTATCTGATATGAAGCTCGTAGTAAAAACGTTGTTCCTAACACGTGCGCAAAGTGTCTTTTTCGCACGCAAAAACTTATTCGAACTCCGCTCCGCGTCGTTCGCCTAACTGTATCTGCGTAAAAGTAACACTTTGCGCACTTGTTAGGAGAATAACTATTTTCTACACGCAATTTAGTTCGAAAAGTATTATTTACCCGCAGTAGTGCGGGAAAAGTTTTCCTACACAAGTGCGGGAAAAACATTTATATAATATTCTCGCAAAAAATGAGTGGTGGGTGAGACAATATGAAAATTTTAGGTTTTTTGTGGCAGTATTTAGTAAATTTCTACAAATCAAATTGCACTATTATATAATGGGGGAGACCACTGATTTTTTAAAATGACATTATCGTGAAATCAATACTGAAAAACTACCAACGAATTAATTTTGAATTTTATCATTCATGCTGAGACGATGGAAAAAATAAATTAGAATATGTCCATTTCAAATCACACAATTCCTGCGCCATTTGAAATTTTGTCAATTCATTGGTGTGACTGGTGCGACGTCTTATTGCCAACACGCCTATTGTCCTTGAACTGACCAATCACACTGCAACACTGCAGAATGACGAGGTATCAGAGAGAGATAGCTACAGCTCGGGACTAATACGTCACGACTCCACCATCATATTTGGCTGTTTGAAATATCGAATGAAATATGCTGATTTCAAAACGATATAGATTCGATTCCCTTCAACTTTAACTCATAATATTGATAGTACATCAAACGTAAATCATGATTCGTCGATTGAAAGAGGTTTGCACGGATTTCTTCTCTCAGTGGTCTCCCCCATTGTGAAAAGAAAAATTATTGAAAAATAATAATTGATTGTTATATAAATCCACCTATAGCCTTTGATTGATTTGATGTGGGAAACAATTGTTGTCATGTCAATCTAAACACAAATTAGTTAGTGTAATTCTCAGAGTGACAGACAGAGCGTTACTGTCATTTTCGATTCAGTGGAATGGGGGAGACCACTGATTTTTTCAAAACGACATCATCCTGAACTCTATACTGGAAAAATACCAGTGAATTAATTTTGAAATATTCCATTCATGCTAGGACGATGAAAAAAAATAAATGAGAATATGGCTATTTCAAAACACACAATTCCTGCGCTATTTGAAATGGTGTCAATTGATTGGTGTGACTGGTGCGACGCGACGTATTAGTCCCAACACGCTAATTGTCCTTGAGCTGACCAATCACAGTGCAACACTGCAGAATGGCGAAGTATCAGAAAGAGATAGCTACAGTCGGGACTAATACGTCACGGCTCCACCTTCATATTTGGCTTTTGGAAATATCGAATGGAATATGCTGATTTCAAAACGCTATAGATTCGATTTCCTTCAACTTCAACTCATAATATGGATTGTACATCAAACGTAAATCATGATTCGTCGATTGAAAGAGGTTTGCACGGATTTCTTCCATCCGTGGTCTTCCCCATTGCGATGAAAAACTTCCAGCTACAGATGCGATACAGATGAGTTATTGCCAACGAGGTCTCAAGAAAGGTATGAGAAGCACTACACGGGATGTATTGAATGGTGCAATAATAAAAAAGTGAAAACACCAAATAAAGAAGTCGTATTTTGGCTCATTTCTTAGAAATGTCTGAAACCTAGAGGCCAAACACCATGGACATGCTGGCTTCCGCAATAAGCTTACCTACATAATGCTCCAAACGGTACGCACAATAGATATATCACTAATTATCAGAAGATAGAGAATATATCACTATTGTAGTTGTTCCTATTTGCAGGAAGAACTGATTGAACAAATCAATCAATTTCCTACACTTGTAGAAAAAATATTGTTCCTAACTCATGCGGAAAGTGTATTTCCCGCACTCGACTGCTTCGCGTCGTTCGGGTCAATGGCATTCGCGTTCGGGAAAATATCACTTTCCGCGCTTGTTTGGAAAATTACTATACAGTCTGTCCAAGATAAGGTTGAACAGCATGGGGATCTCGGAAACGGTGGGAGATACGAAGTCGCTTAAATGGGGAAAAAGTTGCGCATTCGGAGGCTCATATCAAGAGCCTTCGAAAATTTTGAAAATTATTTTTAGTTTTTGAGTTATATCGAAAAAAGTGAATTTTTGGAATTTCTATTATATTTTTTTTCTCCGTTATTATTAGAGATACAGAAAAACTGAAAATACTTTTACATAGCAACTTCTGATGACGTTTAACGTGGTGATACCGATTTTTTTATGCGACGTTCCGTATTCGTGGAACCATCATCAACTTTTGTTTTTTAAATACGGTCCTGATAATTTTTTCACAGATTCTGAAAGGTTTTTTTATTCTGAATTCAATCATATACTATAAAAGGTGGTTCGAATGTGTTTCGACCTATTTCTATCCATCATCAATGTTTTTTCGAACTTCCAAAGGAAAAAAGCCATCAGTTCCACTTATTTCTGATCATTTAGTGTCAAACTTGATTAGTTATTCAATACTGAAAAGCGAATAAAAAATATTTCACTACATCATTCGATCAATGCAGCGTTTAAAAGTGTTGATGAATTCTTACACGAATTACTTTAACAACTTAACTTTGACAATACCTACAGAGACATTCATAACAAATGTTCAAAATAATAACCATTATTTTCTGAACAAAATTATGCTCTTCTCACAGTTGCTTCTAAGACATTGCTAAGCATTTCTGGGGTTATTCTATTGAATGCTTCGAAGACACTGTCCCTTAGTTCTTCTCCATCATCAAAGTTATTTGCGTGTACAAAGTTCGATATATCCCCTAAGAAAAAATCCAGCTGTGTCAAATCAGGCGACCGCGCCGGCCAAGGGATAAAAACGCACGGACTTCTCTGGAATTATGTACCGGAGCGCCATCGTGTTGAAACCAACAGTTCTGAACTTCCGCAATCGTTAAATCATCCAGAGATCCTCAAGATGATTCTCAAGCGAATTTCTATAATGTTCGGAAGTCTGTGTTTCATGGTAAATAGAAGGAACAATAATTCGTGTACCAAATATTGCAACCCACATATTAAAGCCGAAACGGTGTTGGTGTCTCGCTGTAATGTATAAATGTTCATTTTCTCGTGAACAATAATGTGTATTTTTTTTATCGAAGCTACCATGATTAGTGACCATGCTTTCATCAGTCCAGATGATTGTTCGAAAGAAATCTGCAAAATTTTAACATTTCCTGGTATACCACTCACAGAATGTCCTGCGCCTTTCGTCATCGCCTGGTTTTGGCGCTTGACATATTCTGAATTTTTATGGACGGAATTTTTGTTTCTGCAAAATGAAATGGGTTGTTGATTGAAACCGGTTGATGAGGCATTCGTGTGTTGACTAATTTTCCTTCAAAATAAGTGGAACTGATGGCATTTTTCTTTGGAATTTCGAAAAAACATTGATGATGGCTGAAAATAGGTCGAAACACACATAAACCACTTTGTATAATACATGGTTGAATTCAGAATAAAAAAACATTTCAGAATCTGTGAAAAAATTATCAGGACCGTATTTAAAAAACAAAAGTTGATGATAGTTCCACGAATACGAAACGTCGCATGAAAAAATCGGTATCACCACGTTGACCGTCATCAAAAGTTGCTATGAGAAAGTATTCTCAGTTTTGCTGTATCTCTAATAATAACGGAGAAAAAAAAAATAAAATAGAAATTCCAAAAATTCACTTTTTTCGATATAACTCAAAAACTAAAAATAATTTTCGAAATTTTCGAAGGCTCTTGATATGAGCCTCCGAATGCGCAACTTTTTCCCCATTTAACCGACTTCGTATCTCTTACCGTTTTCGAGATCCCCATGCTGTTCAACCTTATCTCGGACAGACTGTATAGCTCACATCTCACGCCTGTCCCCAGATCCTGTCCCTGTCGACCTTGGAGAAGATCATATTGATTTAGACCCATACAAATGATTGTGAGGGACGTTTTCATACAAATGAGTATACCTAATAATCCTACCTTTATGACTCTCCATATGTTGGGAGGATTTCTTTGGTCGATAGGCTCTAATTGGTAGGTTATGCTGCAGTAAAAGGCTTTTTTGCCAAGCATCATACAGGTGTCATAGTTGTCCACTTGGAATAGTTCTGGCATAGAAGCATATTCTTCATCTGAGGACAATAAACAACGAATGATTATAATTCGGAAATGATCGAAAACTGACAACTGTACAGGGTGATTTAAAATTCGATTCAGATATTCCAGGACGTATTGTTAGGGTGATAATAGCTTTATTATGTTAATTTAAAAAAATACTAAATATCAATCCCAACAATACATTGCATTTTGAATCACCCTGTAGGTTAATGCATTTACCAAAAATTGATATTATCAAGTATAATTGAAAAAAAAAATGCTTACCGGTTATTGCAGGTACTAATCCAAATATGAGGGAAAATACGAAAATCACTTTCAGTGCCATGATGAGGAAAAACCTTGGAAATGGAAGACGAATGCTCACCGGTTGTTTACCTACAATACTGTTTTATTGTTTTATTTTCATATCTCATTGATATTCTTTCTTACATTATTGCTGGCTGTTGGACCAACATTTTTGATGTAAAAAACCAAAAGAACGAGAATTCTTTTTGTTGCTCGCAATACACTCATCAGAAAGAAGTTAATCTATACCACGTGGATCTTCTCTTTTTAATATAAAATAGATACCGTACCAATGGTATTGAATTGTGATTCTTCCAAAATGATGGATATTTAATCATAGAAATAATATGGACTATCTTCTATGAATTGTTAGCAAATGTTATATGATACGCACTTACCTACATTTATTTAAAACATTTTAATAATCCACATGCAAGTGATTGACTGATGCACCTATACGATCTATAGTGAAATCTACTGAAGTAAACGAAGTTCCTAATGGTGGTAATAAAATAACTGTTAAAAAGGCATTATGTTATATAATATCAAAACTATTGAGATACGTATTACTTGAGTCTACTACGATAACCTCTATAGGTCTATAACAGAGCTTATCAGAATTATTTGGTATGAGGTTGAAGCCCATGCATACGTTATTATTATTGTCAAATCAAACATTCCACCTTCAACAACAGAAACAATAACACATAAAAGTGAGAGAGAGTTAACCAATTTTGGTTTCAGTCAAATTTTTTGTAGATTTCATAGAATGCCAAGTTTCTTCTAAACCACTATCAGTAAGGAACACATAGCGTTTGGGAAATATTCAGGAAATATCAGCATCTGAAGCACCCTTCAAGAATAGGCTCGTAGCTCCTTAGGAGCCATTTTTGACTTATGTTTATTAGGACTTTTCTTCCTATTTGTGTACTCGTTCAACAATCTATTTATTTGAAAATACCAAGACTTGAGCTATGGTATACTTAGGACGAGAATCGTTGGGCTTTAACAAGAATATATCATCAACGTTCTTTGCACTTGAGATGCCAAATTATTTTCGAATAAATGTCTGAATGTCAACAACAATCGCGTACGAACCTTCGGGAATATTGATGATTTTTTCTGCATTGGTTTGGATCCTATTTCCAAACCTTGAGAAACTATTGAACTCATCGGGAAACATAATTTAACAGTCAATGATACGCTCCGAATACCACAACCAGGATTAAAATGCTAAAGTCTAGCGTTTTATCATAGATGTTTTATCAAGGAAGGCGATGAACCTTCAATATTTGAATATTCAAAACTCAAAATCCTTATCCATTTACCAACAGCGACCGATATTATATTTATTATATATATTATATATTATAACCTCTGGAGAAGAACTTATATGTTTCACATGGCAGCAAAGTAGATTGATAGGCAGTAAAAGTGAACCTTTCCTGCCTGTTGAGTGTCATTGAAATGCCATATTTAATGTCATTTGAAGGAAAATTACTATTTTCTCCAAATGACATTCAAAGTGCCATTTTAATGACACTTAGCATGCTGAAAAGGAATTCTTTCTCTGCCGAGGCGGAGAAAGTACAGCCTAAGCAGAAAAAGTTTGTTGCTATGCAACGTTCCAAGTGAGAATTTGAATCAAATTTCATGGTTATCAAAATTGACTGTGACTTTGGGTGAACACAACATGATGAATTATTTGGACTTTGTGTGAAATTGAAACGAATTTGGAGGAAAAATTATATGTTTCACATGGAAGAAAAGCAGATTTAATGCCTTGGCTATGAAACCACAGCCGGGGCATTAGATCTTGTGCTTTTCTGCCTAGTGAAACAATAGTGACTTGGAAACTTGGAGAAAAATGATTATTGTTCACGTCACATTTCCAAACCTTGAGAAAATATTGAACTAATCGAAAAACATCATAATTTCACAGTCAATGACACGCTCCGAGTACTACAACCAGTATGAAAATGCTAAAAAAATGCTAAACACAAGTGTTTTATTTACGTAGGCAATGAACCTCGAACATTTGAATGTGCAAAAATCAAAATCCCTATCAATTCACGAACAGCGACCGATGAAGAAAGCGTTAGAAAAATGATACTTCCAATTATCTGCTTCCTGATCTGCTCTTTCAACGCCCAAGCTGCCAAAATACTGGGCGTTTTCCCTGTACCCTCCGCCAGCCATCAAGCCATATTCCAACCAATCTGGAGAGAACTCTCACTCAGAGGCCACCAAATCACCGTGGTGACTCCCAATCCCATCAAGGACCCACAGCTGACCAACCTCACGGAGATAGACGTTAGTTTCACCTACGAATACATTCTCAAATCGCCATTTGTCGGCAATTTGGGCAGAGCCGAATCGGTTTGGGAGCGAAACCATTTGATCCTAGAATCTTTGACCAAGCTTGTGGAGGATGAAATCGAGTTCGGTGAGGTGCAGGACTTGTTGAATGGGGGCGAAGCTTTTGATTTGGTTATTTTGCAAGTGCAGTTCATGACGACGCTCGTGTATGGTTTCGCAGCTCGTCAAGATGCCCCGATTGTTGGTGAGTGATGGGCTTGAATTATCTGTTGCTGGACATTTAGTATCTATTGCTCGAGATCTTGCACTTCAATTATTGTTGTTGGGCTTCAACGAGAGCATATCATCAACGCTTTTCGCACTTGAGATGCCCAATTCTTCTCTTATACATATCTCAATGTCTACAGTGTCATATGCACCATAGGTAAATATCGATGATTTCTTCTGCATTGGTCTTATATTGCAAATAAAACTTGGATCCTTCGTCGATATTTGGTATACCGTTGTATGACTGACCTTGAGAATATATTCAACACATCGGGAAACATCATAATTTCACAGGGAATGATGAGCTCCGCGCACTAAACCCTGGATATAAATATTAAACACGAGTTTTTCATCAGAGTAGACAATGAACCTTCGCATGTTCAAAGATTATGGAGAAAGCTATCAACATCGATCTCATGAAATACCTGGAACATTCGGTTATTATCAACGATAGGCAATATGGCTTTCGTCATCAAAGATCAACTGGTGACCTGCTCGCTTACGTCTCACATATATGGCAGCAATTTATTGAAAAATATGGTGAAACCTTAGCCGTGGTACTTGATATCTCCAAGGCATTCGATCGAGTCTGGCACCACGGCCTCCTTGCCAAGCTTCCATCTTATGGCTTGCCTCCCCAACTATGTTCTATGCTAGCTAGTTTTCTCTCCAACAGGTCTCTCCATGTAGTGGTCGATGGAGTTTCATCTGACTCTCTTATACCATGAATGCTGGTGTTTCGCAAGGATCAATTCTAGCACAAACACTATTTCTACTCCATATCAAAGATTTGTTTGAAGCAACTTCATGTCCAGTACACAGTTTCGCGGATGATAGTACCCTCCAACCACCTTCTCTTCCAGGGCTCCAATACCAGCCAGGCAAATTAGAAACGAACGAGGGAAAAATGTTGACAACATAAATATGGACTTGGCGACAATTCTCGAATGGGGATTCAATAACTTGATAGATTCCAATGCAAACAAAACACAAGCATGCCTTTTCTCTAGAAAAGCCGATCTCACTGTGCTAAACATAAGCATGTCAGGATTGACCATATCTTTGAAGACATCCATTTCGATGCTTGGTATTACTATCAGCAATGACCTTTCTTGGAAAAATCACGTGAGATCAATTGCTAAAAGTGCATCCCAAAAACTTGGTTTTCTGTTTCGGGCCAGGATCTATAAGGCACAGATCCGACCTGTCCTGGAATACTGTTGCCATATTTGGAGTGCAGCACCCAAACATACCCTGAAACTGTTGGAATCTGTCCAAAAAAGGGCGATTCGTCTCGTGGGTGATGCCTCGCTCACAAACTCACTCACTTCTCTGGAACACCGTAGAAAAGTTGTCGATCTGGCTCTATTTTATTGATATCTTCATGGAAGATGCTCTTCTGAAATATCAACAATTGTTCCTCCCTTGGCAGTCCCCGCGAGATTTACCCGTCGAGTTGAGGCTTCGCACCCCTTCGTGGTCACTTTGGAGACCTGTAGAACATCTCTTTCCAAAGACTCGTTCATCCAACGAACAGCGAGGCTCTGAAACACATTGCCAAGGGAGGTGTTCCCCGAGGCATATAAGCTCCAGAAATTCAAGAAGAACACCAATTCCTACCTTATTTTCCTTGGTTCTCACGATGTTCTCTGAACATTACAGGATATCCCTTTTCGTGAGAACCAGAACATCAAAAAAAAAGTGAGTGTACAAATCCATCCTGTAGATTTTGTTGGTTACTTTTCAATTGCAGCAACTGTCAAAATTATTGCATTGTGTAGACTGTAGACAGACAGGTATATTTTAAATTCTGATTATTCTATCAATTATTATTTTTTGATTATGTCATACTCTAGGATTCTTTAACGCGTTGCACTGCTGACATTTTGAGTCAACTCCACGAAGGCTGTCAAAGTACAAGACTATCTTTTTTAGGAATCATCTATTTTCCTTGGAAACAATGATTTGAATGATATTAGAATAAAATATCATGATTATATTCAGATACTTTTATGACTATCGTACACAGGATGTTGTTTGCATAAGAAATTAATATTTTTTTTAGTTTCAAAATAAAATGTTGCTACTTGACTGAAAGATAACATAAGGTAAATAGCGTAAATATTTTCTTGAATCCAACATTATTGTGAATACCCTTTCCCGTGATAATTCCATAAAATCTCGTTTATCAGGATCAATTTCATATCAAATGAGTGAATACTCACCAATCGACAAGATGCTAATGTTAATAAACATCCTGATGATACTACTACATTCTACAAATAGTGCTAAAATCTTGTGCTTTTTCCCTGCACCTTGCATAAGCCATCAAAGAACTTTCCAACCGATATGGAAAGAACTATCGCTCAGAGGACACACCGTCACTACAATAACACCCAGTATATTAGCAGATCCGACGCTAACTAATCTAAAAGAGATCGACGTTGCATTTGCTTATGATTTCCTGTCGGTTGGTTTGGAAAAGCGCGTACCTAAGGAAAACGGTGTCATAAGCAATGTCGTGGCTCTGTTGAACTTAGGTCTGGACATAATGGAGGCTGAGATCAATGATGAGAAGGTACGCGCATTGTTGAACGATAGTGAAGTGAAGTTCGATTTGCTGGTGAACGGGCTATTGTTTGTACCTCTGGGGTTGGGGTTTGGCGCCAAGTATAAGGTACCGACTGTTGGTAAGTTATTTTTCCCACGGATATTGTTTTTTGTTCTATCCATTCATCGGTCACATTCGGATTCATTTTATTGCATTCATGTTAGATATCTTTCGGTGATTGCATGGAACATCGGCAGTATTTTTTTTTTCATGTTCTGGTTCTCACGAAAAGGGATATCCTGTAATGTTCAGAGAACATCGTGAGAATCAAGGGAAATAAGGTAGAAGTTGGTGTTCTTCTTGAATTTCTGGGGGTTATATATGAAGGGATCTATGATTTATCACTCCTTTGAATAGGCATATTCATAAGCAGAACCTAGTGGCTTACCTACCTGATATACGTATAACTAATGAATCTAAATTTCAATATTTGAACCCATAAGTACATACATACATTTGAAGTAGTTGGGTGCCTGATGGAATTTGAGCTTCATCATTGAGAACAATTTTAGAACAATTTCAGAACTCGAAAACAGAAAGAGATACAGGGTCGGTTGAATTATGGCAAGGTTGCCAAAAAAAAACAACGAAATTTCTCAAAACCTTTTTTATTTGCGGGAGTTTTTCTACTATACTACATCCATTTACTCTACTTCGAGATACCATGAGGTTCTACTACAGATTATTCATACATATATATAAATAATCTGTAGTAGAACTCCATGGTATCTCGAAGTGATGATCAGTTTCTTCGAATAACTTGAAAAAGAGTAATATCACGATGTTCTGATCATCTCATATTTCTAATATTCGAGATAATTATGTCGCTTTGTTCTTCACGAAATCGTGTTGTCATGCAACACAACAAGTCAACAATGAAAGACTGAATTATGAAAAGATATCCAGAACAGGGTGGTATTTTGCTAGACTACCTATTTCACGAAGCATTTATCATCATACAGGCACGAGCCATATGAATGAAGCTAGCCATTCTGACATCTACAGCTATAATTATATTATGTCAAATTGATAGACTTTGCTTCGCTGTCCATGGATACATCGCATTGAAAACACCAACGCTGAAAGACGAATGGGAATTGAAAGAAAGCTAGTGTTTTCGCGATATCACAAGTTGTCTTTGACTTGTGATTGATGGTCTGATAATGTTGAAATATAGCCAATCATAATATCGACACCCACAACGAAGATTATCGTAACTCATTTTCTTAACAACTGAGAAATATGCATCCAAAGTTCACATGCTGTTCAGGGCAATGAAAACTGAAGATATCCAAATGGAATATTACTTCCACTGCTTTGGAAATTGAGTTCTCCAAAGATAAAAAGCTGATTACTGTTGAAAACTCACGAATAAAATTGCCAGTTTTTCTTCTGTCATTGAGTTATTATAGTTTTCGCAGGAATAATTTAGCAAAAAAACAAACATGCTCTACTTTCAATACAACATTTATTGCTAAAAACAAGATTCAAAACTAATTATTGATAATATTATAAAAAGAAAGTCCCTATATCGGATCTATTCCGACACACTGGAAGAGCTTCCCCTAGTTGTTTCCTGCTTCTTTTCAATAGACTTCACACATCTAGCAATGTAATCCCACTGTTTTGTATGGTTTCCAATTTCCCAAAATGCCTGGAATAGTGCACTTCTATTCTCCTCTGTCAGCTTCGTACCACATTTATTTCTGCATTCTTGTATACAAGCATTTTTCATAACCTTTGCTGGAATAACTCTAATTTTTCGATTCTTGTGTTCTAATCCTAAATTGTGTTCTCTTTTTGCCTTTTTATCAATCCATTCATTTTCATTTCGAGTGCGTTTTCTTCCTTTCTTTTCTTTAACAGATATTTTACGTTTCTGTGCAATTTTTCCTCTAGGCTCGGAATGCTCGTCTCCACCAGATGACTTGGATAATACTCCGGTAGGTACTTAGTTTGGATTGTCATTGGAATCTGATGATTGGTGCCAATTTTCTATGTCATCATCTATTGCATTTTGTTCTCTCAAAACTGTACTTGGACAGGATGTTTCATCGTTCTTTGGTGCAATGGTTGCTTCAGATGTGAACAGGTCAACAGAACAAGCAGTACTTGTACTCGGTTTTACGACTATAAGAGACAAAATTATCATCTTATATTTCAAAGTAAATAATATCACAAACTCTGAGTAAATCTTTGTTTCCGAGAGTAACCATTCGAAGATCGACAATAAACTTTCGTTTCTTGTGATGGACATCTCTCGAAAATATAGCAAAAAATCTAAAAAAACATAATTTCTTTATACTTATACTTGATTCCAACCGGATATTCGATTCATTGTCGTTTTTAAAACATTGTTCCGCATTCTTCAGGATCAATTTGGTACGTTTACTCATTTCTTCTATTGTTTTAAGTCAATTTCTGTATTGGATACCTTTTCAAAACTGCGACAGAAACCAATAACACATAACCTCAATCTCACCGACGGAAGCTATAGTATTTCGCCATATCTTGCAACGAAAACTATTGTAACTGAACATAATATTATTTTCGCTGCACGAAACCAGTGATTTCAGTTACTAAATATTCTGAAATACATTACTGGTTGCCTAACCGTTTCATATTGAGATACCAGAGTATTCGTAAGTGTATATAGATATGTGGAAAAACTCAAAATCACCATTTTTTGAGTTACGATAGTTTACGTTGTAGGTGTAGATATGACTAATTTGTCAAATATTTCACTACGTTACCAAATCCTTGTGAAAATTATATTTTTTTCAGCTATATCATCCCTTGGGGTATACTTACACACCCATGATGCTTTCGGCAACCCCACACATCCCTTGGTATCCCCAGATCATATGCTGAACTATGAAACGGACCTTAGTTTCCTCCAAAAGGTGGGAAGTCTGCTTTACAATTTTGGGTACCGCATGTTGTACTACTGGTACGTATGATAAAATAGTACCACAGTAGTTTTTGATTGACCATTCCACTCTTTGTTTCCGAGAACCAATCAGAATCAACCATTCCCTCAGTGATATTATATTTGCCATATACAAGGTGTCTCAGAACAACGTACCATAAATACTACAGGATCAACTAGAGACCAGAATAGGCCGATTGAAATCAACTTTCACTTCCAGATTTTCTTTAATATTTCTAAATTGTTTAGAGATACTGCTCTGATATTCGTAGGGCAATTCACTATATAGTGAATGTGCATGGAAAACAGGTCGTAACAATTCAATCAATATGCAGGGAGTTCGCTTTCTTTTGTTAAAAATGAATGTAACTTTTTTAGAGTACGGCACTGACCACATTTTGATATTTTGATGATCAATTATCTCACTTTTTTCAAGTGCAGTGTCTTCCTAATTTTTCTTGGTTTTGGAGATATCTAGCAAAGTTGCTCCTCCATACTTGTTCATGATTATGACGATTACCGACAACGATAATGTTGTTGGTCATCTTCAAATTTATTTATCCACGATTGTTGCATAAAATATTCATAATACGTGTACTTCCTCAAAGCAAAACTTTTGACACCAGTGAATAATAGCAGTGAATAACCATAATTCACTGGTCTAGGGTTCCTATGAGTTATGATAAAGCAGTTGCTAAAAATAAATGTACCTATATATCAAGGACAATAGTAGTCGTGGACAAAGTATAGTATTCTACTCGCATATAATGAGCTATTATTCACTCAGATTAATTATGCCTCTTGCTACGCTCGTGACATAAATTCAACCTTCGTGGATAATAGCCCTTATTATATGCTTGTTGTATAATATACTATTATTTTTTCCTGAATAAAGTTTTTTCACCAAAAATACTGAACTGAAATTTGGAAATGTACCTCTCCCAAATCATATGATCGAAAGTTTGCGAATTGGTGAACATGATCATTGTGATCAATAACTCAACACAAACGAGGAAAGTAGTAAAACATGCTAATCATAAACGACTAGTATGGAGATGCACCAAATTGAATTTTGATATTTATCTCGAAAACCAAGGGAATTATACGAAAACTGAAGTCACAAAAAATTTAGATAATTGATTTTGTCATTCTCTGAGATATCAAAATGTGTTCAATACCATACTCCAAAAAAATTACATTAATTTTTATCAAAGAGAATGCGGAATACCTGACTCCCTGTATATTGATTGAATTGTTACAACATGTTTTCCATGAACATTAACTATAGTGAATTTCAGAGAAGTACCTTTCAAAAATTTCGAAATATTGGAGAAAATCTTGCCTATTTTGGTATCTAGTTCACCCTATATAATTTATGGTACGTTGTTCTGGGACACCTTGTATAACATCGAATACAATTACTATCTAATTCTCACTGCACAGATTACTGTAGCATCATCCATTATCTAAATCAATCATGAACTACTCATACGAATACAACTTTCGACACTATTTTTCCTGTAAAAATTTCTCCCCTAGGCTTTTGTCACTAAACCTTCTCTTCATATTATTAATATTTGTTGAGAAATAGTTATTTATTATACAAGGGAAAAATGTAGTCGATTTTAGCTCCAGGTTGTGTTGTCACAAAAAACCGTGAGCTAAAATATAATATTTTTTCCGTGAATAATAAATACACTATTTTTTTCTGTGAAAGAAGAAAGGACGAATCAATATCGAGAATATATTACATTATTTTGAAATCTGGAAATTATCGACGTGAAATTTTAAGTTTTCAACAGTCGGGCATCTTTATCATTCTTTTGAAGTAATCAAATATCTGATGTCACTTATGTCAGTCTAATTCTGTGAATTGATTGAAAAAAATTGCTCAGTGGTTGTTTAGTAATATACGTAACCGCGAAGTCGAATGGAAGATGAAAGGACTTGCAGTTCTTTCTCGGAGACGGTATTATTGACTCATTTTTCGGAACAAGCCATCAACAGCATATTATATATATGTGATATATATCCGGGAAAAAAGTACTCACTTTTTTCCCACGGGAAAAAAGTAATTTATGAAAAGTGACATTTTATAACCTGCCAACAGAGATGAAATGCCAAACTTTTTTCCCGTCACAGACAAAATACAATTATTGTGTTCTTTTGTAGGTACGTGCTACCAAGAACAGATAAAATTGCCAGGAAATATTTCGGGGATGACATTCCCTATTTGGGAGACATCGAGAGGAATACCAGTTTGCTTTTGATGAACGTCAACCCCATAATGAACGGTGTCAGACCCAATGTACCAAATATCATAGAAATCAACCATGTTCATATTACAGACAAGAAACCACTGCCTAAGGTGAGATGTATAAAATTCCTAATCTAAAATTAGTACTCAAATTCCATTCATCACAGCCTAAGTGTTATATATGATATTGTACCAACCCAAAGAGAATAGTAGATTGTTTTATTAGGATCAAAAGTGACACTTTGTTTGACAAGCGAATTTTGCATTTGCGAGGCGGAGCGTTTAGCCTCATCTCGAGGCATTGAGTTCCTGTCTGCATTCCCGTACCAGTCTGGATTAAAATAGTTCACTTCTAACTCTTGGTGTATAATATATTATTCCACTTCCAGGATATCCAGCGATTCCTTGACTCTTCTCCTCAAGGTGTGATCTACTTCAGTTTGGGCTCCAACGTCAAAAGCGCAAACCTACCTACATCGACAAGGAATGTTTTTATCCAAGCTCTAGCAAATCTTCCTTATAAGGTCCTATGGAAGTGGGAAGCCGATTACTTGCCTGCGAAACCAGACAACGTTATGATAAGAAAATGGCTGCCACAACAGGATATATTAGGTACAAAAAACATAATATGAGTCCTAAGGAATTATTATAATGAAATTGGTATTTCTGATTCCTGATTCCGAGGTTATTATTGAATCGAAAATTCAATGTAAACACGCTGTTTTTTTTACCACGATTTATTAGCTTGGTATGTATGTTTGAATGTATGTTTTCATGTAATGGAATGTTCGATGGTGATTTTGACCGACTTGAAAACGTCGTATTGCATAATTTAATGGTTTTGTTTCATCAAATTGATCAGGATCCTCAAAATGAGTGATTGACTTTTTCCTGAATAAAATGGTGAATAACTTTTTACAATGCATTTCATATCCAGATGGTGAATGATGTTTTGATGTCCTGCCACCGAAATTTCAACTGTTGCGTCACCATAATTTTGAATGTACGTTTTCATTCTTTCAAATAACTTCTTACTATGGTTTATATATTCAGAGACAAGGCAGTGTCTTGCACCTAGTACTCTTATGAAGGGTGTTTTTGACCCACTTCAAATCGTCGAATTAAATTGAAAATTTGCGCACACTTATCAAGGAACGATGACAATTGAATAATTCAATAGTTTCATCCCATGATGCTCATCAGGATCTTCAGAATAGGCGATTTTTACATCGAGAAACTCGGCAGTGTCTTGTACCAAGTATACTCGTATGGTATGATAGTTACATCCAGAGAGACGGTACTGTCTTGCACCAAGTACTCGTATGAAATGTGAAATGAAGTTTCTGGGAACGGAGCCTTACAACTCCAAGGAAGGCGCGCAAAATATCTGCTTTCACTGCGGGGCGGTAGTTACGAAAAATTGAGAAATACTAAAAATAGTTCTTCATTATACAAGGAGAAAAAGTAGTAGATCCAGGTTGTGTTGTTGCAGGGCATCCCAATATCAAAGTTTTTTTAACACAAGGAGGGTTGCAATCTATCGAAGAATCCATAATCAACGAAGTACCAATGGTTGGGATACCATTCATGACTGACCAACCGACTAATATCAAGAAAATGGTTGATTTGGGGTTTGGTATAGGATTAGACCATCGGACAATGACCAAAGAACAACTAAGGGATGCCATTTCCGAGGTAGCTGAAAACAAGAAGTACGTTAAAACGAAATACTTATAACAGACTACTATTTTTCTCGAACGTAACACTCACCGATAGACTTTTATTCTTCGTTAAATAAACTGCTTTATAACAAAAACTCCATGTATCATCTGATTTCAGTTCACAAAGAAATTTTATTCCTCCCAATTTTTGGAACACACTGTATATTAATGATCCATACTTAAATACCTTCAGGAGCGTATACTGCTTTGTTTAAAAGGCAGGGGGAGGTTATCCGTGGCGTGGGGGTAGCAGCAGGAAGCAAAAAAGCGCCGCAGGAGAAAAATGTTTGTTGTTCAAGGTCAAATGCCTTCAAATTGAAAGTCAGGTTTGTTGGCGGGGAATCATGAAGGTGGGAAAAAATTATTTCAAATGCAGTTTGTTTTCTTCACCCGGAAATTTAAATGTCCTGAAGGCAAGAAAAATCGAATTGTAAATGTCAAGTTTTCGACCAAAAATAAATGCTTAAGTGTAATTTGATAAGGCAATTTGATGAATACGTACATTGCATTATTTCCACAGATTAGATACTTTTCTGACTATGAAAATTTGAGAAAAAATGACATAAACACAATCAAAGATTGGTTTCAATTAGTACTATTTTGGTTGTCATTCTTTCTAATGTTAAGTTTACGATGTGTCGCTGGAAAACTGGGCAAATTGACAAAATTACAGCGACTTACGGGAATTCATATACAGGGTCATTCCGTATATTTAGCTTCCGTATAGCTTCTACAGGGTTCATCATTGAAGATAGAGAAAAACTTCGTAAGCAAAAGTTGCAGGGTTTGCTTTGAACCTTCAGAAAATTATACCAGATGAAACAAATGATTATCGCTGATATAAAAAATGGGTACCAACTTCGTTATTTTCAATAGAACACCCTATATATTTTTCGAAAAAATACAAGATCTCTTTTTCCTGCTTCCAAAAATATATAGGCCATTGATATTTCGTTCAGCCGTTTTAGAGATATTCGAGGTTGAACATTTTAGATTTTTTTACCAAATCGCAACTACCATGAAAGAAAAAAAACTCACTCTTATAACTGAAGGAGATGCAATTTCACAGATGTTCGATGTGACCACCGTTGTTTTGTATACATTTTCTGTCGTCTTCATCCAATTTATTTATCGAATTGCAAATGAAGTTGGAATGATCGTTCAATATTTTAATGCATTCCAAAATTCTTCCTCTCAAATCAGACAAATTTCTACTTCTGTCCCTATACACATCATTCTTCAAATAACCCCATAGGAAGTTATCTAAAGGTGTTGAATCTGGACTGTTCGGCGGCCATTCCACTGTTCCAAATCCGATCCACGTTTGATAACGATCATTCAAGTGATGCCGTACGTGCATAACTTGATGAGGTGGCTCGAGCTTCCACTGCATTATTATTTTTGTAGAATAAACGAATCATTTCAAACTTTTCATCTTCACTGAAACCCATATTTCTTCCGAAATTCTATGCAATGAACATATGACAAAACGTTTTATTGATGACAACTTGCGTATGTGTTGTTTTTTCCTCATGGCAATTGCGATTTGGTGGAATCAAATTAAAACTAAATCTAAAATGTTCAACCTCGAATATCTCGAAAAGGGCTGAACCAACTATCAATGACCAATATATTTTTGGAATTAGGAAAAAAGGATCTTACATTTTTTTGAAATATATATATAGGGTGTTCTATTGAAAATAACGAAGTTGGTACCCATTTCTTATATCAGCGATATTCATTTGTTTCATCTGGTATAATTTTCTGGAGGTTCAGAACAAACCCTACAACTTCAATACGGGATGACCCTGTATATGTGTAATTTCATACACTATTTGCCAAATAGTTTCAGGCATTCCCTGTAATGACGGAAGAAAGATTCATTTAGGCCGAATCAGTTTAGGTTGTTTAGAGGCAGCAGTCTCTTCTGGTTTCTCAAGTAATTTTCTGAAAATTATACTTTCTAGGAAGAAGGTTCATTTAGGCGGAAAAATAGTCTTTCTTCTTATGCATATGCAGAAAGGATATTTTCTTCCATAACGCTGTTACGAATAACGGATTTCACTAATTGACGCCGACATACATGAATTGAATCATTGTCAAAATGAAAAATGAACTTGTACGCTGCAGTTTCGGCATTTTCAGTTTCAGAACAACAATAGATTTGATTCTAGTATGGCGTGGGGTAATTGCCCCCATTACCCCCTCTTGTATACGCGCCTGTATACCTTCATATTCGCAGTATCAACTTTTTCTTATCTGAGAGACGAAAATACTTGTTGACCCAGATCCTAATTTTTTTCACCTATGCTCAAACTTCATTCTCCAATAACAAAAATATTTTGTTGGTATGATGTAATTGTAGAATGTTTACAACACTAAATTTTCTGATTGATCTGCGATATCTCCCAAAAGGGTTGACAATAAATTGAAATGAGAAATATTCTTTCAATGATGTGTGGAATTTGAACTAATACTATAATACTAAGCTATTTTCCAGCAAGATGGAAAAATACCCGACTAACTTGCAGATAATCAGTGTCAATTCTGCTGCATATTTTTTGAGAACAATGGATGGAATTCCATCCAATAATGATAAAATAGTACATATAATTTTGATTTCACTAGTTCATCATTTTAATTTCAGGTACAAAGAAAAAGTGAAAAAGTCCAAGAAAATACTAGTCGACCAACCAATGAAGGGGGTAGAAAAAGCAGTTTGGTGGATCGAGTATGTGCTCAGGCACAAAGGTGCTAAGCATCTGCGTAGTGCTGCAGCTGACATGACTTTTTACGAGTATTTTATGATCGATGTAATCGTTTTCCTCCTAGTCTGTTTTTCAATTTTTGTTTATGTAATTTTCCAATTATTACGTTTGATAGTGAGGTTGACGAGTAGAACAAGGAAGATTAATCAGTGATCAGATCAGTGAATTTGTGAACCAAAAACCTTCAGGAGGGAAATGGAGCATCAGGCCAAACAACTCATTTTGGCGAGATATATACCCTGTTAAATAAAAAACCTCACTTTCAGATTCATTAACTTGATTTCCACTATTCACCATTTGTCTATGTGAGTCTCTTCATGAATCACCCTATATGTCGTTTTAATAATGATTCTTTGATAGATAACATTATAAATAATTGTTCTAACGATCATTTATACATATATACCATCATTTTTTATATTGACCTATTTGAATTCATCAGTTTCAGTTGCACATTGGTACTTTCAAGAAGGTATAGTATAAAATGATATTATGTAAGTCAACAGAGCAGACGATCTATGTACAAATAAGGGAATTATAACAAATAACCAAATTCAACATGCATTATAATATGTATCACTATTTTTCAGTGGAATTCAATTTCACAAACTACACATTTTTTTAGAAAATTGGAGTATTTATCTCAATTATTTGCCGAATATAGATATACAGGGTGTCCCAAAATTGCTGGGACACAGAGCTACCACGTGTAGAAGAGGTCAAAATAAGTTGATTGGACCCAATTTATTTATGTGCCAAAATGTACCGTTTGTCCGTGAGAAGGGTTCAAAGTTCACTTGAAAAAACACATTTTTGTACGCTGTTCAGGAATAAGTGGAACGAATTTGATGAAATTTGGCAATAGTGTATTTCAGAGGATTACTTTCCTTTTGGTGATCTAAGAAACCTAAAAGAAATTGTAGAAGGGTTGAAACCACCCTCACCCCCTGACGTTTTCTTCAGAACTTTTTCAAGGGTCATGATACGGTTCTGGAATTTTTTGAGCTTGAAGACTCATCAATTACCTTCATTTTATCACTCTTGTAAAAATTTCGTATACCAAATAGTTTCGAAGAAAAAAAATGTTTTCTCAAATAATGCTACCAGATATTCCTATAGTAATGGTACCCGCGGTAATAACAAAATTGAAGAATTTATTGAAACATTTACAGACAACGTCAATAACGAACTTGAATGACAATAAATTTGTTTTCTGTCGAAATCACGACTTGCCTGCGTTTCCACTGCCAACTAAGTTTTATATCACAATTTAATTAAACTTGTACTATAGGAATATCTGGTAGCATTATTTGAGAGAACATTTTTTTTCTTCGAAACTATTTGGTATACGAAATTTTCACAGGAGTGATAAAATGAAGGTAATTGATGAGTCTTCAAGCTCAAAAAATTTCAGAACCGTATCATGACCCTTAAAAAAGTTCTGAAGAAAACGTCAGGGGGTGAGGGTGGTTTCAACCCTTCTACAATTTATTTTAGGTTTCTTAGATTACCAAAAGGAAAGTAATCCTCTGAAATACACTATTGCCAAATTTTATCAAATTCGTTCCACTTATTCATGAACAGCGTACAAAAATGTCTTTTTTCAAGTGAACTTTGAACCCTTCTCACGGACAAACGGTACATTTTAGCACATAAATAAATTGGGTCCAATCAACTTATTTTGACCTCCTCTACACGTGGTAGATCTGTGTCCCAGCAATTTTGGGACACCCTGTATATAATAATAAAAAACCACTTGTATTTCAAAATCTGTTGATTTATGGCATATAAGGTTCATTTACTTATTTACTATATTTACTTCGATAACCTGAATGAATACTCCAACTATTTTTGAAAATATTTTATTTCAAAAAATGTCTCAAAACTTGCATTATTTTTCCTTCCTATGATTTTCACTATCTTTGTCTACAGACATTAAAAGCTTCTGCAAATCTGAAATGGGCATTTCGAATAGTAGAACCATAACGAGAGAAAGAGCATAGGACATTCCAAAATCACCAAACAAATGGTATATCTGAAAGAAAATCACAATTTTAAGCCTGCACCGGGTGAAAAGTTATAAAGTACCACCCTATAACTTTATCATTTTTGACAGTAGAAAAAAATTCAAAAAACAGCCTCACAGGGGATTTTTCTTTCTCATCGAATCAACTGATATATTTTTAGTATCTCAGAGGATTACAGGGAACAAAAAGAAGTGTAACAATTTTAAATGGAACGCCCTATATATTTTCGCGCCATTAGATAGACCTTTCGAAGAGCTTTCCGAAAATAACCCACTCAATACATTTATCTTCAGTATTTCTCATAATATGGGCAGTCTAACCTAAAAAAAATGTGTTTATCGATCCTCAAATGTTTTTTGAGAGTATGCTGTGACAATGAATCTAGGTAATTGATATATCGTTATGATATTCAATACTCATTGACAGTAAGTAATCGCTCAAAGTCAGAATTGTAATATTGATTTAATTTCCGGAAATTTACATTTTCTATCATTACTCAATCTTTTCAACATCAAGTTGCATTAATTCAGTCTTTGATTTCTATGAATCCCTGTCAATTTTTGTACCGTATGGAATTTATAAGGTCTGAATTTATATTTTTTCAAATTCTCATGTGGTCCGAAAAATGCGCTTAATTCTTTTGCCGAAGTCCTCAATGATTTTTTCGGATTCTCTTTATGATTCAGTAAGATATTCAATTCATGATTTTCGTCATAACTACATGTTTTTTTTCGTTGTAAATTGGAAGTCCTCCTAAACTTTAAGTAAATTTTCTTGATGGTTCGCCGGATGCATTTTGATTATTTTCTTTGAATAAAGTTACCTACTATTTCTTGCTTTTCTTCATTTGAATAAACCATGATTCAAGAATTGATTATGAAATTAACAAGAAATGACGAAGGAATTTATCTTCACTGGAAATGACAATAAAATTTCATGACAAACCCTCATTATTTTTCCAGTTACTCATGCTTACCTCATGGCCTACTATCTACAGTCATAGAATAGTTGTTATTCATTCAGAAATCAATAGAAACGAATTTCAGGTTCAAACGTCTATTTTAAGAGAAATATTGAAGATAAGTGTATTGAGTGCATGGGGTATTTTCGGAAAGCTCTATATCTAATGGCGCGAAAATATATAAGTCGTTCCATTTAAAATTTTTGCTCCCTGTATATCTTCTGAGATATTAAAAATATATCAGTTGATTCGATGAGGAAAAAAATACCCTGTTAGACAATTTTTTTAATTTTTTTCTACTGTCAAAAATAATAAAGTTATAGGGGTGGTACTTTATAATATAAATAACACGTCGCCCTACCTGACGGAAAAACTTGAACACTTCTGAGCGGTTTGTTTCGATAATGTGACCAATAAGCAGAAACAAAAAACAAATGAGAACCAATGAAAACAAAGTAAACAGGCCGCTTTGACAGCTTCCAGGAACTCCGATAGGTGGCGTACGGTTATTTTCTATCGCGAATTCGCGAAAATCACGTAGTGTGCGGCCTCTGGTGGCTAACTGTACAAGTCTTGCGAGTATGAACAACAAATATGGCGACCATTGTTTTGAATTTCATAAATATGTGTTTTATTGGAAAATAATTTATTTGTTGAAGTGAATATTCCAGAACCTCATTTCTCCCTGATGAAAAAACTCGAATTATTGCATGAACTTTTATTGTTTACAATGAAGAAACCAGTACCTACCTTATAATAATATAATATATATTTTCTGAAGCACAATTAGAATCATTGTATGAATGTTGGTTGCAATGATTCGATCTTGAGAATAATTTCAAGTCCTCAATTGCTGGAGATCCTTGTTTATGTAAATCGATGATATTGTTCATTCTGAGCAGCCTCTCCAACCGTATCTTCTTTGCCAACCCCTTCACTAGAATTCCATCTCCTTCATGAAAGCCAGTGATATCTCTTGATGAATTCAATTATTTCTTTATACTTATACCATATTGTTGTAATAGCTGATTGCTTGTATGGTTTCATTCCAGTCCATGCAAGTGTTGAGTGGACCATTCCGATCATTCCATATGTTTGAAAACTGTGGGATGGTAGTGTGATATCAATGATGAATACCACCATTGTCCACATCAAAATGGCAATTTCTCGGCACAAAAAGTAATTTTTTCCATACTGGAAACCTTGTACGTATTTCAAGTCAACTTATTATTCACTATTTTGCAAAATGATTTGGAAATAACCAATTTGCAATGAGTGCATACGGCAATGTTTTTGTTGTTCATACTCAGTTGAAAATTTGACGTTGATTTGACGTTTAATAGAGCCATCTATTGGTTCGTGATTTTCGCGAATAGTGGTTTTATTTAGGTACATACATAGGGGAAGTTGGTACTAACGGAGCAACGATAGAACCAAAACGCATTTTGGAATATGATACTTACTATGGAGTAATCACTTATATAAACTGGTTGTCGACTTGTGGCAGGCCTACTTAAAATAAGTGTAGCATGAAGCAAATAGGCACAGTATGCAAGTCTGCCTAGTAAGTAGGCAGGTGACCACATCATGACAGATCTTGACAGCCCTGAGAACAAAATAGTTATTCATACACCAAGGTAGTAAAGATTATCAGTATTACCCTTGGTATTACCCAAAGACCAAGATTATATAATGAAGCACCAGACAAGGGATATACAGGGTGTCATGAGGAACTGTACATACTCGAATAGAGGCCCTTGAGAAGAATAGCTAATGACCATCAGAAAGTGTCTTCTACACTTCTTTTACAATACATAGGTTGAATAGGGAAGACCACTGATTTTTTAAAACGACATTATCGTGAACTCTATACTGAAAAACTACCAGTGAATTAATTTTGAATTTTTTCATTCATGCTAAGACGATGAAAAAAATGAATTAGTATATGTCCATTTCAAAACATACAATTCCTGCGCCATTTGAAATTTCATCAATTCATTGGTGTGACTGGTGCGACGTCTTAGTCCCAACACGCCTATTGTCTTTGAACTGACCAATTACACTGCAACACTGCAGATTGACGAGGTATCAGAGAGAGATAGCTACAGTTCGGGACTAATACGTCACGATTCCACCATCATATTTGGCTGTTTGAAATATCGAATGACATATGCTGATTTCAAAACGATATAGATTCGATTCCCTTCAACCTCAACTCATAATATTGATTGTACATAAAATGTAAATCATGATTCGTCGATTGAAAGAGGTTTGCACGGATTTCTTCCCTCAGTGGTCTTCCCCATTATGAGATTTGGCAAAAACATCTTTTGGTCATAAGTTTTCAACAGCTCATTCGATACGTCTGATTTTTTCATGGAATATCGTCTGACCTATTCAGAATCAGGAAAATCCAGGACCGTTTTTGAAAAATTTCGATAGTTTAGTTTTTCTCAAAAAGTTCATCCTGTATATGGTTTTTGTGAACTGTGACAGGGAATTTTCAAAGCACACAAACAAACATCAACAATAAAATATTCAAAATTCTCCTCACACTTTCACAGAATGTTTCAAAAAACGATACCTATATTATAAGCAAAAACGAAAGTTTGACAAAAAATTTCATTCATTGGCAAATAATTACTTCGCAACGCGAATAAAAGTGAGACCCATATTTTCAATGCTTTAGCCCAATGGAAATCAACATGCCTTTCATTTGCAGGCCTGATGGATTTCGTCATTTCATTTTTTGTGGGGGGTAATAATCACCCTGTAAATTTTGTTCAAATCAGTGGATGGGCTATCTGTTTAGATGTTAATGGTCGTCGATTCAAATAATTCAAGATAGCCGAACACAAAATGAAGGTGTATTCACAATTAATTTTCAAAAGCTATACTGACAAAGGCGGATAATAATTCTAAGCATAGGCAACCAAACATACACCCCGTCTATTCACTGTTTATACCATAACTTCATCGAAGATATTTCGTCAACTGTTTAGCAGTTCCATGTTTCTGAAACGATTTTGATCCCTGTTTTCTAACACAAGGAATTTATTTTTTATGTTGAATATATCAACAATGTCAAATGATACTGGGTGATTCTTAGTAATTCCGGGATGTATGATGAATTTGCGAATGAAGTTTTCTTCATTACAGGAGAGATAAGAAATAAAGTAGACCAAACTCGTATATTAAAAGACGATTAATGATCTCGAACATTAACGCGATCGCTTTGCTCTCACGTTAAAATATCTCGATCATTAATCGAACTGCTCATTACTACACTAGTTGATTGAATAACTATTTCCGTCGACTTCGTATGTTTGATGTTGATGAAGTGGAGGGGAATGATCAACGAGAAAACATCTCAAAGTCATCTCCACAAGTTCACTGGGGAAATATGCATAGTCAATTCTGCTTCATTACCTACTCTTTTGATTGGAATATGTTTCGACCTTTCAAATTGTCATCAGCAGTCATAGTTCTAACAAAGTTGATGTGATTATTAAACGAGATAGGCACATTTTCATATGCTCTTTTTGATTGATTTAACCCATCAATTTTTTTGAGTGTTGTTATGCAAGTCCTGAACCTTTAGGACTTTAGGACTGTATTAGGTGAATGCCTGAGGGACTTTATTTCTGTACTGTCAAGAGCTAGAACAAAAGATATGAATAAGCAAATATTTAAAATATTCAAATCTCATTGTCAAGCTGATAGACTCTATTCTCAGAATGATAACCTACAAAGCGGACACCATAGAGTCTACTTCGATGTAGGAATCTACCATCACGTTATACAGGGTGTTTCATAATTGGATGTCAATATTTGGGGAGGCGATTCTTGGGCCCATTCTAAGAAGAAAGTTGTATATCAACGTATGACCTAAACGTACTAACTTTTGAGATACAGGGTAATAAAGTTCTCAAAAATTAATAGTTTTTTATTAATATCTGTAATACCACTTCAGATATTCTAAACAAATTTGGCATGCATGTACTATATGTATCAAGAGGCATCAGTTAGTGTACCACTTTTTCTTGGTTGCCTCCAGTGGCGTTCGTATGGAACTTTACATACCTATTTTGGCAGACATTGATGGTACGCCACTGATTAATCTCGAAATTGAAATCATTACTGGAATTCCCAATCAATAATAAGCAAATTTAATCAACAAAATTTTTTCAATCTGATGCACGGTTCTCGCTTAAGAAAATAAAAAGCTTTTCACTACATGATTTTAGCAATATCGTTAATATGACAATATCACAATGCACAGAAACAGGTTTTATTATTTAGAACAAATTTCAGAACTACAATTCATATTTTATGAACTTCGTATTCGTATTTGGTATTTTGGAATTATAACTTTTCATTGTAGTAGTAGGCTATATAAATTTTTCAGAACTTTACCACCCTGTATCTAAAAAGTTAGGACGTTTAGGTCATACGTTAATATGAAACTTTCTTCTTAGAATGGGCCCAAGAATCGCCTCCTCGTATATTGACATTCAATTATGAAACACCCTGTATATTCTCATGCCAAAGAGCAAGATACTATGTCAATATCTCTAATATACTTATCAGCACTCATACAAAGATAAATTAATTGTAGAACCTTTCCATACTTGAAGTACCTGTAGATTGAAGATGATTGAGTTCGAAATATGCATTTTTTTCTTGATGAACGAATTTATTGAGTTGCTTTATTCGAAAACAAGTATGTTATGAGGATCAGTCGGTAAATGGAAAGTATAATTTAAGATATCTTTATGAGTGATAGCGTATAGGTAAGCCTAGAGCAATTAGCAATACTTTTTCATTGCGACCAGTTTATTGTTGAATGGAAAATGGAAATGTTGCTGGTGTATCATTAAAGATTTACATGTATTTACTTAACTCTTGACATATCTTCAAGATTCGAAATGGGATCTCTCTCTCGTCTCGTGCCAGTAAGATAGTTTTGCTATTCGAGTTGTGTACTTGAACCGGAGATAAGTTCTGGTGATTGTTCGTGTTTTTGGAATATTACGCAATACTCACTACAGGGTGATCAGAAACGTTTTCGTTCATCAGAAATTTTTGGTGAGTAGGATTTTCACTAGCAATACCACTAGAGGTCGAATTATTTCCGGAAATTTTTTCGAGCTCATGGATATGGATAGTCGAAGACGAGGGATGATTTTCGAAATATTCATGAGCGAGAAAAATTCCCGCAAAGTAATTTGACTTCGTGTGGTATTCGTTAAAAAAATTTCACACCAGATTGTGTTTGGAAATTAAATGATATCAGAATTTATCTGTTCATTTGATTTGCATACAGGTTCATGAATAAATTTAGTTTGGGTCGCCATCAATAGATTTCTGTTCTCTACCTATTATATTTGCATGAAATTACTAGTTTAAAATGTAACATATTATTATAGATATATTATTGCATTTTACATCATAATCACTATTTTAAGTACTGTACAGTTTTTTGAAAAACTTTTGATATCGATATATCGTGGGGCCCTAGTTAGATCCCATGTTCTTATATCATTTACAAATTGTAGATTTTCGGAGGTGTAGCATTTTTGTCAGCGCCGTACACAAGTCATTTTCTCGACCTTCAGACAATTTTCCACCACGGTAAAAAAACAAAAATTCTCAGGACCGAATCTGATAATGTTTTCCGCATAATTCAAGTATCACGCATGTAAACATTGTTTACATAGACATTCATGAAATAACTACCTATATGATATGCTATAAGTATTATAATAGGTGCTTTTAATGCTATAAAGCGTTAGAAACAATCATTCTTGTGATTAGTGATGAGCCAACCAAACTGAGCAGGTATACACTTTTTTAATTGTCAAAGTCATAATTCAAATATCATTGTTCAAATATAATGGTTAGCATGAGCTTAAAATATGCTTTCATGAAACCATATAGCGCGTGTGTTTGTGTATAGCAGGTGCTAACGCCAAAAGGTCCATAAAAGCAAGTTACAAAAATAGGAGTATTAGACATTTGAGTAGACTGGAGTTGGAGTAGACTATTATAGTTGCTGTCAATAATTCAATGTAATCACAGATAACTTATTTTGGGTTCGATCATATCTCCATGCATCTCAGAAATATCGAGAGAAATGTAACATTACATGATGGACCATCACCACTTAAACATAAATGTCCTGAAATTCAGAATTATACAGGAATGCTTATTACGAGTTACTTGAGGAAAATCAGTACATAGTACATTGACAAATTCTCATTTAAAGCTCGGATAAAAGAGAATTACAACTCTAATATTAGGTGTGATTCTCTTTTATTGAATGTACAGGGTGTCCCAAACTGGATGCGTTCTTATGGGAACACCCCTTATTTGAAGAGATGGAAAAAAATTAACCTAGGTGTCCAGAGCTCGAATTCAATAAGGAAACCACTGGCGCAAACGAGACTTTGCTATCTCTTATCGTTTGGCCGCCAGAGGGCTTTTCTCGAAATTCGTTGATTTCCTCAATGCCCCATAACTTCCTTATTAATGAAGATAATTCATTCTGGTAAATACATTCTCAAAGCGCTTTTTTCCATAGAATCTATTGAGATGAGAAGTTTTTCTACAGGGCGTTCAGATTGCTGTGCACCATCCCAAACTCTGTTTTTTTAAATGGACCACCCTATATATTATGATATTTTTGAGAAGCTCGTACAATTTTCTAAATTTGTATGTATCACTTGTCATGTTTTTCTCAGGAACCATCAGCAACATTACGATTCAAAAATTAAAATATTGTGCCTACAGAAATCAAGATTGCCCTGACTAATGAAATGACATAGGATGCTAACATGTTATGATCAAAACTACAGATCTGAAGTTTCATGATTGAATTACTCATAGTTATCACAATGAATTTATAATTATTTAAAATACGAAAGACAACAAACCAACAATATTACACTAACACTAAATCCTAACATAAAATTATATGGAACTTAATCAACGATATTGAATAAACATAAACACAAACATAATGAAATTATGTCAGCAAATGTTCAAATTGTCCCCCATTTTGTTGAAGGCAAATTCTACATATTTTGGTAACACTGGTAACAGCATTAACTGCATTAATGAGTTGTATATTTAGAACTCGGTTGAACGGACCTCGCAACACCCTTTCTGATTCTTCCCGGCTATTAAAATTATTATTTTTATAAGTTAAGTCTCTAATTCTACCACAAAGAAAAAAATCTAAGGGCGTCAGGTCCGGTGACCGAACTGAACATTGAGGTATCCGTTGATAATCCTTGCACAATGTGCAGGGGTACCATCGTGCTGGAAAACTACTCTGGGTATCAGATTAATAGGAATATCTTCCAAGAACGGTTCAACCTGGTTCCTTAAAATATCCAAATATTCTCTAGGATTCAGCGGTCCATCATAAATATAGGGTCCAATGAATTGTCCTCTGGAAATTCCTACCCACGCATTAAAACTGAATCTTCCTTGTTGTCTGTTTTGAACAGTCACATGGGGATTTTCTTGAGACCAAGTGTAATCATTAAATCGATTAAATATGCCCGCACTACTAATCGAAGCTTCGTCGGTCCAAATACAATTTATGGCGAAATCTGGTTCATTTTGTATCTTATTCAAATACCACTGACAAAAACGAGTTCTTCTATCCAAATCCCCAGGAAGAAGATGATGGATTTTGCGAGTTCGATAGGGCTTGAATTTATTTATTTTTTCAAAATCCGATGGATTGTGCTTCTGGGTATGCCAGTCTCTGCTTCAAGTTTTCTTGTGGAAGTTCTCAATACGGTTATAGTTTTCATTTCATCTTCATTTTGAATTTCTTGATTTTGAGCATAATTTGCTCTGGGTTTGTTGAAAGAACCAAAATTTTGGAGATTATGGGCAAGTCTAGCAAATATATCCCTGGATGGTGCTGTCGTTCGGGATATCTTTGGAAATACAAGTTTTCTGCCGCCTGAGCATTTTTGTTACTTTCAACAATGTTGAACTTTTCGTAATTTCCATACATTCCTCAAAACTCTTCAAAAACCTTATGAATATACTTATTTTCTACCGAAAATACCAAAATATCGAACTTTATCGAGTTGTACTGTCAATTCTCAACTATTTAGAAGCTGTCAAACAACGAAAACAGAATAATCATGATCACGGCCTACTGCTTCTTTACGTAAAAATTTCAGATCAGTGGTTTCAACTATAACATGTTAGCATCCTATGTCATTTCATTAGTCAGGGCAATCTTGATTTCTGTAGGCACAATATTTTAATTTTTAAATCGTAATGTTGCTGATGGTTTCTGAGATAAACATGACGAGTGATACATCAAAATTTAGGAAATTTCACGAGCTTCTCAAAATTATCATAATATATAGGGTGGTCCATTTAAAAAAACAGAGTTTGGGATGGTGCACAGCAATCTGAACGCCCTGTAGAAAAACTTCTCATCTCAATAGATTCTATGGAAAAAAGTGCTTTGAGAATGTTTTTACCAAAATGAATTATCTTCATTGATAAGAAAGTTATGGGGCATTGAAGAAATCAACGAATTTCGAGAAAAGCCCTCTGGCGGCCAAACGATAAGGGATAGCAAAGTCTTGTTTGCGCCAGTGGTTTCCTTATTGAATTTGAGCTCCGGACACCTAGGTTAATTTTTGTCTTCTCTTCAAATAAGAGGTGTTCCCATAAGAACGCATCCAGTTTGGGACACCCTGTACAGTATAAAATGTACGGTTTTCTTTTATCCCTACTATCCCTATTTATTTGTATTTGTATTTGTATTCATTTTTATGAAACAAGCATAAACATGCTTATCGATTATCGCATCATTTATACTATAGTCATACTATATACCATATATTATATTGAGTTGTTTCTTGTATAGATCAATAAATGATATAATTATTATTATTATTATTATTACTTATACGCCGGGCGATATATATTAATCCACGGTAGGTAAATTGCTACCTTACGCCCGGTCGTGCTTAATAGTTATTTATGTATCTAGGGCGTAAAGTAAGCGTTTATGGGCTGCCCGTGCATGGCTAGATTGCAATCAACTACATTTTTATATAAACGTATGAATGCAGTAAACAAGAGAATGATCTGTTGCCCAAGTATGGTGTCAAACTGACGACCTATATAGTACCACCACAATATGTGAATGTAAACGCTTTTTCTTGACCTATTATACCGCATATCGTCCTATTGGAATTAACACAATTGGAAAATTGCCAAGAATCATTGCATAATATCTTAAATTACCAAATCCTGAGATTTTTACAGAGAGGCGGTGTAATCCTCAGCAGTTGCTGAAGGTTAGATATTATAAGCTTATGTGAAGAGAAAAAACCGAGGTAGGTCTCAAATGTTCTCAGACTAATGAGCATAATTTTGTCTCAACAGCAGCCCAACAAAACTTATCAGCAAATTTGATAGGTAATAAATGCTCAAGATACCTGCGATGAGTCTAAAGTTATTGTTAATTGTTGCGTTCTGTCTCTATAGATGCTAGTGTGCCTGACTGTTTGACGTTGACGTTACCATTACGGGATGTAGGCTATCTGAAGCCTTAGGTCACTCCCCCACTATCTTCCAAGCTGAAATACATGCCATCAACCTATGCGCCCAAAGGTGCCTGAGCAGAGGCCTGAAAGGTACCAACAAATATATCTGCTCAGACAGCCAAGTCTCACTAAAAGCCCTAAAATCATTTGTTTTCACATCAAAGATTACATGGGACTGCTTTGAAACACTCATGCAACTGGGAAAGGACAACAATGTCACACTTATGTGGGTTCCAGGGCATGAAGGAATCAACTTGCAAAGGAAGTTGCAGCATCTGCACTCTTCGGTCCTCAACCTTTTTGTGGGACAAGCAAATGTCACCCGGAGGGAGAACTCAGGAAATGGGAAGAAATTGAAAAGTCCTCCTACTGGAGAGCAACTCCAGGTCAACAACAAGCGGAAAGGTTCATCAACCATTCACAGAACCGAGCCAAAGAGCTACTCAGTCTCAACAAACCAGAGCTAAAGTTTATCACAGGCTTTCTCACAGGACACTATATCCTCTGAGGGGCCTGGCGGAAACTGACACTTGCCGCTTTTGCAACAATGCGACCGAAACCGAGGAACACATACTTTGCTCATGAAAAGTATTAGTCCGCCAAAGGCTGAATCACCTAGAACAGATCTATTTCACACCTGCTGAAGTGGAAAATTCAACCGTCAGGAAAATTCTAGGGTCCATCAGAAGTCTAGGGTTAAACGACCAAAACTAGACAAGGGTAATCATAATAGATCTTCTAGGTCGGAGTAATCGAGAGGTCTCCCAGCCTATAGGACCCATCTACAATCTACAATCTACCATTACCAACTTTGAAACAAATTTGGGTGTCATAATGAGTTGACAGGATGGTTGAAAATTTTCACGCAGAAAAAATAGATTTTCAGGAAATGAAAATCAACTCGTCCGAGGATTTTTCAAAATATATGTTTGTTATGGAGATACGGATTCAATTCCATCATAGTCGCTAGAATAATCTCTTGTATTATATCACTTTTTGTGATATTACTACAGATTAAAAACAGATAATATATAACTACCATCATCTTCACGAGATCCCAATAAAAAAGATTAAATGAAATCTCAATGAACAAAAACAACTAATCCAAATGTTTTTCCATATGATACTGATAACCTCATAGCATAGATACACTGAAAGATAAGGTATATGTAACTTCCAGATTCGGAAACAGAATGAATTGAGCCCTGATAACAAACACACAACGAATTGCCTGCATAATGAACTTCCTGAGACTGTTCCTGAGCCTAGCTTTGTATCTACGATGTACAGGGAGTTCGAGGATTCTGGCTTTTCCAGAATTCCCCTCACACAGCCACCACGTGATCTTCAACCCCATTTGGAGGGAATTGTCCCTGAGAGGGCACCAAGTCACCGTTATAACCCCTAACCCCATGAACGATCCTACCCTGAGCAATCTGACGGAAATAGATGTGGGATCTGCTTATGAGGTAATTACAATCTTATCATGCTACTGATTTCCATTCAAAATTTAGCTTCATGTAAATTAACAGTTATTATGATTGATAGCACTTCATTTCCTCTATTATATGAGAAGAAACTCCATTTGTTAGACCATGTTTTGATTGAAATGAAACATAATTTGCTATAGGAACACTATAATTAACATAGTCTTACCGAGTATTATAGCCTTTACTTTTACGACTTTGCATTCTCGAAAGTGGAGTGAAACCTAATTTGGTCTTGTTGAATTTAATTCCAAACATGTATCAACAATGTCATCAAGAGATCTCTTATACCAGGTGATTTTCCAAGGTGAATTATGGTTCAGGCACAGTTTAAGGAATGGGAGTGGACTAATTTTGTTTTATTCCTTATATAGAATCATCACTCTAATACCTTTCAATCTCGTATTTTTTAAGAATTTTTCGGTCGATTTTTGAGTGCTAAAATCATCAATAATGCCACGGTAATTTTCGAACGGCTAGAAATTTACCAACAGTAAAAACTGATGCCACGATTTTGTAAGTAGTGGCAGACCATAGCACAGTTGTCCTGTGTTGAAATACGATTGAGAACTTCAGAAATATTAGTTATTCAATAATTCATAAGTTCTCAATTGAGTATTGGTGATATTCCTAATTAGCAATAAACATTCGATTGTCTCAAAATGTGCCATTCGTGGCTTATTGCTTATACGTTTGTGTAATTATTAATTATATTAATTCACACAAGAGGACATTCGAATCGGTGAACGTGACAACACGGCCCACGACTTGTGGGCGTGGTCTTGTCAGTTCTCAGCATTCAGCACAATGTTGCCAAGTCTCCAACAGTCAAATGATATTCTGTTATGGACTCACTATGTATATATGTAATATTTATTCAATAGCAAGAAAGTTATGGGGGTGGGCCACCTTGAAGAATCACCTGCTTTCCATTGATATCAAACGAAATACAAGATGTTCAAATTTATCGAGATCTGGAATCGCACCATGGTCAATTCGAATTCTCAGAATTGGCCTCTTGTCAGTACATCCATTATTGCTTTATTATGCAGCAATACTGAAAAATGCCAATAAAAAATATGTTGTTCTATAAAATTGCATATCTCCTTTGATAACACTCATGATGGAGTGAAATTAAAAGAGGAAAATTATGAAATGATAACGCTATATACACTCGGCCTTCAATTGATGTTGTTGTTGGTGCAGAGTCCACAGGGTGTTCTAAATTCCTCGAAACGACGCGGATTATAATCAATGATCATGCAATTCGAAGAAAAGATCATTGAAATCGGAATCAAAACATTCTGAAATAAAATAGATAATTATAATTTCAAACTTGTAGTAAATTTGGGATGGATCGTCGATCTTGATGGTAAGTTAATAAGGAAAGTTGATTTTTCGGTATCTATTTTTTTTTCAAGATCTTCCACCCCTCTTTTAGGAAAAATGATGGGGATACAGAAAAAGTTGAGTGTTATCCATCCCACAGTAGGTAAAAAAGAGTAAGCAACTTCACAACTCATTACGAAGGCGTAGAAGGCCAACAACTTTATTTTTATGGAATTGCCACTTCGAAGTGGAAATTATCACTTTGAACTGACAATTGTCTCTTTGAAGTGACAATTGTAACTTTGAACTGGCAATTGTCACTTTGAAGTTACAATTGCCACTTTGAACTGGCAATTGTCACTTTGAACTGACAATTGCCACTTTGAACTGGCAATTGCCACTTTGAACTGGCAATTGTAATTCAGAGATCTGAATATCTCGAGAACTGAAATAACATCTTGAAACTTCAACGCTCTGTAGATCGGTAATGAAGACGATAACAGGTTAGCTTATCAACGTTTCTGAACCTATTTTGATCCATGTTTCATCTTCGTTTACTAAACTACTTATTCTGAGTGATCCACGTTTAGGTAGTAAGGAAAAAAGACTTCGTGAAGAATATGGCAAAGGGAAGGTTCATAGTGAAGAGGCTATTATTCCTGCACAAGATGCTCAGTGACTGCATGGAAGAGGAGATGCAGCACGAGGAATTCCAGCAGTTGCTACGGCTGCCAAGCGACCATTTCGACCTGCTGATCGTCCAGACTATGCATCCCTTGGTGTACGCGATAGGCGCCAAGTTCAAAGCACCTATAGTCGGTAAGTGAAGGCATTCCTTCAGTTCCCACTTATTACTAGGGTTCCTAGGCTTTAACGAAAGTGTCAAGTATATTAAGGAACTTTACTATCTAGCTACTCTGTCCATCAAGAACCTTTTTAGCTATTATGAAAGAATTCTTGGAACTATATTTGTGACAAGTGTAATTCGGAGAATTCTTCAATGAAATTCAATAAGTCAGTCACAATGATATAGTAATTATTGAAGATTTAATGGATTTTTCCTATTTCCTTGGATTATTAATTGTTCCAAACTGGTTTGATGACATTTTTAAGATAACTGTACTCGCATAGGAAATATATTGGATGTGAATGGTTGATCGAATCATTGATTACTGGAACCTTTGTCAAATTTTGTAATTGTTGTGAACATTTGGAAAAAATCTGACTGATAAAATATGTTTTTGGATGTATGATAAATTGATATTCATCATACAGGACGTGGAAAGGAATTCTGAATTGAGAAAACCTGATCACGAATCTGCGATTGAGGTCTATGGAAATTACAAGTTTCCATCGTTCAAGTTTGACTCCCTTAATTGGGTGAAAGTATTGAAAAGCAATATTCTCAGATATATTTATGAACACAAAAATGGATATATATATGGAGAAATACATTGAAAATTCGCATTCTTCATGTGATAAAAATATTAATTCTTTCTCGGTTTGTTCAACAGAAAACAACTACTTTCCTGGCTATATGCCACGACGAATATTGAATTACATCTATTGAACACATACGATAAGAATTTGAAAACAAAATCTTCTGAAGTAGATAATTTGCATTCTCCTTCATATAAAGCTATGCACATAATATAATTCTGAATATTCAACAGAAAACTTCGAACATTGAATAATATCTGTTGAATATCCAAAAAAAGAGAGCATGAAAAATCAAAATCCTCTGAAATTGAGAATTGACATTATCTCTCAAATCGAATAGAATAATATGATGTATTATGATGAAAGAATATAACTCACCAATATGTTCAGTATCGACATAGATTAACGACTGTATCGAAATGAAAATTGAAATGTATAGGAGAAGTATATTTGTATGAACTCCGATCTTGATGAGTTGAAACTTACAAAAAAATCATTCGTATCAGTGATATGGAAATTATATCTCTCATGAAAGTGTACTTCTCCTATTTTCATTTCAACACTGAACATATTGATAAGTTAACCCTCCATTCAGATTTTCAAAATTTGGGGTTCACGCAATGCAGTAGGCTCATACAGGTGGAAAAATATTTTTTTCCTGTTTGTCCCACAAATTCCAAAAAATGGAAAGACACTAGTTCAGACCCATAAAGAGAGAATTTGATGTCAGATATAATGCAAAACCCTCCATTTAGATTTTCAAAATTTGGGTTCCACGCAATACTGTAGACTCATACAGGTGGAAAAATATTTTTTTCCTGTTTGTCCCATAAATTCTAAAAAATGAGGAGACACTAGTTCAGACCCATTAAGGAAGAATTTGATGTCAGATTTAGTGCAAAACCCTCCATTTAGATTTTCAAAATCAGTGGTTCACGCAATGCAGTAGGCTCATACAGGTGGAAAAATATTTTTTTCCTGTTTGTCCCAGAAATTCCAAAAAATGAAAAGACACTAATTCAGACCCATAAAGAAAGAATTTGATGTCAGATTTAGTGCAAAACCCCCCATTCAGATTCTCAGAATTTGGGGTTCACGCAATGCAGTAGGCTCATACAGGTGGAAAAATATTTTTTTCCTGTTCGTCCCAGAAATTCCAAAAAATGAAAAGACACTAATTCAGACCCATAAAGAAAGAATTTGATGTCAAATCTAGTGCAAAACCCCCCATTCAGATTCTCAGAATTTGGGATTCACGCAATGCAGTAGGCTCATACAGGTGGAAAAATATTTTTTTCCTGTTTGTCCCAAAAATTCCTAAAAATGAAAAGACACTAGTTCAGACCCATAAAGAGAGAATTTGATGTCAGATTTAGTGCAGAACCCTCCATTCAGATTTTCAAAATTTGGGGTTCACGCAATGCAGTGAGTAGGCTCATACAGGTAGAAAAATATTTTTTTCCTGTTCGTCCCAGAAATTCCAAAAAATGAGAAGACACTAGTTCAGACCCATAAAGAAAGAATTTGATGTCAGATTTAGTGCAAAACCCTCCATTCAGATTTTCAAAATTTGGGGTTCACGCAATGCAGTAGGCTCATACAGGTGGAAAAATGTTTTTTTCCTGTTGGTCCCAGGAATTCCAAAAAATGGAAAGACACTAATTCAGACCCATAAAGAAAGAATTTGATGTCAGATTTAGTGCAAAACCGCCCATTCAGATTCTCAGAATTTGGGGTTCACGCAATGCAGTAGGCTCATACAGGTGGACAAATATTTGTTTCCTGTTTGTCCCAGAAATTCCAGAAAATGAAAAGACACTAATTCGGACCCATAAAGGAAGAATTTGATGTCAGATTTAGTGCAAAACCCCCCATTCAGATTCTCAGAATTTGGGGTTCACGCAATGCAGTAGACTCATACAGGTGGAAAAATATTTTTTTCCTGTTTGTCCCAGAAATTCCAAAAAATGAAAAGACACTAATTCAGACCCATAAAGAAAAAATTTTATGTCAGATTTAGTGCAAAATCCCCCATTCAGATTCTCAGAATTTGGGGTTCACGCAACGCAGTAGGCTCATACAGGTGGAAAAATATTTTTTTCCTGTTTGACCCAGAAATTCCAAAAAATGAAAAGACTGATTCAGACCCATAAAGAAAAAATTTGATGTCAGATTTAGTGCAAAACCCCCCATTCAGATTCTCAGAATTTGGGGTTTACGCAACGCAGTAGGCTCATACAGGTGGAAAAATATTTTTTTCCTGTTTGACCCAGAAATTCCAAAAAATGAAAAGACACTGATTCAGACCCATAAAGAAAAAATTTGATGTCAGATTTAGTGCAAAACCCCCCATTCAGATTCTCAGAATTTGGGGTTCACGCAACGCAGTAGGCTCATACAGGTGGAAAAATATTTTTTTCCTGTGTGTCCCAGAAATTCCAAAAAATGAAAAGACACTAATTCAGACCCATAAAGGAAGAATTTGATGTCAGATTTAGTGCAAAACCCCCCATTCAGATTCTCAGAATTTGGGGTTCACGCAATGCAGTAGGCTCATACAGGTGGAAAAATATTTTTTTCCTGTTTGACCCAGAAATTCCAAAAAATGGAAAGACTAGTTCAGACCCATAAAGAAAAAATTTGATGTCAGATTTAGTGCAAAACCCCCCATTCAGATTCTCAGAATTTGGGGTTTACGCAACGCAGTAGGCTCATACAGGTGGAAAAATATTTTTTTCCTGTTTGTCCCAGAAATTCCAAAAAATGGAAAGACTAGTTCAGACCCATAAAGCAAGAATTTGATGTCAGATTTAGTGCATATATCATAATACATCATATTATACTATTCGATTTGAGAGATAATGACAGTTCTGAATTCCAGAGGATTTCGATTTTTCATTCTCTTATTTAGGATATCCAACAGATATAATTCAATGTTCGACGTTGCAAATAGCCAGGAAAGTAGTTGTTTTCTGTATATCTCACAAACAGGTTATATGACTCCACTCGAGTGAAACTCATTTCGGATATCAAATCCTCATCAGTACCTAACCTGAAGTCCAGTTATTCTTCCAGCCATTCTCCATGATATACACAATTTTCAAGGAAGGAAAATGCAAATCCTCTACTTCAGAAGATTTTGTTTTCAAATTCTTATCGTGTGTGTTTATTAAATGTAATACAATGTTCGTCGTGGCATATAGCCAGGAAAGTAGTTGTTTTTTGTTGAATAAACCAAGAAAGAATTAATATTTTCACCACATGGAGAATACGAATTCTCAATGTATTTGTGTTTCAAAAAAATCTGACCCCCTTTCTAGGGTAGGTACACTGCAAATTTCGCGAATAGGATTGTCTTAACATAGAAGCTTCATAAATTTTCACTTCAACAACTCAATCCAGAACAATATATTACTGTGTGTTTTCCGCACGTCTCTGAATCTAAATTGTTCACAGGCGTTTCCTCCATGGGGGTATTTCCCAACTCACATGACGTCATAGGAAACCCCACCCATCCAGTGTTGTCCCCAGACTTTCTGGTCAGCCCAGAAGGCGATATGACATTCTTCGACAAAATCGACAGCCTTTTCTTCAACATCGTCTACAGATTGGTCTACCACTGGATCATTCTGCCAGAGTCAGACGCTACCGCCAGAAAGTATTTCGGCAAAGACATTCCGTATCTAGGAGACATCGAGAGCAACACCAGTTTGCTGCTGATGAACATCAACCCCTTCGTACACCCTATAAGGGCTAACGTCCCTGCAGCCATCGAAGTCAATCAGCTACATATAACAGAACCAAAACCTCTACCCAAAGTAAGTGCTGAAGGTTTGAAGATCATGATTGGGTAACACCTCACTTATTTTGATCATCTAGGACATCAAAGATTTCTTGGACTCGTCTCCTCAAGGAGTCGTTTACTTCAGCTTAGGGTCCAACGTCAAAAGCGCCAATTTATCTTCAAGGACCAGAGAAGTGATTGTCCGAGCCCTTGGGGAGGTGCCCTATAAAGTTTTGTGGAAGTGGGAGACTGATACACTACCAAACAAACCGGACAACGTAATGACAAGAAAATGGCTGCCACAGCAAGACATTTTAGGTGAGGACATGGATGATGCATCTAGCGTACATGTTGATCAGACCTATAGTTGATGTCGTTTCCAGGCCATCCTAATGTAAAGGTGTTCGTAACTCAAGGAGGGTTGCAGTCTGTGGAAGAAGCCATATCTTACGCTGTCCCAATGGTTGGACTACCTTTCATTACTGATCAGCCTGGTAATATCAAGAAGATCACTGATCTGGGCATGGGTTTGGGTTTGGATTATAGGACCATGTCCAAGGAACAGTTGAAGAATGCGATAATGGAAGTTGGAGAAAACAGCTGGTTGGTATCAATAAAGATATGAAAAATTTAACTCTTCTGGAGTGATCTTTCTCTATTCACATAGTGCCAAATCCGGTAAATACTAGAGACATTCCAGCATTGAAAAATGTTGTAAGGTACTTGAGGCAAATATGGCCCACCTAAGCTAAAACATTTTTTTAGTCTCCATCTGAATTTTTTAGGTGAACAAATTTTACATCAAATTGAATGTTAGGTATCCTACTCTCATACGTATATGACATAATTACCCAAATAAACATTTGTGGAAATTGTGAATCGAATTTGCAGAACCCTGCAATTGGGCCATATTATACTATATTCGGGTTATACAATGGTTGAGATATACTTGGCTATTTTGTTTTCCTGCTTTAATATTTTCAAAGATCTTTTGTAACCTGTTGGGCCAAGTAATTCAGAGATTTTCGACGAACGGTTGTCTCTTTCTTTTCAGCTTCAGGAGTCGGGAGGATGTCATTAAACGTCTCAATAGTTTAATGTGGAGACGAATTTTACTAATTAGGAAGCTGAAACATTGATTAGAAGTTAGAAAATCTATTTTTTCTCAATGAACTCGTTGGTGATGGATAATATGGCCCGCTGTCGGGTATTATGGCCCATGGGCCATGCAACCCACCGTTGTATTGGGCCATATTAATCGAAATGTATTTCTAAGAAAAGGTTATGTATAATAAAGAGAACCGAATTTTAGAACCCATTCAACATGGTATGTAAAAATAGCTAACAATATACTCACTTACCTTGAAAATATCCCAGCTTGCTGCTATATATAAGATGGGAGTTACGTGGACTGAAACCCAACCCAAATATTACATCAGCGTGTACACCACGCAACGGCTTGTTTTCAAGTTGCTACAAATTGCAGAAAACTTGTAGAAGCCGCGTGCGAAATGAACCGTTGGGAGCTTCAGGCATGCGTAAAGAGCTGGCATTGCCAGATTGCTCATAAGTACCAAAGTTTACTAAATGTCAACATTGGGCCATATTACCCGCTGGGCCATATTTGCCTCCAGTACTTTATAACCACAATGATCAAAGTTAGGACCTTGAGTTTGATTTTTATTTTGTTTTCAGGTATAAACAGAAGATAAGCGATGCCAGATTGATTCTGGTGGATCAGCCAATCAGGGGGGTGCCGAAGGCGGTGTGGTGGATAGAATACATCATACGTCACAAGGGTGCAAGGCACATGCGCAGTCCGGCAGCTGACATGTCCTATTTCGAATACTTCATGATGGACGTATTCTTGTTCTTGTTCGTTTGTTTTTTCGTTATTGTATATACTGTGATAAAAATGCTGAGAATTCTGAGGACTCTATTCCGGTCGCAGAAAGTGAAAGTAAACTAGACGAATTATATTTTTCGAAGATCAATGAATGTTGTTCTATACAAACGCGACCTGAGAAATCCTTTCATTAATTATTGTTCATTCTTTCAATACCATAATAGTTATTTATGTATCGTTCATGTTTATTGTGTATTTGCATTTCATTTAAAGTTTCGATTGAGTGAGTTTGTGTATGAGATCATTGAAGATCAAAATGAAATTGTTATTTGTTTTTATAGTAGTGATGGAGACACTGCTTAGGTACTTGGGTAGCACAAATCTTATCTCTACCAAAGAAGCAAGCTAAAGCCATATCATGTTACCTGTCACAGGAGGTAATATTTGGTAAAAGTGCACTTATGCGATGTTTTTTTTTTTTCTTTTTCGAATTTTGTTTTTGTACTTCCGTATTTTCGTCTGGAAAACAAACATTTCTCAATGAAAATGTGAACAAACCACTATTTATCGAGATATTTTACGGAAAAGTTCGAAATCTCACCTTTTTTTGCCACCCATCTTGGATATTCATTTACAGCTACTAGTACTTCCTTTTACATCACTGGACAAACTATAAATTCACGTTGTACTTCAATAACACATTTTATTTCCGAAAATCAACAAAAAATATGGTTTATTAAATAACATGGGATATTGCTGGTATAGGTATCCCCCTAAGGTCCTATAAATGTCTCAATGTTTCAGACTTAGGTACGATATCCCAAAGATGTTTCTTCTGAGACATCCATCCGATGTTTCCATTGGATGTACTAGAAACATCCCATATAAACAAACAATATATAAACTTGATGGCTCAGTACCTATACTGCTAATGATGATTGACATGATTAAACAGTTCAAACAATTATTGTGACATTCGAAACATTGAAAGGTGTGCAAATCAAAATTGTACTCGTACCCACATTAACCACAGCTGGCTAATTCGATCGATAACAAATCGAAATATTCATACTGAATATTTATAATAATTTCACCAGGTACAAGTATCTAATACTTATTAACTTCATTGAATCATATAATAAACGACAATATTGAAATATATCTCTCTAGCATATTCATTTCTGAATCTATTTGTTACCAGCCGATAGATGGCGGTACAACTACGTTGCTACTAGTTGCTGACAGCCGTCGGTCCAGCGCCAATAAATATTTGCCTCAAATAACATCATCATATCATCACATTCATATTTATTACTCCATATCTGGAAATAGGTCGGCACTTTTCAAAATTTCAGATTAAAAATGATTCATTTGATGTTATACCGTGTCATCCATCACTGTCAACAAACAATAATTATCCTACCTAAAAGTTTCTGGAAAGAACAAAAAACATCCTAAAAGTTTCTTGAAGATGTCTCATATCAAGTACCCTGAATGTCTCTGGTACATCCCGTGTCATCTCACAAACATTCTGATGGGATGTTTATATGACATCGCAAATGCTGACATGAGTGTTGCCAGCAACATCCCAAGAATGTCAAAAGGAAAATAGGGATTTTCCAGAGATCTTCCTATGATCCCATATGAATGTTTCTACGACGTCTCACGGATATTATTGTGTTATTGAAGACCAGGACACCAATTGATGCCATTCAATTATCAAATCTAGTCATAGGTACCATACAAATACGAGATATGAAATAATGGTCCAATGTAAAAAAAAATGCCAGAAACAAAACTATTGTTTACCTCATTTGCATATAAAAAAATTCCGAATAAACCGATTTTAAGAAATAAGATGTGTTATTGTAGTACAACGTGAGTATATAAACTGTCCAGTAATGGAAAAAGAAGGACAAGTAGTTGTAAATGAATATCCAAGATGGGTGGCTAAAGAAGTTGGAATATCAAAATTTTTCATAAAATATCTTGATTAATAGCGATTTGTTCACATTTTCATTATGAAATTCGTGTTTCTCAGACGAAAATACGTACCAAGTCCAAAAAAAAAAATTTGTAGGAAAAAAAAACATCGCAAAAGATCACTTTTACCGCAGTGAGTAAATAAATGAATATTTTGTGTTCACTTACATCCGATTCCATTCATGGCACCCAAGATTGCCAATGCAATGCAGAATGCGAAGATGGGCCTGCCGATGGCCACGTGGATTGAAGCCCAAAAAACGTCATGGTGACCTTGAGCCATCAAAACGTACGCCCCAGGTAGAAGAATAACCGATAAAGCTGGCACGTACGAGAGGAAGAGGATAACTATGTTGGTCCACAACTGAAGAAAATAGGATCAGATTGAATGGTTTCGTAGCTGGATATACAGGGTGTAAAATAAGTACGGGGGGACGTATTTATGAGACTATTTTATGAAAGAAAGTTTTACTTAGAAAAGGTGTGGGAGTTAGGTTTTTTCATCAAAGGTACCAAAAGGTTGAGAATGTTATAACATCCTGGACAGACAACAAAAGACTCGAGTATTGGCGTAGTCTACCGGGCCGCGATTTTACTAAATATACTGCACGCTAGCACAAACCACGCCCACCATAATACGTCATATCTCCAAACATTACCGATATACTCGGAGTCAGCACATCGCACTAAATATACTGTGCTCCAACGCAAGAATACACTTTTTATGATTTTGACACGAATTCGACTGAAGCTCTCTCGTTGTCAATCTCTTGTACACTGTGCTTGTACGCAGTAAATTCATATACCCAAATGGTCTAATGGTAAGCGCTGTCGACTTTCAGTCTGAAGGTCCATGGTTTCGAATCGCTGTGAACTTGAATTTTTTTTGCAACTTTTTTTTTTCACCAATGTTTTTTTACTTCATTCTGGTTCTCCTTTTTCAGAAAATATTTGAAGTCAAATAGGTTAGTGCGTTTAGGATGAACAGTCTCATTTTATTCAATTTTGTTGAAGAACTTAACTTTTGAAATATATTATTAATCAATGTGTTTCTACACTATATTCTGGTTTTCCTTCCTCAAAAATATTGCAATCAGGAATAGGTTAGTTCGTTAAGGATAAATAGTCTCTGAGTTTTGCCTAAGTACTTCGAAGATGAGATATTACGGTGGGCGTGGTTTGTGCTAGCGTACAGTATATTTAGTAAAATCGCTACCGGGCCTAGCCGTTGCCTAGCCCATTCCAAAGCATTCATTGCTTGTACAAGGAACAAACAGGACTCTGACAAACTACTAGAACTCAGTAGAGCACACCTCAGAATTATAGCAGGTTTGCTCACTGGCTACTGCAAACTCAAACACCACATAGACAAAATCGGACTTGCACAAGATGCAGAGTGCCGTCATGCATGGAGGAGGATGAAACGGCTAAACACATTTTATGTACAGGGTGATTCACCATAAATGTCCCCCCCCCCTCTACCTCATTTATTTTTGAACCGATTTCAAAATTTGAAATATCATCTCAAATCATTTTCGATAAAGTTTTTTTCCGCTACATCAGAAAATACAGGGTGCTCGGAACAAACGATCTACAGGGAACTATTTGATTTTTTTATATGAAACATCCTATTTTTCATTGTATTTTTAGATTCTCCCTGAAGAGCTGATTTGATCAATGTATCACACTTGGGGTCTAGCGGCAATGATTACGAGATATAGGGTGTTCAAAATCGAGATTGTTCAACTTTTGGATTTTTTTTGAGACGAAACTATCAATAATCGGTCAAAACGGCTTCGATGTCCGTATCTTCACTTCTGATTTTCTATCTACTGACATTTAATAATTGGAACAGATACAGGGTGATCAGAATTCTGAATCTTGAACCACCCTGTAAATGTTCCAATTAAATGTCAGTAGACAGTAAATCAAAAGTTGAGATGGGGACATAGAAGCCGTTACGACTAATAATGAATAGTTTCGACACAAAAAAATCCTACAGTTGAAAAATTTCGATTTTGAACACCCTATATCTCTGTAATCATTCCCGCTAGACCCCAAGTAGGATACATTGATGAAATCAGCTTCTCAGGAAGAATCTAAAAATACAATGAAATACAGGGTGTTTCATTTGAAAAAATCAAGTAGTACTCTGTAGATCATTTGTTCCGAGCACCCTGTATTTTCTGATGCAACGGGAAAAAAAATTCTGAAAAATCATTTCAGATTAATTTTCGAATCGGTTCAAAAATAAGTGAGCTAGAGGGGGGGGACATTTATGGTGAATCACCCTGTACATGCTCTGCAGGGCCAGAAAACCTGATAAATTGTTCTCCCAACGTTTCACTTAATTTCGCCAAGAGATTAAATATACTGGGAGAAATATAACTATAGGGTGACCCACAATAGGCCATAAGCCACAGTGGAGGGCCTGAAATGGGTCCACTCACGTTTAACCTAACCCTAACCTAACCAAAAGGTTACTGTCAAAAATGTTCAGGCGAATTTGAAATAAATAATGACAGCGTACGCTAGATATTTACATGAAAATTAATACGGAGTTATGATTTCTCACGTCAAAACCCCGGGTATAATACCAAATATCGTGCGAATAACATCATTTCGCGAAAACTATCTTCACAAAGCGAACAAGTTTACATAGAACTTTCTTTTTAAAATTGTCTCAGAAATATACGTCCCTTTAATATTTTAACGTACTTATTTTACACTCTCTATACAGTGTTGATACTTTAACTGGAATACATTCGCTAGAGGGGACGTGATTATTTTCTCTAAAAATACCAGACACACGTCAACGAATTAATTTATCCGTTCAGGGTTAGCTGAATCCACACTCAATATGTTTTGGTCTATTGCAACCCTATGGCTTGTGACCCCTCATTGGAAAGCTAATGGAATGAGGAAATTAGGATGCAATTTCAAAATTCAATTCATTTTCAACGTAACAATTGCTCAAAGTGTATACTGAACAACTGATTGAAATTCTTTGTTATAACTGCTACCGATCTGCTTTTGTATTCCAGTGCTTTTATAGAGCTGCCAAAAACGATTTAATTTTTATGCCGTATTCACAGTTCGAAACGAAGTGTTATTGCAAACTGGTGGAAATGCCCTATATCACTGTCACTAAAAGTCGAAATTTGGATGAAAATACGCTGAAAATATATTAAACTTCGAAATTATATTCTGATTGCTAAATCTCATAACTAAGAGATCTAGGATGAACAGAGTTGCTTCAATTGTCAGCAGGAGCGAGACAGTACTGTTTCGACCCACCAAGTCTCATCAGCCGCTCTCGGTCTGCTGACAACTGGGACAACTCTACGCTTCGGGTATATCACCCATTTCGAAGACGCAGGGTATAACATGAAGTTGTAGTCATGTTGTAGCCATCTTGTGGCAAAGCTCTAAGGTAGGATACAGATATCGCGACACACACTGTATGGCGCTGCCATCTATAGTCACACGTACAGACCCCTACGTCTATACGCTACAGAGTGGTACTACAAGTAAATCACTCTGCTGACAGATGGCACTACCTGACATACTTGAGTGGAATTTTTCCACCACCTATTCAACTGCTAAATCTCATAACTAAGAGATCTAGGATGAACAGAGTTGCCCCAATTGTCAGCAGGAGCAAGACCCACCAGGTCTCATCAGCCGCTCTCGGTCTGCTGACATATGCGATCCTCAAACGTATACTGCAAATTGAAATACGATCAGTACACTGGATTCCTCTTTCAACCAGCTTTTCAATTAGGGGTCGCAAGAAATAGGGTTGCATTTGAAAAAATCTTGGGGTTGATTCCAACTACCCCTGAAGGGTAATATTCTCCAAATAGCTCGCCAAATGTAGGTTAATACATTCAAACGTTGACGTGTTCCGCAAATTTTTAGATAAATTATCCGCTTCCCCAGTATCGAATTTATTTCAGTCAAAGCTATCATTCTTCCCAGATGGTTGGTTATAATGCATAGATAGGCATACTCACAGTATTTTTGAAAATGGTCTTTCCTTTAGTTTTATAATAGAAGTAACCGAATCCCAGTCCAATAATTCCTCCTGCAGTGTTGCCAATGAAACTAGTCAGTTGAGTGTGCCATTGGGGGTTGTCTAGGATAATCTTCATTTCGTAGGTGCTCCTTGAATTGAAATTTTGAAAATAAAAAAAATTACTAATTGGATATTCAGAGTATGAATCTATCGAAGAATATGAAACAAAATTATTATACATAGAATACTTGTTGACAGTAAACTCACTCTGGCCTAGGAATCATTAATGCTTCATTATTATTGACGTAGTTTGTAATGAAAGTGGCCACCATATTCAGACCAAGCAGAGTACCCAGAATCCACCACACGAATTTTTCGTATTTCTTCAAAACCCATATTGTCAAGAGAAGAAGCCCAAAATATTGGATATCTAGGGCTAAGTACCAAGTAGGAACAAGACACTAAAAAAATATGCCTAGTTCAATTTCTCTAAGGAATTCTTGAGTCTTCGTGGAGCCTGAATCCACATTTCGAAATCCCAAGTATCCCGGCATATACAGAGTGTTCAAAAATTAGCCTGCCAAACTCCACCAGCTTAGGAGACATTTTTCGACTCATGTTCATTGAAAATTTCCTTCCTATTTTTTGTCGTAGAAGCTGCTGGTGGAGTTTGGCAGGCTAATTTCGGGACAACCTGTATACGAACGTCAGTCTGGGGGCCGTGTAAATTTGAATTTTCATGAGCAGGTAATAACGACAACTCATGAAAATTCAAAGATTTCATTCGAATCAGCAGAGATTATACTCCTAACCTACCATATTTGTTCTATCGATAACTGTATTTAAAAAGATCAAGTTGGTCCACCAATTTTTTCTGCAATTCAAATATTCTTTTCCTACGATATTCCACCAGTTAGGGCCATTCCCTAAATGTCGCCACCAGGTGGCTTGAAATATTATTATCACGGTCAAAGCTGGGAGCAACCTGAAAAATAAATGTATTTTCAACTTTATTTTGCGCTTTGAAAACTTGAAAAGATGATTAAAAAAACTGTGAGTCAAAAACTTGTTTTCTAATTTTGATTTTTTGGCACTATTCAAAACTGACGGAAGTTTGGAAATGTTTAAATTCACGTAACCAGTTGCGTTAAGTAAAATATTACATAACTGGTGATGAAATGTTCATTTCAACACCAGTTACGAAATAAAAATATGGATGGACGAAGAAAATAGTACATTTTTTTTTGTTCCCTCGATATCACTCGGGAAAACTGAATTGCAATCAACCATTTTCCACTACTAATGACAATATCAAACTATTCTATTTCGTGAATTTCGACGGAGATTTGTAGCCTTATTATTATTTGAAGTGACGGGCGAAGTCAATTTGCCTACTAAGTTTTGTACATAATCGGTAGAAATTATGTAGAAGTATGGTCTTTATTTCTGTTCGAGCGCAATTTTACATCAAAATTAGAAAAAACATTGAACTTAACATGTTAGGAAATGCTTTTTGTGTAACTTTGTGACGTCACACAAAACTATGCGTTTCCTAATTGGTTACATAAATATTTATTACCTTATCAACCTGTTGAGGAACATAACCAGCATATGCTCGAATTTCAATTCGCTTTTCTCATATTTGGAAAATATGCCGTAGACAAGAAGAAATGATGATATGAGGAAGAAAGTCGATACACAGAGAGGCCCACTGGACAAAAATAGGTTTGCCACTTTCTGGTTCATCTTAAAAGAGAAACAGTGAAATAGTGGAGCAATAACAAGTAGGTACAAGGGAAAATATAGTTATGAATACATCAAGGTACATCATTTCCCATGGACCAAGATTATATTCCGAGGCTTCAGTCGAGGTCCCGTGGAAATAACATTCTTTTTCCAGCACTACCTATAAATCCTTCCATTATTTAGTACTCCTTTTCGAGGCGAAAAGTGTGTTTTTACTACCAAAGGAGTTTTTGCCATTTTATGATTTTATAAATCCTTTTTTCAGCCAAACTATCCATTTCTGAGAAATCTCCTGAGATATAGGTCAATTTTCATTCTCAATTTGCCACATGTGAAAAAGAATTGAATATACAGGGTGATCCATGTTTGAGGTATCCGATTTTTCTGTGACAAGAAAAAAGTTTGAAATTTCATCTATGTTGACAGGTTATAAAATGTCACTTTTCATGAATCACACTGTTGATGACTTTTTTTGTACTATAGTTCCGAAAAATGAGCCAATTACACTGTCTCCGAGGAAGAATTGCAAGTCATTTTAACATCCATCCGACTTCGCAGTTATGTGAATTCGCAATTTTTGAAAATTAAATCACAGAATTAGACTAACAGATATTTGATGACTTCAAAATAATGATAAAGATACCTGCAAAAAGATGCCTGCAATGCAAGTGCCATTCCTGTTAAAAACTTCAAATTTCACGTCGATAACTTTCTGATTGTAATATAATGTAATATCTTCTCAATATCGATTCGTCCTTCTTCCTATCACAGAAAAAAAGAGTATATTATACACGGGAAAAATCTACTACCTTTTTCCCTTGTATAATAAAAAACTATATAAACTGCTAGAGAACACATAAGTGTTATGTATTCTTGAATGCAGCTTTTCATGATGATTCCAAAAATCGAATTATATATAGAGTGTTCCGTTTGAAAAAATTGTCGTGGACCTCGTACCTCAAACGTGGACCACCCTGTATATTTGATTTTCCCGTAGAAAAATTGGCGATCTGGCTATATTTTATACATATTCTCATGGACGATGCTTTTCTGGAATATCAACAATTGTTTCTCCCTTGGCAGTCCCCGCGAGATTAACCCGTCGAGTTGAGGCTTCTCACCCCTACGTGGTCACTTTGAAGACCTGCAGAACATCTGTTTCCAAAGATTCGTTTATCCAACGAACAGTGAGGCTCTGGAACACATTGCCAAGGGAGGTGTTCCCCGAGGCATATAACCTCCAGAAATTTAAGAAGAACACCAATTCCTACCTTATTTCTGTTCGTGGGAACCAGAACATGAAAATAAAACCTTCCCAGAAGATTTCCTAAGATTTGTGTTTGGCTAAAATTGATTTTATTCAGTATACTACTACGAAAGCACTGTATAGTTAGCGAAACCCTTCTCGATGCGTTAAAACATAGGTTTTGTTAGTGGTAAAACCGTGTTCTATGACAGTTTAGAGAATATAAGATATATTCTCTAAACTGTGGTTCTATTTATTTATTGCTATAACTCACGGTTTCTGTGTATTGCGTGTTCAACACTGGTCCCAAAACGAAACTCATTGCTGTATGGCTCAGGATAACCAAAATGGTATTATAAAATCGAACGCCTTGTATGGGTTTGAATGTTTCCACTTCGGGAGTGTTTTTAACTGTAATCAGTCTTCGCCAGTTTCTTGGTATGGAAAACGCTGAAAATATCCTGCCCCACTTTGTTTTTGTGAGTTGCTCGTACTTTTCTACTGTCATGTAACTGGCAGTATACTCGAAGAATGTGGAATAAATTATGAGACAGATATACAGTACCAGAATAATGCTGAAAATTAAAAGATGAAACGTTAAAACGAAAGAAACATAACTGAGAGCACTCGTTATTTACCAGACTAATATGTCAAGCCAATCAACGGGATATTTGGATTCAGTTGTTTCACATTTCAAATCCTGAATTTTTCCTTTCAGTCCTAAACTATGGAATTTTTCATCGTAACATTCTTGTACTCCTTTTTCCAGGTCGCTGTTATTTTCAGACAAGTAATCGATATTTGGACAGGTGAATGGAATACAAATCCAGTGTCGCAGGTGGTCATGTCGGTAATTGAAGTTGTCTGATGATACTTCCTGAAAAAAAAAGATGGTTCAAAATATTTCTCTTTTTATTTCTCGGAGCGCACGGAAAAAAATTCCTATAATGTTCGAAGAACTTTACCTAGGGAGGATAGGGAGAGGAGGTAGTATTTTTTAAACTTTTGGAGGTTATATAAGTTTCTGGGATTACTTCCATTGGCAGAGAATTCTCATATCTTTGCCGTTCTATAGTCGTTGGACATATTTAAAGGTTGACAACGATAGAATGTGCTGACTGGGCCTGTCGAGTTTGTCTGACTGGTATTGCTAGTGAAAAAATTATAGCAGAAATTTCAGAGGAACATTTCCCGTGGAAGTATCTGAAGAAAAATAAAATGTCACCGACTTTTCTACGGTATTCTAATGAGGTCAAAGGGTTAGTGAGTGTGGCATCATCCACCAGGCGAATAGCTCTTCTCTGGATTTAATCTGAGAGCATCAGCGTATGATTGGGTGCTGAACCTCATATGTGAGAACATTATTCTAGAACTTGCCGTTTATGTGTTTTGTAGATCATGAGAAGCTGTTGAGGTGTGAAGTAGATTTTCGCACGGAATAAGAATCCGAGTTTTTTTAAGCAGCTCTCGCGATGGATCGTACATGTTATATACAGGGTGGCATTGAAATAAGTGGAAATATTTCAAGCCTTCAGTAAGCTCGACGTATACTATCGAGTGGTACCAATTAAAAAAATATATAGGGATCAGAATGAAATTTTTTCCACCCAAAGTTCCACACTGTAGCAATTCTGACGTCTCCTCTGATCAAAGTTTCGTGCCTAAGGCACAATCACGCGTATTCCAATTATTTAAATTGTTTCAAATTGGCGAACTTAATTTTTTTCTAGTTTTTTGTTCAATATTCGGGATCAAATTTCTTGTTAATTAGAAGAATTAGGAAAAATCTGATCATGGGAATATTCGTTAGACTGTATATCATATCGATGAGCTGATTATATGTACTTATTTCAAAAACACCTTGTATAGTATTTGATCAAGTTGAAGTACCTTTATTATTTTCCAAAGATCTGTCACATTCGAAATATCTAATGGTTCCAATTGGTAAAGAAAAGAACAGTACAGAGCCTCTTCTTGTAACAACATACATCTGTCAAAATTATCTTGGTAAAAAACTGGTGGCATTCGGGCATACTCTTTATCTGAAAAATAAACCCAATAAAATTATTAAAAACTTCCAAATGAGTGTTTCGGAAATTGAGTGTAGCCATCCTCAGAGATTATCATAAGCAGTTATATTTTCAAAGTTTGATTTTTGGTTATTCAAGCTGATGAAATAAGTATAGGTACCTACCTGATACTTCTCCATTACACTTATTTATTACGAGCACTATAACAAAAAAATACCTCAACATCTTCAACCAACTGACTACCTTCTCAATAATTACGCCAAAAAAAGATTTGCATCACTATAAAAATTACAAAACACAACTTTTCATTCATGTTCAACATGTTTGAACACTTATATACGTGTAATGTAATTAATGTTTGATAAGTCTAATTTAGGTCTAGGACTGAAATTCGATTATGGATTTTCTGCCATCAGTCAATCAGTGCTATAATAGATTGATTACCTACTTATTATTGTTCACTATAACTGCTTCTAGCACCACTTGTAATAACTACAGTGAGTTTGATGAGCATAGGCGCCACGTGATGGTAAAATGGGGGACTCTCCCACCCTCTGAGAAATGTGATCAAAAGTCAAAAATGATATCATGTACCTATTTTTCATTACAAACGTCAGTAACATATTCATTTTCTCATAGTTTTTTTTTTAGTTTTGGACAAACTTTGATCCGCAATATTCTGTTTCCATTGTACACAGAGGAAAACGTTCCAGGTACACAAGTACTATTGAGTAAAATTTAATACCCCGAACTTTTGTACCACTACAACAGGTGAACACATTTTTTTATATCTACTTCCAGTTGCAGGGTAACTATGATCCTGGAACATACGATCTCTCTTCTGCCTGATAAATTTGTATCAATGTATTTAATATTCAATACAAGTGTCAAATTTTATTTGACATCTACGCAGAATGTGTCGTAAGGTGCATCTCTTCATATCATAATTATATCAAGCACCTCCAATTTATAGAATTCTCTTACCAAATCCCGAACGCAGCAGAATTTATTGCCGATAATAGACGAGGGGAATTTCCTACCAACAAGAACTTTCGTGGCCTTGAAGAAAATATCGGCGATAATTCTGCTGCTAGAGAGATTATAAGTGAATATCACCTATTTTTCTGCAACAACATGCTTTTGTGCCTGTGGCAACTACCTAGTAATGAGAATATATCATACTGTTGAATAACCATCACCGAAGTGTGAACCTACAACAGTTGAAGAAGACTCTAAGATAATGTAGCAATATTTCAAAGGTAATTATTTAGTGTACAATGGTTATTAAACTGTCTAGTCAATGTTATTCAACACTTCATTGATGCGTTGAGTGTAAATACATTTATTCATTTTCGTGAACTACTTAACAGAGTGTCTGTTGCAGGTATACCAATTCAGGAAATATATATTATCTATCACTATCACACTGTATATCTGTCCCAAATAGAATTCAAGTTTTTTTATTGTTATACTATTATATCTTTCATAACCACTATTCAACTTTGTTCTCTGTGTAGAAAAAATAGTGTGTGATATACATGCTAAAAATGATTTTATTTTGTTTCTTCAAACAACACGCTACGGTCTATAAAGGCCTATTTTATGCCCTTGATACATAAATACTTATTATATGACTTACTTTACCATATTAAGTGATTGAATAATTCGTTAACAATATGAGTTATATAAAACTTATATGAGTGAGTAAACGATATACAGATTTGTTTTATAATGTGAGTTTTAAGAACAACTACAAATTGATATTATAGAAACATCAACTTGCTATGAAATTGTTGTATTTATTATACGCAGTAAGGAATGCAACAGTAGAATGATAAAATGATAATAAATCTGATAAAATATTGGGAAGTTCATTTAATATACCAGTTTTTTATATTTTTCTTTGTTCTCTTCATCAGATAATTGAATATAACTGGGTATTAGATATCATACCAGATTTCAAATTTAGTTGATGCAATAAAATAATCGGAAACAATTCCAGGTTTTATGTAATTTATTGAGATATTTCCTGAAATAATAGAAGAAAATTTCAACAATCATATGTTAACAAGTTATATCAAATGAAGTTGACCTGTTCACTCATTCTTCTCTCCTTGAATTCGTTGTTTTCGAACTTGCAGAATGAATTTATTTTGCATCTGAGAAGAAGGCATTTCCAAAAGAATATGCACTAAAAATCCACAGAAGAAAGATAGAATGGCATCATAAATAAATGAGGTAACCTAAAAAAAAACGTTTTGCCTCCCAATTCTAGTATTTTAAATTGTTTTCCTACTAACTAAAAAACTGATGTACACTATACACTCATATAATGTAAGTATAAAGTTAGTAGTTTCAGTTCTTTGGTTTTTAGTCCATCGCAAAAATTTCTTACCAAGACAGAATCTGAAATATATAGTGGGTGTTTGGCTGTAGCTGTCCTGTAAAACACAATCCCATAGTGTGTGACATATGTACTGTACGTTATATTTCCCATGACTAGAGCAGGTTTCCATTCACAAATTTTTTTAGCAAAACCTAAGAATATTATTCGCAAAATATTGATACCAACATATTTTCTGTTAAAGATAACATACCTCCAATGTTTTGGGACATTCCTAATATTCCTATTGCGATACCAGTGGCATACAGTGGTTTGAGAATACCACTTAAAATTGCGCTTAGGAATCTAGTGTAATAGTATGAAGAAATGATGATCACTAATACTGGCATTCCTATGAACAATACCACCCATGCTATTTGAGACCTCTAAAAAAAATTAAACATCAACATCTTCTAGCCTGCTTTAATAACTTCGAGAATATTTTTGTAATAACTCACCAAATTCCTGAAGTTTGTAGTATTGCTGTGTTTGAAATATTGGTAACCAAAACACAATCCTAACATATAGGTAGCCATATTGGCATAGCTAGATGAATAAATGGCGTTGAAATTGAAAGATCTGAATTTATTGTTTTTTGAGTTTCTGAAAAAAAAAACTAAATACCAAAAGTTTACATTGATTCGGTCTCCCATCCAATAATTAGAGACGAATTCGAATAACCCTCTGTATGTTATGCATAGAGAATACTGAAAGATAATAAATTTTAATTATTGAAATAGTCACGTCAATGATTGCTTTGAATGAAATAATAGTCAACATTTCTCTTTTTCATATTCAATTTCGAATTGTCCAGTTAGTAAGAGGAAAAGCACTTGAATGTATGAAATTTCACTGGGAGTCCCCAATACTTATGTTTATTCAAATTTACTGATACATGCTGATACCTAAATACTTACTCTGGAGTAATCCGGTAGATTATGTCCAAATCGTAAACATACGTTATTACTATGGGTATCAGAATTCCTATCAATACACTGGATGCCAAGATCGCCTTCGTGTTCTTCTTGAACAACCAAATCAGTGACAACAAAAACAATGACACCACATACAGTTGCGTATCTGCTGCCAAATACCATGTAGTGAAAAAACACTGAAAGAAACAAAATAGGTGATTATGTATCAACACTTTTTTCAGAGGAGTAAAAATCCGAGGTGGTTTATTCTTTTATGCACGACCGGGCGTAAAGTGTTACTTTATTGCCCGGATTCGCGGGAGTAAAGTAACACTTTATTTCTCTAGAGCGATAAAGGAGTACAGCGAGCTGTAAAGTAGTATAACGGGCGGTGAAGTAGGTGATCAGGCAGTAAATCAATTTCATTGATTCTCCAGTAATTCTAGTAGACTATACCATTCGATCTTTCTTCGCCAGTGGCCAACTGAATTCAAAATCATTAATAAATTCCATATTGACAGTGAATGAATGTCTAAAACGGTCATGCATAAAGTGTTGTAACTTGTTTTTACGGACCTAGGTTGTTAATAGCCCTCGTTATCTCTGGGGCTTTCACTTACACATTGAGGTCTATAAAAGCCTACTTTACGCCCTTGATACATAAATAACTATTTCTTACCATATCATGTTGATTGTAATGGTTATTGATGAACAATAATGAGGTCCACCAATTTTTCTGGCATCTTTGTAATTCTAAATCAGCGTACAAATCTTTGATGGGACCGTAAAAAAAACTGACCAACCAGATGGTACTCCCAGTTCCCACCATGAATAGTACTGGAGGGATTATTCTAAAACATATGGGTTGTACTCATACATTCAAGGAAAATGGCAGAAAAATATTTGTAGAAATCCACCAACGTTCTATTTCTGTCCATGTATAAACAACTAACCTTAAATATCTGTTCAAAAATGTCAAGATGATGATCTTCATGCTAAATACTGTTTTATCCATTATTTGGAAAAAATGGTAAGACAGCAAGAAAGCAGAAAAAAGGAAATACGTTTGTACCAAGAACACCATCAAATTCCTCAAGACAAGCTTCATCGGATTTTTTGGTATCTGAAAATGTTGTTTATACCGTGTGACACAGAATCATGGTATACCTTTGTTCTTCTACCTATATTTCTGAATTTGGAACATCGAATATGCTCACTAGAGCGCACTTCCACTTCCACTTTTTCTTTCAACTTCCGGTTTTCTTGGAAATGTCAACTTTCGATTCTTAAATGGAAGACCTTGTATTTTATTCCATAATCGGTTAGGGATTATTATGAAGAATTCAACGATACCTGATTTGATTGAATTATTTCAAACTATCACGCGAAGATATTCGCGTTTGGATTTTTAATTTGCTAAATAGGTTTAACGGCACAATATCTAATATGATATAAATGTCCCAAAGGAATGTGAAAACATTGAAGTTCATCAAACGGCACCTGTGTCAATCACTATCCTGAGCAAAATGATAAAAAAAATATCTGTGCCCAAATTTGATAGCTGAATAGATGAAGATGAACAAAAACTTCCTCAAATGTGAAGAAGTGCCCTGTAGTGAACATATTCGATGTTCCGAATTTCAGAAATGAAGCTAGAAAAACAAAGGTGAAAAGGGGGTACACCATGATGAATCTGTGTCACTCAGTATATATTATGTGATGATATTACGTTTTCTATGTAATCCGTGTTCAGAACGTAACCTCCAATGTAACTGGAGTAAGTGTGACAAAATATAATCAGCAACATATTGTAGAATCGTATTCCCTGCATACATCTCAATTTCTGAAAATCTGGATTTGTGTTAACAGTCTTGAATTTTTTCCAATTTGATATCACTGAGAATGCAATCAAATATTCTCCACCTAAAATAAAACGAATTATGGAAAGCTGAGATGATTTTTTTCTACTCATCCTTCTGGAAACTCTTACCCAACTCGCTTTGATGTGTTACATTCCTATCGTGATGTCTTTTTCTTCCATAATCCCAGTATGTCGCAAAAACAACAAACAACAAATAAATAAGCATAATAGACCTGCAATGAGAAAATATTCATCAGTATATCTCCAACAGATACAGGGTGATTGAAAATCCAGATATCTGAAGTTGGTCATCCTAGGTCACCATTACCATCAAACTCCTTCGTTCATTGACCTATTCTCTCCAATCACCCTGTACAAAAATAATAGAGTAATGGAAACTTACAACCATAATATATCTATGATGCCAGGTTCGTAGACACTGTCTTTTTTGGAGCAGATCAGGTCAGTGACTTCAGCTGTCAAACTTAAATTACTGTACTTCTGCTTGTAACATTCCGATACAATGTTTTGAAGACTGCTGTTCTCTTTGAATTGATTTTGGCAAAATTTATTGGCACATATTGCGTGGAAAAGCTCATTGTGATTGTATGCCCTTGTGTCATCAAGTGATCTCTGAAATCAAAGTTGACATTTTATACGGTACGGGACTAGTAAACATCAAATCTCTGGCCGCCTTCTGGCCCAGTACATGATAGATCGGCAGATTGCTGGACATGGCCAAGCTGCACTGATAGAACGTCGGCCCATTGTATGGCATATTGTGATCGTTTGCCTATTACTCAGCCGGCACTGGGCCAATAGTATCATTTCGTATTATGTTTTTAACTACAATCATCTACAATCGTCTACCCATTATGTGATATCGAAATCGTTAGCGTTAGACTATAATCTAGCCGGCATCTTCGTATTATAGAGACAGAAGTTGGTCCCGCTTTGAGGACAGGTATGCTTCATATATAGAGTAGTGGATATGTGGAAGATCAATTTTTTAGGAAGGCGGAATAGCGCAGTGGTTGAGGCGCTCGACTATAGTAATCAGAACATCAAACAATTGCTAGGTTTGAATCCCCGAAAGAGCAAAGAATATTCATATATAAAGCGAGTTATGAACTATAATTTTCGTAGCCTTGGCCGGAGATGATTCCGCACGATTCTTTGTTGTGTTCCAATTAACATTGCTGCTCCTAAGGTGGCGTATGGAGTGAGTAGCAAATCCTACACAGAACGGTAATGAGCTGAAGGACCTCTCGTAAAGTTGATTGCCAGTTGGTATGTATGATTATTCCAACTGGCCATCGACCTTGAGAGAGGTGTTTCAGTCCATTTGTGTTCTGTGTAGGCTCTGTTACTTCTTACTCCATACGCCACCTCAGGAGCAGCACAATACAAATTCAATCTGACAGAACTGACAGAAGTGTCAAACTGATTTTCGTTCACATTCAAATACTGTCTGTAACCTAAGATCATGTAACAAACACATTGATTTCGATCGAGATTCAAGAGATAGACCGCATGAGGCACACTGTTAAGAACGACGCTCTTCAGATGTCAGATGTCAAACAGTAAAATACAGATATATGGTTGAAACAGAAACTTACCTCTATAAGCTTCCAGTAATGAGATGTACAATTTTCACTAATTGGCATGAGGATGACTGAGGCCTTACAGAAGTAGTTTCCTTCGGCTTTGCAATCTTCATAGTCATCAATGTGGAAAATAGGTGGCAAGTCACGATATACATTATCTTGAAAATGAAAAAAAAATCATTCAATTGTTGTTATCTATCAGTGATCCTTTCAATATACAGTGTGTCTGGAAAGGTTAAAATAATGTTAGTACTTCATATATAAACTCTTTGTTACGAAGTTATTGACCCTTGAAAGTTGGAATAAAAAAAAATCATGTATAAGTAGTAGTAGTAGAAGTACTAACATTATTCACACATTACATTTACGACATGACCTTTCCGGACACCCTGTATTTAGATATGTAATGACCTGGAATCTACAGTGCTTCGGAATAAATTTCTTATACGAACATCACCCTATATATACTTGATATATGAAACAACTAAATACTTCAAGCTTCAAGGAATATCTGACTCTAATACATACAGGATGATTTCTAAATCTGTTATCGAAAGTGGAGCACACTGCTGATGTGTATATTTCACAGGTCGTCGGAAAACTCGGGTCCTTTGAATGCACCATATTCAAAGTGAAAAAAAAATCATTAGTTCACTTTTGATTCCATTCTTCTGAACATTATTTTTTTTAAGGGGTCTGGTATTGGTCAGACTATATAATTTTCACCTACCGTATGAATCTCCACAATTCACCAAAAATATTTGTAGCACTAAGACGAAGACACATGATGTATTCATGTTTTTACTGACTCGATATTTTGCCAACTGGATTGTTGGAAAAATACGACGCGTTTGCATTTTCCACAACTTGGTATAGGTACACAATAAAATGTATCGTAATTGAAATTTACCATCATATCCATATCTATCGACTAATATAATAGAATGTAGATTCCATGTCCCAGATTCGTGTCTTCTTATTGACGTGTATTGTGTAGGTATTTCAAATAAATACAAAGATATTTATATACAAAAATTTGGGACACGGGGTTATTTTCTTACTTCCGGTTATAAAAGAAGCCGACATTGAAATATCGCTGCTTTCTCAATTCAAAATGTCTTTTTGTCTTACACCCAGAAATGAGATGATTATATATTGAACTATTGAACAGATCAATCTTTATTCAACTTTATTTGTTGGCATTTGGGGAAACATTACACAACAACCATAGCTATCGGTATCTCATAATGTGCGGTAAAAATAACATAATATAGATTCATTATTATAAATGAAAAAATCATTTATTTCACTAGATTTTTTGGGATTTTCTCTTTGTTTTTTTTTTAAATAAAAATATTAGTATTATTTCAATTGAGATATTTCGATATACATACGAGTGTATCTGAATAACACCAAAAAAATTCAAGGGGTGTTTCAATCAATCAATCAATCAATACTGTGCTTTATTGTTCAAGAATAATATTTCTTATTACAAAGCATGGTTTAAAATTATTCTAGTGGATTTCCACTGTGTCCAGTAGGAAGTTACATAATAATATGTATACATATATAAAAACAAATGAAGTCAACATTGTAAAAACATACGAAACATACAAATAGGTACATTATGTAAATTTGAACAAACACCATTGAAAAAAAGTTGTGAAATCATAATAATCTTGCTGAAATAAGGATATATGAGTCGCAACCTAGAATCTCTCATCGTAATATTCCTGTAGGTGATAATATGTAATATGCTCTTGGTAAGAGAAAATCCGCAACACTTTTTCTGAATTTTTTCAAATTCTTGATTGCTTTAAAATGCTGTGGCAGATGATTATAAATTTTTTTGCTTTCGTAAATCACAGAATTTTTGGTAAGCGTTGTCTTTGGTATTGGTAGTTTAATATTATTTTTATTCCTAGTATATACATTTGGATCCAGAGAGATTCCTTCAATTAGAGGCTGATTTTTGTGAATCAAACAAAGAAAAATAGGCACATTCTTGCAAATAAAGTTCATATAAATATGTGTCCTAGTTTGCTTCGTTTCTGAGATACAGTAGGATGTTTATTGTTTCCTCAAAAACTAAGCTAGATACAAAAATCACACAGAGGAAAAAAATGTTGTTATTCCAATAGTGCAATCTAATAAAAATATGAAACTCAGAAAAGCCGGTGGTGTACAATGACATTCACCATGAATTTACCCACTGTGACGCCAATGGAAATATTATTTAGAATTTAATTGCACTAGAAGAAGCTCCATATTACTATTAACAAAACCACAACGATTTATTGAAATTGATGAAAAGACAATTGAGAAATGAATAGAAAAAAGATTTTCCATGAAAATATTTATGCCCTGTATGTCGAAAACAAAGCAAGTTAGGACACATGTTTATATGAACTTTATTTCCTAATATATCACAAGGAAACACCCCTTGAATTTCGGTTTTATTTAGATACACCCTGTATACTGTTGCTGTTGATAGCGTTTATTGACAATTTCATGTGCTGAAAAATTCATCTAAACTGAAGACTATTTATCAAAGTCGAAATATCCACTTTATTCCACTTATTACAATTATAATTACCAACATTTACAGCCATCATCAAAACTTTCTTCTGTCGTGAAGAAATCAATTTAACCAGAAAAGTTTTACTATAAAACTTTGAGCAAGCAAACATACATTCTACGTGATTGAAAAATATTCCAAGAACATCTGTGGTAACATGTATTTTTCGAATTTGGAATACTGTTTGAAATTCATGGGATACTGTGGTGCGAATCCAGAAAGAAGCAGAAACAAACTTCAAAAGTTATTGTATCTTGTCAATTTATCCGCGAATTGTTTCGTATTTCTAACGGCTATTTGTCATTTTCTCTTATATGAAGGGTCTTTCCAGGTCAACAATTTAAGCACCATCATGGAAGGTGTGATTACTATAAGTCACGTGAGTATATATACAGAGTGTTTCAAAAAACCTAACCTCCTTGCTAGGGTAGGTAGAACATTGCAAAATACGTTGGGTTTGCTCAGTGAAAAAATGTCGTAACGGCATCCGTTTTCATGATTCAAGGTGTTGAAAAAATTATTTTTTTACACAATTTTCACGATTATTTCGAAACTACTGGCAACATTGTGATGAAATTTTGTATGGATGTTTCTTGAAATCTGAGACATCGCATGAATTTGTTTTTATATCTGACTCTCATAGAGGGCGCTAGTTCCACGGTTCGTACCGAGTAGTTTTGAACATAACTTTTTTGAGGTTAGATTTTTCACTCCAAATATGATATGAACTTGAACATCATTCAATTTTACACCAAAAAGGTACTCTTGGTGAAACTCGATACTATGTTCCGTTTTCGGAATATTTCGATTTGAAAATAATGGAGTAGTATTGATGCTGGTATAAAATGGATTTTATTGAGTTCAATTACCTATTTATCCAGGTTCAAAAACAATAAAATTATTCTTGTGCTGAAGTTATTGATGGAACAAAGAATCATAAGTAGAAAATTAAGAGATATTTGACTAGAAACATGGAATATTGAATCAGTTAAGAGTAAGTGTTCAAAATGTCCTACGTTTCGAGGAATACACGATTCTTTAGAATTATTCTTCTGAACAGTTAAGGATCAGCTATTAGGTCATTTAAGTGATGTTCAATTATGTCTCACAACTCTTGACATGAATTTACCTATGTAGCATAGACTTTCTGCTCAAGATACAACAAAACTGTGTAATCCAAGCTCTTAGTCAAATCTGTTTCGATGTTATTCTTGTGATTCATTGTTAAATCAGTAAGTTTAGCATCAGAAATGTATTGTTCTTTTCGGTTTTCAATATATAGTTGATAATTTTTCATAATACTCTAATTCATAGCTTTATAATACTGACAACAGCTATAACTTCATAATTTTCAAATCGAAATATTCCGGAAACGGAACACAGTATCGAGTTTTATCAAGAGTACCTTTTTGGTGTAAAATTGAATGATGTTCAAGTTCACATCAAATTTGGATTGAAAAATCTAACCTTAAAAAAGTTATGTTCAAAACTACTCGGTACGAACCGTGTAACTAGCGCCCTCTATGAGAGTCAGATATGAAAACATATTCATGCGATGTGTCAGATTCCAAGAAACATCCATACAAAATTTCATCACAATGTTGCCAGTAGTTTCGACATAATCGTAAAAAATGTGTAAAAAAAATATTTTTTCAACACCTTGTATCTTGAAAACGGATGCCGTTACGACATTTTTTCACTGAGAAAACCGAACTTATTTTGCAATGTTCTACCTACCCCAGCAAGGGGGTTAGGTTTTTTTGAAACACCCTGTATATACAATACAAGAACACAAATCACTTAAAAAAAGATTTCTAATATTCAGATCAATACTTCACAGGGTACTCTGAAATTAATCATATTGAGGAGCAAACGATCAGAAATCTTGGACCTTCTCCAGAGAACAGAGTCGTTTTGGAGAATAGAAAGCCTTGTCAATGTCAATTTGAGGACTACTTGTTTCAAAACCTTACGTTGGCTGAAAGTCACTTCTGCGACAATGATTCTTCTTGCGATTTGTACGGTATTGTTATTCATGATATCGCCACTGCTCAACAAAAACAATGGAATACTGAACAGTCAGAAGATGAAATGGATGCCCAGCCCTCTGGCTATTCTACTGGAACAGTACATCCTCGTATTCAGCGTTGCTATGCCCATACTGTGTTTCGATGTTTTCTACCAGACCATCATCATACTGATCCAAGTGCAGTTCCAAATTCTGAATCATGAGATAACGGGTATTTTCAAGCAGAGAAGACAAAGGATAGTAACTGAGAACATTAGGATAAACAGGATCAATCTATGGGTGGACCAGCATAATTTCTTGCTAGAGTATGTGACACCTGAATTGGAATGCTTTATATTTAAATTTCATTCATTTTTCAGCATAGTCGCTCGTATGAATCAGACCTTATCTACTCCTTTGCTAGTTTATTTTGGCATTATTTCCTTAACAGTGTGTGTGGAATTATTCAATTTGACCAATCAGTAAGTGCTCGAAAAAAAATATCACGCCCTATCAGAATATTAAAGCCCTCTGTTTCCTTGAAGTATACTGTATTTCCAATTATATACCATCACAATTATTTTTTTTTTTTGTGACGGGAAAAAAGTTTGGCATTTCATCTCTGTTGGCAGGTTATAAAATGTCACTTTTCATAAATTACTTTGTTCCCATGGGAAAAAAGTGAGTACTTTTTTCCCTGATATATATCACTTATCACACTGTTGATGGCTTTTGTTGTGCTATAGTTCCGAAAAATGAGTCAATAATACCGTCTCCGAGAAAGAACTGCAACTCCTTTTATCTTCCATTCGACTTCGCGGTTACGTATATTACTAAACAACCACTAAATTCGCAATTTTTTGAAATCGAATCACAGAATTAGACTGACAGAAGTGACATCAGATATTTGATTGCTTCAAAAAAATGATAGAGATGCCTACAACGCAGGTGTCCCTTCTGTTAAAAACTTAAAATTTCACGTCGATAATTTTCAGATTTCAAAATAATGTAATATCTTCTCAATATTGATTCGTCCTTTCTTCTGTCACAGAAAAAAATAGTGTATTATACACGGGGAAAATATTAGATTTTAGCTCATGGCTTTTTGTCGTTGTTGTTTGACAACACAACCTGGAGCTAAAATCTACTACTTTTTTCCCTTGTATAATAAATAATTTTTTTTTACAGAAAAAATCTGAGTTTTGATCTAATTATGAAGCTGATAATGTATTTGCTAGCTGGGCTTTTCGAATTCTCAGTTTTTTACTGTATACCAGCCCAACTTCTAATCAATGAGGTAAGTTTGCTAAACTGGTCTGCACATAGTTAGCAGACAGGAAGAAAACAGAACCAAAGTTTACAGAATATTTTTAATGGGCGAGTGGACTGATTAATGGATTAATTATTGATATTCAATTACTCCACTTCGTTCTTAGGAACCTGAAATAGTTTTTGCAACACTTTTCACGCTTCTTTATGTAAATAATGAGACTATGCGTTGTTCGAAATGGGCGTGTACACCATAGTAGAAATTTTAACTCAAACCATGTTTATAATGATACTTTTATACATAAATAATGATTGACGACCTAATTCGATCGAAAAATTAACTGGAATGTTTTATTTTTGGACATAAATAATAGTACCTTCTGAAAACGGACCCTCTTATGACGTAGAAACCTCATCTCGCCATAGTTAAAAGAAAATACCAAACGCCCGACGGAGACTGAGGCAACTGATATATTAATTCTTTCAACTGTGATCTCGCGCTAATTCACTCTGTCAGAAATCATGTATCATTCATCTCTGTCTGGAAAAGTCTTTTTTCAGTATTAGGGTTTTGACGTCAAATCATCGACTCGTTTTCAGAGGTACGAGGAATCGGGGATTTCAATAATTTTTTATAAAACGTAGGGAGCTCACAGCAAGAAACGGTTTGCGGTGGTGAGCTAGTTTGGGTGAGTTCTATCGAATTATGAAATAATAATTTTTTGTGATATAAGCCCATTGTTGAATTTAAGAGCTCATTTCAAACGAACCTTCATGACCGCCATTTGGCGATACGTCGAATAAAAGGTGAAATCAGTTCTCATGCTGTTTCGTTATTGGTCAGATAATCTTCCATTTCTATTCATGAAGCAAGGCTGTCAAGTCACCAATTATAATCAAGTTAACAAAAAGATGTTACGAGTCCTGTCGTTGAATAAAACATAATAGGAGGAACCCATGATATTATAGTTTATTCTTGACTTTTTTGAGCAACCAGCATATCAAAATACTTCTTATTCTCTCATGTGAATGTTGGAGACTTGGCAACATTGTGCTGAATGCTGAAAACTGACAAGACCACGCCCACAAGTCGTGCACTGTGTTGGCACGTTCACTGATTCAAATGGCCTCTAGTGTGAATATTTACACTTTATTATAAGCAATAAGCCACGAATCATAAGGGAACATTTTGAGACAATTGAATGTTTAATGTTAATTAGGAATATCACCAATACTCAATCGAGAAATCAGGAATTATTGAACAACTAATAGTTCTGGAGTTCCCAATCGTATTTAAACACATGGCAACGTTGCTAGATGGTCTGCCCCTACTTACGAAATCGTGTCGTCAGTTTTTACTGGCGGTGAATTTCTAGTCGTTTGAAAATTACCGTGGCATTATTGATGATTTTAGCACCTTAAATCGACCGAAAAATACTTAAAAAATATGAAATAAAAAAAATTAGTACACTCACCTATTCTGTAAACTTTGACAGAACCGTTGTGGCCTTTATCATCAATTCTAGGCTAGTCGAGTAAGTTTCAACATGTTCTCCAATTTCAATTGGGATAGGAGATCCCGCCATCTTGCCTTTAGTGCTAGAATGATAATTTTGAGAGGTCATCAGTCGATCAAGCTGTGGATTGGAAAAATGGCAATTATCAATCTCGAAACATTTTTGCAGGTAAGTTTGAGAAAAATCCACGATTATAGTATAGGATGTAAATGAATGGAATGAACTGACCATATTTTTGGTAAGACGAAATGTTCATATTATGAACATAGGTCCAGAAATGTTTTCTTTTCGATACATGTTGACAAAGTTTCAATGAAAAATCGTTTTTTCATTAAGTACTCACAATTCTCTTTCACAATTTCAATGAAACCTGGTGATTTTGTTAACAGTATCAAGAAGCTCCTTTGGTGTGATTAGATTCAGAATTATGATTCCAGTGGCGTCGCAGTGGGTTACCTTTTCGAAATTTATGGTAATTGAGGTACCTTATACGTCATAGTTTCTCCCGTCAGATATTTTCATCAGATCATACAATTGAAAATACTACTTTCTTGTCACCTATTAAATTTTTGTATATCACTATTAGGTTCTGAAGAAATGATGCAAAATTGATTTGATTCCAAAGTCTAGTGTATATAGGTGCCCTCAAAACACCCATTATGTATATTATTCTAAAATTTTGAGACTTCTCAGTCACCAACCAGACTGAATTTTGCCATCATGGAAGCTTATAAAGGGGTTATCATAAAAAACTACAATGAATACTTACTTCCAACTTCAACATCGTGTATCTTGAAAACGAAGCATACCAGGACCTATGCGTTTATCGTCTTACAATCACCCAGATACTTGCACGTTGAAGTTAGGCCACATACTTAAACAACACCCTGTATATGTATGTGAACTTGTATCACTTATTTTGATCATTTTTATGCTAATTTTTTTCTTATATTTCAGACCATCAGATCCACATTTTCTTTCTACATGTTCTTAAGAACCATCGTAGAAAAAAAAGAAATGAAACAAGAACAAGTGGTAAACTCTCATGCAATATGAAGTGACTATTACGACGCATCTGAACTGCCTATCTGAAAAACTTTGTTTTTTCACTAATATTCACCTAATCTACAGTTGCAACTGTGAATTAGGAGATATGAAAAATAGTAATTTCCGTAACAAGTCCCGAAAATACTGTTTTTTGGACGAGTAGATAAAATTCTAGGCCGAGCCGTAGGCGTGTTGCGTACAATATTTTTCCGGCACATTTTCACATTTCCATATTATATTTCTTTGAAGAATACAATTTCTTCTTTATTAATTCTAATCTGTATCATATTCAAAAATTTGAACAGAATACCTATACCTACTAATTGTTGCATTGGAAATTTCGCATGGACATTTTCAAACTCACTATCGCAGCTGCTTTTGATATGGTTCATTGTGATAATTGCAACCAAACGTTCAATAATCAAAATGTCAACTAATTATTTCATATCAAATAGCTGTCAGTCGATATTTCGCTGCTATATATGGTAATTATCATCTGCATTTATCAAAACCATATCTACCAAGATTTTCATAGTTACCTGATATTTTGTTAATTAGATTAAATCAAGAGTTTTGAATGATAAGTTACCTACTTTATATTATCTAATGGTGAAATTGAGAGATTATTTCTTTTTTTCTCATCTAGTTCATATAATACGCATATAAAACATGTTTTCATCGAGAATATTTATCTTGATATGTTCATTTGAATGACTGATAATTGTTATTTTGGTAATTTTGAATATTCTAAGATATAAAAACAGCTTTAATAAAAGTTGAAGCTAATAACCCACCATTTTGTGTTGATTTATTATACACTGAAACGCGTTGTACTACTAGGCAACCCCCAAATTATAATTTAATTTCCGCTACTGAGTACCCCCCCTAGAAAAAAGACATACCTACGCGCCTGGATATTAGTTTATGAGAGTGGCTCTTCTACACGCGGTAATATGTTTTGCTTTTTTGAATGGCAGGCCGTCCGTACCATTAGCCACTCTCACGAACAAATTGCCTTACATCGATCATCGATGCCCGTCCTGCTGCAGACAAAATAAATTACGATAAGCATAAAGGCAAGTCATTGCGCACGCAAGCCTTCCTCAACAATCAACGACACACTTTAGTTATGCCGTCCTTGTCTAACACACTTGACAACACCGGCGCGCGACTGTCGTTTGTGTCGCCAGCGAAAAAATGCCTCTGCTGATCCAGCTCAGTAACTATCAAACTTGCCGATAAAGTCAGTGTCTCGGAATCCCGCTAGTGACCTTTGGAACTGTTCCAAGCAACATGGACGAGCAACAGGTGATTTTGACGCTGAATCCCAACAATGAGAGGACGGTGATCGTGCAGAACGCCAAAGTTATCGTGGCGAGAGAAAACGGTAATGTTTTTCAATGTTTTTTAAGGTTATGGTGGCGCTCTGCTAGTTAATTTGTATTCGTCGGGCGCAATTGTTTATCCTGTGATGACGATGCTTTCTCTATATTACTACTTACTAGATTCATAACGATTCACAAATAGAATAGTAACGAAGTAACGTAACTATTTATTCTAATACTATCTTGTTATTCTGCATAATTTGCGTAAAATGAACTGGGCCGTACCGGCCCAAAAACACACTGAGGATTAATTTCGTTCGTGGTAGTCGTGGTTCAACACATCATGAATATTCAGTTGAATTATCAAACAAATTGGAGTTTATGACCTGAGCTGACTATAGTTATACCAGTTATACCTAAATAACGTTAATATAGGTAGGTATAGGTTCCTACCTGGCCATCCAAATGTTTCAAGTAGTTTTAAAATTATTTTCCAGAAAGGAATTACAGTTGTAATGATTCAATTATATGAATTGATATACCTAATTATTGTTTGATTTATACTGAAAAAAATGTTTCACAAAAAATTCAAGAACAAGCTCACATCAGATGCAGCGCCCATATGACAGATGACGTCAACCTTGAATAATTATGAGACTTCCTGTCTGCAGTCTATATACCTAGTTATAGTTTTTATCCTCGAGTTTATCAAGCTCTTGTTATTCGATGAATTTGATGGATTTATGTGAAAAATATCGATTTTTTTCTCATTCAAGCCTTATACTCATGGAGTCATTAGTGTGGTGAAGTGAGATAACTGCTTTACTATTTGAGATAGATGAATAAAAATTTCAGAGATGATCTAGGATCATGAGCAGCACATATCCTAATTATTTCGCTTTATACAGGGTAACTCAGAAATGCGCGGCGTATTAAAGGGTTTTCATTTTGAAAGTTCATAGGCAAAACCAAAGGGAAACCCAACAAACAAATTTCAAAATACTATTCATTCTCTACGGAGAGAACCAACAATTAACACATGATGAATAAAAATAAAGACTGTTTTTTGGTTCTTTCAAGTCAAGCAAGAGTAGATATTCCCTGAAGACACCAAATTTGGCACAAAGGTAGACCCCCACACTTTTCCCATTTCGTTAAAAATACATTTTCCGGGAAACATATTATTTATGTGATCTTTTTCCATAATTTGTCTATAAGCCATTTAACAATGTACTTCATACTTGCCATGCCCTTGTATAGATAGGTAATTTTCATAATATTGAAATATTTGAAACACATCCAGTTTTATTTTCATGATGGATTAGACAATGTCTATTATTTGTTTATTTGTTGACCCTAATGATAATTTGAAATTGATTTTGCTTGTTCTGATAAGCATACCACTTATATACAAACATTATTCTTATTTCTATAGGATCGATCGTATCACTCATTATTATTGGTAAACTTGGGTAAACAACATCAATGACATGATAGTTACTTCATTTTCTATAAGTCCTTTTTTCGAAAAGACAGAGATCTCCAGTACTTTATTATTTGTTTTTTCAAAGCATTATTCACTTATACAGGGTGAATCACGAAATTAATATTCAAATTGATAAATTCGACTGTCTTACCAAGATACAGGGTCGTGTTACTTTTTTAGCCCAAATTGATTCACCTTGTATCTTTCCAATCGTTTGATCAATTTGCCTGACATTTTATACAATAAGTCTACTAATCGAAGACAACTTTCCGAAATACAAAATGTAACCAAATTCCAGGTCCGGATTTGAGAATTTCAATCTGAGGTCTGAGGAAAAAGGACACCCTACATTGGAATTTTCGATCTCTTCTTATTATTCATTTTCTAAGAGATCTTGTATCAAAATTCTCAAAGTCCGGTCCTGGAATTTGGATATAACATGCATTTCCGAAAGTTGACTTCGATTAGTAGACTTAGTTTTAAAAAATTCGAAAAAAAAGATCAAACGATTGGACAGATACAAGGTGAATCAATTATGACTAATAAAGTAACACGACACTGTATATATCTTGGTGATTGAGTCGAATTTACCAACTTTCCTCTTGGAAGAGATATGTTCTATGTACACCATATATATACGTATACTGGCTCGAGAATCGCCCTGTATTTACCTAATGTTATCATTTAATCTATCTTTCAGAGATAATTATATCTACCGTTGGAGGTGAAATATGATGAGACTTATGAAAAAGTAAAAACACTCAACAAGTGAGAGTTATTGAGCGTATTTAATCTAGTTTAAAAATAAGTAGATATGATAATAAATAAAATAACCATAATTATGAGATAACATTCAATATAATGCCACACGCTGTGTATATCTCTCTAAGATTAATATCTTTTCCACCTTCTTTATACAGGTTATCTCTAAAAGGTTTGTACGAAATGTCCCCAGTAATGTCCTAATGGTATAGTTGTTTCTCGTCGAAATTCATGTTCAAATAGGAACTTCTGACAACCTAGTGTTCCATAAGAAACCACATACCACATTGTTGACAATGAAAGTATCACGGAAAAAAACGCTTTGTTGCACCAACAAAATTATTTTGGGAATTTTTCTTGTTAAATTAAACAAAATGTTTCGAAATTAACAAAATATATATGTTTATTCCAAATGAGCGACTTATCCAAAAAAACGAAATATTTTAATTGAAATATTTGCCTACTTGAACGAAGTTTCATTTCATTCAACAACATTTATAGTAGTCATAACGCACGATGTTCTTTAAACATTATAGGGATTCCCTTTCGTGCGCTCCAAGCGATAAAAAAAATACAACTATCATCTCATGGTTCAATCAATCATATGCATCTCGTCTATTTGACAAAATTAGATTAATTTTGACAAAGATTTAACGAAGTTCAACATCATATTTTATTGTTTCAACAATCATTTTATTGTTCAATCATTATGCTTTTTTTCTAATCGACAAAATTGAATTATTTTCACATGATATTTTGTTGATTCCACATACTGAATATCATTATCAAGAATTTTGTTGTTATTTCAAACAGATTATTTTGTAAAACAGAACCGACAGAAACATTGCATCTAACAAATATTTTGTTGAATGATTGTCTATAGTTGCATTTTCGCCACTAGATGGCGTTTCTTCTCACCTACCTACGCTCGTCTCGAGTGGGCTGTACATAAACTTAAAACATCCGATTATATAATTATATTAAGCCAATTAAGCTGTCCTAGAACTTCTAATGACGCTTGCATGCTAATAGTCTTGAATAAACTGAAAAATTAATCTAATTTCTCTTAGTTTTGAAATTCAGTTATTAGGAAAAAAAATTTAATATGATTCAACAAAATATTTTGTCAATTCTGTTATTCGGATGAAATTTTTCATTGGATGGAAAAGCTTCAGAACTTATATTGTTATTTTAACATAATTTTTCACTTTCTGAAAAACTGAATTTTTTTTATTTTTTCACTTGAATGAAATTACATGATCATTAAATCAACAGAATGGGTTCATCAGAGCAGATATTGTATTATAGGAACAAAATAGTCTTTGTTCATTCAACGAATTCTTGCTGTTGATTTGAATTAGTAATAAGTTACATCAACTGAACTTTGAGTTGAAAACTGACAAAATAATTTGTTGCGGTAACAAAATATTTTGTCGTGGATATAACACTCAGATGTTGTAGAATTTACAAAATTTTTGTTGTCTCAAGCTTTTTTTCTGTTTTTGGGTGTATGATAAATTGACATTCATCATACAGGGCGTGGAAATGAATTCTGAATTGAGACTCTATCACCGAGTCTATCACGAATCTGCGATTAGAGGTCTATAAAAATCACAAGTTTCCATCGTTCAAGTTTGAACCCCCTGATTGGGTATAAAAGTGTTGAAAAGGAATATTCTCAGATGAATTATGAACATACAAAAAAGGATATATATTTATATAAAGCAATACATTGAGAATTCGCATTCTCTATGTGATGAGAATATTTACTCTTTTTCAGGTAATTCAATAGAAAACAACTACTTTCCTGGCTGTATGCCACGACGAACATTGAATTATATCTATTGAACACACACGATAAGAGTTTGAAAATAAAATATAAGAATTTCTGAAATTGAGAATTTGCATTCTCCTTCAGACAAAAAAAATGTATATACACACATCATTCTGAATATTCAACAGAAAACAACTACTTTCCTGGCTATTTGCCACGTCGAACATTGAATTATATCTGATGAACATTCAAAAGGGAACATGAAAAATAAAGAATAAAATCCTCCGAAATTGAGAATTGACATTCTTCTTCAAATCGGTTGAATAATATGATGAATAATGATATAGAAATATGACTTACCAATATATTCAGCATTGAAATGAAAATTGGAATGTATAGGAGAAGTATACTGGCATGAACTCTGTCTGATCTTGATGAGCTTGAAAACTTCCAAAAATAATCATTCATATCAGTGATATGGAAAATATCATCTCACACACACAGGTTATATGACTTTATTGCAATGAAACCATTTCGATTCTCTGAATCCTCATCAGTAACCATGATGTCCACTTATTCTTACAGCCATTCTTCATGATATACACAATTTTCATCTCTATATAATACAACTAAAAACGAGTAAAACTATAACGAAATGACATCTGAGAAATTTGTTGACATTCTATTCCTGTCATTTGGACGTTTTTGCTTTTGGGTGTATGATAAATTGACATTCATCATACAGGGCGTGGAAATGAATTCTGAATTGAGACTCTATCACGAATCTGCGATTAGAGGTCTATAAAAATCACAAGTTTCCATCGTTCAAGTTTGAACCCCCTGATTGGGTATAAAAGTGTTGAAAAGGAATATTCTCAGATGAATTATGAACATACAAAAAAGGATATATATTTATATAAAGCAATACATTGAGAATTCGCATTCTCTATGTGATGAGAATATTTACTCTTTTTCAGTTAATTCAATAGAAAACAACTACTTTCCTGGCTATATGCAGATTCGTGATAGAGTCTCAATTC